TAATCACCCATCTTTACCACAATGAAGGTTTAAATGTTTTACCATTTGCTTCTTTGCGTTTAGCTTTTATAAGCCTTAGCATCCATTCTCTACCTGCTCTTGCTGATTGTTTTTTAGTGACAGGTTTGACCTTTTTCAAAACAACTAGGGGGCTTTCGTCTGGACCTTGCCATTTTCGTTTTAACTTTTGACGTCTTCGTACGTCATCTTCTTGTCGAGCCTTTAGCATTGCTGACTGGTCTAGGGAGATTTTTAGTTTTCTTATATCCCTTCTTTTTAATTCCCTTTCTTTTTGTTTCTTCCTAATATTTTCCAGTCGTTGATCATCTTTTATTCTTCTTAATTCAGCTTTTTTCCGTTCCAACTCATCAATCTTCTTCCTTTTACCTTCTTCGATATTAATAGCCTGCGACCGTTTTGTACCTTGGGGATTTGGCGGAGGTGGAACATATGAGACCTCTTTATAGTATTGCGGAGTGTAAGGTATCTTTTGCTCCCTGATAGCCTTTTTCCTTTCTAGATATTGTCTTTTCTTTTCCTTTTTTCTGTAGTCCTCCCCAACATCAAAGATTTCTTTTTTAATAGGTTTAGTTTCGTAACTTTCATCTATTAAATGTCTTCTTTTGTCCGTTCCAATCTCTTTGACTCGCTTTCTTTTAGAGGGTTTGTAATAGGTAGGAATAGTTGGTTTTTTAGTTTTAGGTTTCAATGTAATTGTTGGTTTAATGTCAGGTAGGATAGGTGGTATAATATTATAAGATGGTGTTTCTTTTGGATATGAACTAAATGACATATCTTCACTCATCCATAGATTATCGTCGTCTTCCCCAATATTTGAAGCTGGGAGAGAAGCGGTAGTATTCATAATTGCACCTTTTGGACTTGCAACCATCTCTACCTTAACTGGTCTATTTTGCTGTTCGTTTCGTAATTGCAAATATCGTCTAAGCTCTTGATTATAGTGAACATTTTTTGCACTAGGTGTTTCTCTTTTAAGTTTTGTTTTCTCGAGACCTTGACGTACAAAATCCAGGTTTGGTTCACCTGTATCATAGGTTGTTAAACCCTTATAAATTTCTTCTGGAACTAAAATAAATTTATTTGCCATAATTAATTTTATATTAAGATGTAGCAGGGGCTTTTATAGTCATCATCCTTGCCATTTCGATGAGTACAGGTGTCAAAAGGGCGGCAAAAACTCCTACTCCGTCACCTTTTTGATTAATAACATGTCTGGCGCCGCGTTCACTCCTAACCCTACTCATACTTCGAACAAATTCGGCATGAGGTAATAATCTTTTCTTTTGGCGTGTTGTAAGTTTGAACCTCTCTTTAACTATATTCAAACATATTTCAGCTAAAGCTAAAAGTTGTTCATTATTTGACAATTTTAAAAGTCTTTTCCTTTTTCTTATAATTTAGTCTTTGACAATAAATGTAAAAATTTTAAGTTTTCATGGATTAATTGATTAACCATTTCCGTTTATAGGAATAAAAATTATCTTTTCATCATCTTCCTTAAATATGTTTGTCCTAAGACGGAGGGTAGGATCCGAAGAAGCATGCATATCGACGAGTAAGTAACCAAAAGGTTGTTTGGTTGCCTGTCGATAGGAATCAAGAAAATAATCCAATTGTTTGGGAAATAATTGTACACCTATGTTTCTGATAGATAGCATAGAATTTGGTGATCTCATCAACACAAGATATTGAGAATTTTGTCGTGCTACTTTAATCTTCTTATCGAATAAATTTTGTGTGACAAAAATTACAGAAAAATTTTGATGGTGTGATTTTTTGGTAAATAATTCGGATAAATATTTTTCGTCAACAGAAAGAATTAGATCATCGAGAATTAGTAATAGTGGCTTGGGATATTTTTTAATCAAATCCTCAGGTGGAACTCCTGCAAATACATCAACTCCAGATTTTTGCAAAAGAGGTACAATATTGTTCATCTCACCAAAGCAATAAAGTATGGACTTTGGTTTAGGTTCAATTAAGTCTGAAGCTTCTGAAATAAATTTTAGTAATAGTGTACTCTTTCCACTTGAACTAGGACCAGATATAATCATTCCAAAAGGTAATTTAAATTTTAAATCTTTATTCGAGAAAGCTAAGGAATTCATAATGAATAATTTATGAATATAAGAAAATTTCACTTAAATATCATTTTATTCGGTTGGTATTCCTGTAACCGATGCATCTAAACTTTGAAAGAAATCATCCAACTCCTCTTTTGAAGGTAGTGTATCCAAGGGTTGAGGTGTCTGTGTCACTTCTTCAGGAATTGTGGGGGGACTTTGTGGTTTTTCAGTTTTGGGACAAGGAATCTCTGTAGAAGCATTGTAGGGCACATTAAAAACTCGACCTTTGTTCTTTACTTTGAAGAAGCAATGCCTTGGTAAATCATATAATAAATCAAAAGGAACAAATCGGCTTCCCTCAAACCGGGTGCAATAGACTACCACTCCCTCCTTTACTATTATAAAATCTAGTTCAACTTCGGTGCTCTTACACTTACGGCACTTTCCACCTTGGTCATAAGGAAGAAAACGTGGAGTTGTATAACGGACACTGGAAATTGTAATTCCAGTAGATGAAATGTTAAATTCAACCTCTGGTAATATTTTTGGGAACTTCATCTTTTAATTAATTTATCAGTCTTATGTCTCCGTTTATACTAACTTAGAAATATTAGATGTGAAGTAAAATTTATACGAAACTAAACAAATATGGAATAAACCACCACTTTGAATATATTAGATAATTAAAACTGTTAGAGTAATTTAATACATGAGGGGATGTTGCAATAGTTATATTTTGGTTGAAGTCTAGTTGTAAACTATCGTTGTATCTCTTTATACCATAGCGGCGAAATGGTGTTAACCTATAAAATTCAAAGTCTTCTGCATTCGCTCTAGATGCTTTTAATAAGTGTATTGGACACTGACACCTACCTGGTATAGGTCCCGTAATGTTAAAAGGTAGATTCAATAAGTATTTTGGGCATCTACAGGGTTCCTGTTTCCACATATCCTGCCATCTGGGATCATCTACTAGAGATAAGTTTGAAGAGGAAGAAAGGGGAAATAATAAAAATAATATAAACATTTTGATTAAAGATTGTGGAAAATTGAGGTCTTTTATACCAATTCCATTCAAGATCTCCTGAGAATGATACGACTCATCTCGTCGAGCCTGTCAGAAAAAGTATCTATATGCCTATACTTGGAACAATTTCATGTTCCAAAGTCTACAACTCGAGTTTTAAGCTCGATTTTAGGTTGAAATCACTTTGGTACGATTTATCTCATCGAACTGATCAAAATGTCAAAAATGACATATGTCAACTGACATATGTCAAAATGTCAATTGGCACATTTCTGGATGTCAATTTACCCACGAAGATGTGTGAGCCTAGGGAATATTTTGGCGAAGCGTTTTTTCAATTATTTTAAAAAAGTACCTCTTGAACCGGTTCTAAACCATCCTTGAACCTTTGGGGACCTTAATAATATTGTAAAAAATATAGGAAATGCTTTTTTACTTATTTAAAATTTTTACCCTTAAACCGGTTTGATCAAAATATTCCAAACCGTTTAAACCTATGGGAAACCCTTAGACCTTTAGTATATTTTTAACCAACATTGGGGGAGGGTTTAACTACTTTTATTTTTATTTTTTATAAAATTCACCCTTTTTCCCTTTTTTAACAATAATTTTGCAATTTTATTTGCAAATGACTGATTTTAGGTAATTATTTCTATTTTTGCAAATTTTTCCAAAAATAATTATTGCATGACTGATTTTTCATAATTATTTGTTCACTGCCTACTTTTTAATAATTTTTATATTTTTCAACAACTAAGGGTAAAAAAGAGAAAATGAATAGAAAATAGAGGAAGAGGTGAAACTTTAAAAGAAAAAGTTTTTAGAACAGTTTAAAGTGAAAAATATGGGAAATCTTGGTTTGAACCGGTCAAACCGTTTTAAATTTACTACTTGAACCATTGAATTTTTGGGAACCATTTGATTATGAAATTTTGTGAAGATCGTGGGGATTGGTTTGGTAATGTGTTTTTGTAAATATTTTTAAAAGTTCACACCAAACCGGTTTGATCAAAGTACGCTTTTGGAAACTCCTTGAAACCTTGACGACGGAGTGGTTGAATGACCGTTTAAAAAAGTGGGAGGGGCTAAATGGTTGGACCCCGCTGCCCCTGACGACCTCGTGGGGGTGTTAACTACTAAGTTACATAAAACCAGGGCTCTCATCGACAAAATGCCACTCAAAAGTATCAAAATCTTGATAAAAAAGTATATAGGGAGAAAATTTCCAAATTTAAAGTATACTCAAAATTAAATTGGAAAATATTTGTTCGTGCTCAAATCTTTTATATTTCTCTCTTAAATGAATCTTTTCTAATAATTTCTTGCTTCCATTGGGCATTTTGTGCATTTCAACGCATGACATGTCAAAATTCGCTGATACAAGAAATAAAGCCCTGACAGTCTTAACCTCAAGCTTTCGTCCATTTTCAGCGCCGCAGGCGAAAATTTTTTGAAATTTGGAGCCCAAGTAGTCAGATTTCTCCCATTTTCAGCGCCGCAGGCGAAAATTTTTTGAAATTTGGAGCCCAAGAAGCCAGATTTCTTTCTTTTTCAGCGCCGCAGGCGAAAATTTTGATAATTTCGAAGGCCCAAGGCTAAAAAAATTCACTTTTTTGCCCAATCCCTTCCCCAATTTCATTTTCAATCCAAAATGTTGATTTTAAAGTATATACTTTCAATAAAGTATAAATTCAATTTCTTAAGTATGGAGGTCGGTTTCAAAGTATAATACTTTCAAATAAAGCACGAATGAGAGCCCTGCATAAAACAGGCGCAGCAAAAATATAGGGGAAGGTGGACAAAAAGAAAGGATAATGGGAATTAGGTGAGTGTTAAGTGTATTGGGTTGCAGCTAATCGAGAATTAAGGGTGGCCATGGTGTACTATTTTGTGTTGAAAGTAAAGAATGTGCAGTAAAGGAATGTAGAATTGGGAATTACTTCAGAGAGGTAGAAGGGTGGAATTGTCACGTCGTTCAACAATGGCTGAGGAATTTGATCGATTATGATCGCGAAAGAAAGAAAAAAGGGATAGGGTGAAATGTATATGATTGAAAATTGTAGAGCAAGTGGACGGCTTCTCACACACAATAGAACTTTAATTAAATTTATTTTAAAATAGGTGTAAGTAATGAAAGAGAATCTTATTAGAATTTTAAATAGGATGAACTAAATTTAAGATAGGAAAAAAGAGCATTTAATGAAATATGTATATGTATGGTAATTTTTTAATTCACCTAACAGGATTTTAAATTAGATCTAGGGTTGTACTATGTATAGTAATAAAAAATCATAACCCAAAAGTCCCCCTAAATCGCGTATAATCCCTAAATCGTCCTCACAATGAAAAGAATTTTTGACTCAAACGTCCCCGTTTGTGTGGGGACAAACAGGGACGTTTGAGTTTTAAGGACCTGAAAAAAGGATCTTGGCCTGCGACAAAGTGGACTTGCGACTAAGTGGCCTGCGACTAAATGGTCGCGACTAAGTGGTCCGCGACTAAGTGGGCCGTTTCGGATTTTATGAAATATTTTAATTTGGAATTTTTCCTTGGTCTGGGATACATAAACCTGAAAAGGCCAGATACTCGTAGATTTTTCATATTTGTAATCCTGCCATTCATATTAATAAGTAAATATACTATGTGTTTTTGATTTTTAGAAGATAAATGTCACTGGTTGGTATTGACTTCAAAGCTCCACTTCGGGAGGTAAAAAGGGTGCAGTTTGGAATTCTTAGTCCAGATGAGATTGTAAGTCTACTTTTTGATATACTTTTTGATTCCAAATACGTTTTAAGAAGCGTATGTCTGTGTGCCAAATAGAATTTCCAGAAGTGAAAGAAAATGGAAAACCAAAATTTGAAGGACTTAATGATCCTAGACAAGGCGTTATTGAAAAGAGAGGAGTTTGTATTACATGTGCAGGAAGTTACAACGAATGCCCAGGACATTTTGCTCATTTGGAGTTGGCTAAGCCAGTTTATAATATAATTTTTATTGCAAAGACTTTAAAGGTAAGAATATTAACTATTATAAAGGCTTACATGAATTTATTAAGGTTCTTCGTTGTGTTTGTTTTTACTGCAGTCGATTACTTGTTGATAAAGATGATGTTCGAATTAAAGAAATTATTAAGAAAACTCAACATAATATGCGAGCGCGTATTACATTAGTCTATGATGTTTGTAAATCAAAAAATGTGTGTGAGGGTGCCGAAGAAGTAACTAATCCTGATGATGATGAGACAGTTGAAAAGGAGACTAAAGTTGGTGGATGTGGACGTTATCAACCATCTTACAAACGTGTTAGAGGTATTGAAATTGAAGCAGAATGGAAAAAGCACGTTAATGAAGATACGCAGGAAAGGAAGATTCAACTGACTGCGGAGAGAACTCTAGAAATTTTTAAAGGAATTTCTGACGAGGACTGCGAAGTTCTTGGTATTTTTTAAATAATTATTTAATTAAAAATTATTTTTCAGGGATGAGTCCAGAATTCTCTAGACCAGATTGGATGATATGTCAAGTGCTTCCTGTTCCTCCTTTAGCTGTCCGACCTTCTGTAACGACTTTTAGTTCGATTACCAGTCAAGACGACTTGACATATAAATTGGCTGAAATTGTTAAGGCAAATATTCAATTAAAACGGTTTATTTTCTCAATTAATTTATTTGCTTTTTTCCTTTCAGAAACGAAGCGAACGGTGCAGCTTCGCATGTACTCGCCGAGGATGTAATTTTGTTGCAATACCATGTTGCCACAATGATTAATAACAGTAGTCCTGGACTTGCAGTTGTATGTTTTTGCATTTTTCGATTTTAATGATTTATTATAAAATTTACATACAGGCACATCAAAAAGGCGGTCGCCCTATAAAATCTATAAATCAGCGCCTTAAAGGCAAAGAAGGACGTATTCGTGGAAATCTTATGGGCAAGCGTGTTGATTTTTCTGCTCGAACAGTCATTACGCCTGATCCAAATTTGCCTATTGATACTGTGGGCGTGCCGAGAAGTATCGCTCAGAACTTAACATTTCCTGAAATTGTGACGCCATTTAATATTGAACAGTAAGGAAATTAGTTATAATAATATGCTCATTTTTAAGTTTATTTTTGTTTTTAGTCTTCAAAAGCTCGTTGAATGTGGTGACCGTGATTATCCTGGTGCCAAATATATTATCCGTGATAATGGTGCTAGAATTGACTTGCGTTTTCATCCGCGTCCCGCAGATTTACACCTTCAATATGGTTACAAGGTTGAACGTCACATGCGAGATGGCGACATTATTGTCTTTAATCGTCAACCAACATTACACAAAATGTCAATGATGGGACATAGAATTAAAGTTCTTCCTTGGTCTACTTTTCGTATGAATTTGTCTGTTACAACACCTTATAATGCTGATTTTGACGGAGATGAAATGAATTTGCATTTACCTCAATCATTGGAAACTCGTGCGGAAATTAGCGAAATTGCAATTGTTCTGTTTAAAAATTAATATAATTACATTTACTTTTTATTTTTAAGGTACCCAAACAGTTAATTACTCCGCAAGCAAACAAACCCGTCATGGGTATTGTGCAGGATACTCTTACTGCGGTTAGAATGATGACAAAAAGAGATGTTTTTGTTGAATATCCACGTTTGATGGATTTATTAATGCAAATGCCTACATGGGACGGAAAAATACCTCAACCTGCAATTATTAAACCAAAACCTTTATGGACTGGGAAGCAGATTTTTTCTATGATTATTCCTGGTTTGGATATTGTATTCTAGCTTTTATTTTACTCGTTTAGGAACTGTAAATGTTGAACGAACGCATTCAACGCATCCAGATGACGAAGATAGCGGCCCTTATAAATGGATCTCACCAGGAGATACAAAAGTTTTAATTGAAAATGGTGACCTAATTTCTGGCATAGTTTGTGCGAAAACAGTTGGCCGTGGTTCTGGAAATCTACTTCACATTGTTGCGTTGGAGCTTGGTCATGAAATTGCTGCTAATTTTTATTCGCATATACAAACTGTAGTCAATGCTTGGTTGTTAGGCGAAGGCCACACAATTGGAATTGGTGTGATTTTAAACATTTTTAAACAATTATTTTGTGTTTAGGTGACACAATCGCCGATCAAGCCACTTATCGCGACATTCAAGAGACTATTAGAAAAGCCAAACAGGATGTAATCAACATTATAGAAGATGCTCACAATGACAAATTGGAGCCGACAGCTGGAAATACTTTGAGGCAAACCTTCGAGAATGCTGTTAACCGTATACTGAACGATGCTCGAGATAGAACTGGCGCATCTGCACAAAAATCACTTTCTGAGGCTAACAATTTTAAGTCTATGGTTGTAGCCGGTTCTAAGGGATCAAAAATTAACATTTCACAAGTAAGAACATCCCTTTATATTTAATAACATTGAATTTCACTCGATTTAGGTAATTGCTTGTGTCGGTCAGCAAAATGTTGAAGGGAAGCGAATTCCTTTTGGGTTCCGTCATCGAACACTTCCACATTTTATTAAGGACGACTATGGCCCAGGTTTAACTTTAAAAATTGAAGTTACACTCATATTGTTTAAGAATCTCGTGGTTTTGTTGAGAATTCATACTTGGCTGGTCTCACACCATCTGAATTCTTTTTTCACGCAATGGGTGGACGTGAAGGATTGATTGATACAGCTGTTAAAACTGCTGAAACCGGTTACATTCAACGTCGTTTGATTAAAGCTATGGAAAGTGTAATGATTAACTATGATGGAACTGTTAGGAATTCTGTCGGGTATATTTTTATATTTTTATTTGAATTATTTCGTCAGTTCTGTAATGCAATTACGTTATGGTGAAGATGGACTGGATGGTATGTGGGTTGAAGATCAAAATTTACCGGCTTTAAAACCAAATAATATGTTGTTTGAAAGAGAGTTTAAGTTAGATTTGAGCAATGAAAAGCAGCTGCGAAGATTGTACACAGAAAATGTTATCAAACAAATTACGGTTTGGAAATTTATAATTTTAGTTGAACAAAATTTCATATTCAGAATTCTGCTGAAGCTCTTAAGATTGTTGAGGATGAATGGCGACAGCTTCAAATAGATAGACAAACACTTCGACAAATTTTTCCAAGACCAAGTGTCAAAATTTATCTTCCGTGTAATCTAAATCGTTTTATCAAAAACGCACAGAAGATTTTTCACGTCAATCTTAGACAACCTGTCGATTTGGTATATATTTTTTTATTTTATAAATTAGTTTAAAAAATTACAGAGTCCGATTAAAGTAATCGAAGGTGTGCGTGATCTTTCCAAGAAGCTTGTTATTGTTTCGGGAGAAGATTCAATCAGTAAACAGGCACAAGAAAATGCCACAATTCTGATGAACATTTTATTGCGATCGATGTTATGTTCACTCAAAATGGCCAAACAACATAAACTTAATGAAGAGGCTTTTGAGTGGCTTCTTGGAGAGATTGAGACACGGTTTTGTACAGCAATAGTTCAGCCGGGTGAGATGGTCGGTGCTTTAGCTGCACAAAGTTTGGGTGAGCCTGCAACACAAATGACTTTAAACACTTTTCACTACGCTGGTGTCTCTGCTAAAAACGTTACTCTTGGTGTGCCGCGTCTTAAGGAAATTATTAACGTTTCGAAGAAGCCGAAGACTCCATCTTTGACTGTTTTTCTAAAGGTTTTTCATTTATATTTAAAAGATAACAAATTTTGAATAGGGTCTTGCTGCTAAAGACGCTGAGAAGGCGAAAGATGTGCTGTGCCGTTTAGAACATTGTACTTTGCGAAAAGTGACAGCTAACACTGCAATTTATTATGATCCTGATCCTCGGAATACTTGTATTGAAGAAGATCAAGATTGGGTTAACATCTTTTATGAGATGCCTGATTTTGATCCTTCAAATGCTTCGCCTTGGTTGCTTCGTCTTGAACTAGATAGAAAAAGAATGGTTGATAAGAAGCTTTCCATGGAAGCAGTTGCTGAACGAATAAATCAATCATTCAAAGATGACTTGCAAGTTATATACACAGATGACAATGCAGATAAACTTGTTTTTCATCTGCGGCTTAGTAATGCATCTTCGGATAAGGAGGGCGAGGTCTGTCATATAGTTTTTTTCAATTTTTTGTACTATAATTGCTTTGTTTAGGATCAATTAGATAAGATGGAAGACGATCAATTACTGCGAGCTTTGGAGCAAAATATGCTTAGTGATCTTACTCTTCAAGGAATTGAATCAATAGTTAAAGTTTATATGCACAAACCAATGACTGATGATAAAAAACGAGTGACAATTACATCAGAGGGAGAGTTTCATATGCATCCCGAATGGTTACTTGAAACTGATGGAACTGCTTTGCTTAAGGTGTGATTCATTTATATTTTTCAAAACATTTATTCAGGTTTTGAGTGAACAAGATGTAGATTGTGTTAGAACATATAGCAATGATATTTGTGAAATATTTGAGGTGCTTGGAATTGAAGCTGTTCGTCGCGCAATTGAACGCGAGATGAATCAAGTAATTTCTTTTGACGGTTCTTATGTGAACTATCGACATTTGGCGTTGCTTTGTGACGTTATGACTGCTAAAGGTAACTTATTTTTAATTTAAAAATTTAAATTAATATTTCGAATATATTAGGTTATTTAATGGCTATTACTCGACATGGAATTAATCGACAAGAAGTTGGTGCGTTGATGCGATGCTCATTCGAAGAAACTGTTGATATTCTTATGGAAGCAGCCGTTCATGCAGAAGTTGACCCCGTTAAAGGTTAATTGGTTATTGTCATTTATTTTTATCGTGTTTTATTCAGGTGTTTCTGAGAATATTATGTTAGGACAAATGTCCAAAGCAGGAACTGGATGTTTCGACATGGTTCTCGACTCTGAAAAATGCAAATTAGCTATGGACATTCCTGGAAATCAGATAGGTGCTTATGTTGGAGGAGGCGGCTTCTATACAGGACATGATGGACTTTCCTCGCCTTCTAGGTACAATGAACTTAAATCACAACAAAAATATATTTTATTAGCTCAGCAATGAGTCCGGCTGCAACGCCTTGGAATGCAGGAGTAACACCTTCCTATTCTGGTGGGTGGAGTCCTATTGGCAATGCAATGACTCCAGGTGTGGCTTTCTCTCCATCGGCTGCTTTCTCTCCAGCAGTTGGAGGAGGTAATTATTTGTAACTTTTCCTTAATTTTCCTTTCCATTTTAGCTTTTTCACCGGCAACTGCTAGCCCATCATATAGCGCTTCACCATCTTATAGTGCTCTTCAAAGCCCATCTTATAATCCATCGTCTCCTCGTTATCTTCCAGCAAGTCCACAAATGAGTCCATCATTGGCTTCTCCACGTTATTCGCCATCAAGCCCTTCGTATAGCCCAACATCACCATCATATTCGCCAACTTCACCTTCGTATTCGCCAACTAGTCCTAGCTATTCGCCTACCAGTCCATCATACAGTCCAACATCGCCAAGTTACTCTCCCACTTCACCGAGCTATTCACCTACATCTCCCAATTATTCTCCTACAAGTCCTAATTATTCTCCGACTTCTCCACAATATTCACCAAGCTCTCCTCGTTATTCTCCTACAAGTCCACAGGTTTTTATTTTTAACTATACATAAATTATTTGATGTTTTAGTATTCTCCAACATCACCGCGTTATTCACCTTCTTCACCTCGATATAGTCCTACTTCACCTCAATACTCTCCTACAAGTCCTCAGGTACATAATCTATTAATTTTAAACTTATTAAAATATTTTAGTATTCGCCAAGCAGTCCTCAGTACAGTCCAGCCTCTCCTCAATATTCGCCAACATCTCCACAGGTTTTTAACTGTAGAAAAATTTGATTAAAATATACCTTTAAGTATACACCAACAAGCCCGCAATATACTCCTAGCAGCCCACAGTATAGTCCAAGTTCACCGCAATATTCACCGTCGAGCCCACAATACAGCCCTAGCTCGCCACAATATTCTCCATCATCACCGCAATATTCTCCATCGAGTCCGCAGTACTCACCTACTTCTCCACAATATTCTCCATCATCACCACAATATTCACCGTCGAGTCCGCAGTATAGCCCAAATTCGCCACAGTATTCTCCGTCAAGCCCGCAGGTTTTTTATTACTACATTTTATTCTTCCAACTTTGGTTTCATTTAAGTATTCGCCGGCTTCACCTCAATAGCTTGGAGTTCGTCATCGTAATTATGGAAAAAATTTTATTAGATGATAGAATTGTTTTTTGAGGAAGGATGTTTTTAAGCTCTTTAAAGTATTTTAGTTATTACAACAACCTCTTAAAATATTTGATTTCAATTATGATATTTTTTTGTGTTCATCTTTGGTCATTTAATAAATATATTCATAAAGCTTTTTTGAAATTTTGTGTTGTGTGATTGCGTTGAAAAACACTATACATAATTTTATATCTTACGAGTTCGAAACATTTTTTTGTCACAGTTAAAACAAAAAATGGAACCAGCCTGGGTCGATGATGATGACAAATTTCCAAATAATGGAAAGTTGCTAGAAGAGCCGTTCATTGTTAGAAATGTTGAAGCTGATCTTGGTGAACTTGCGCACAGAACACGTAAGGTTTGTTCAGGGTTCTGCATACCTTCTTTGGGTTCTGCCAATCCCTCGAGTTTCTTCGTTTATAGTAAAATATGTTTTCGATTTTAGATGACACAGAAACGTTTGCGTGAGCGATATATAACATCTTCAATATATGGACGAGGAGCTCAAAAATGGGTTAAAACTGAAGGTTAAAAGATTTTCTAGTTTTTTTTGCATCTTTAAGCTTCCAGATGATGAAAAGTGTGATTCAGCTTTGAATTCAATAGCAAGATTTGCCGGTAACACTAATATTGGTTCAAAATCTTTACCAGCAAAAGAATTAAAATTTACTCTTCTTAGAGACCCCACTATTGGCCATCAACAAGTAATTTTTAAATTAAAAAATGTTTTATTGATTTATTTCTAGGGTAAAGTAAATTGTTTAAAATTTCATCCTTCGATGCCTATTTTGGTTAGTGCTTTTTCAACTGGCAGGATAGTGCTTTTTCAGGTTTATTTTTAAAAATAAAATTTTTAATTAATTTTTTTAAAGATTTGTGATGATGTTAATAATTTACTTTTAAGGAAAAGTAATTTCTTTTTACAAGATGTTACAATTCCAAATATTTCTTTTGATAATATTACGTTTTTCGATAGAGGATCTTTATTTGCTAGTGCAGATAATCGAGTAAGGTTATTTTTAATTGCAGTAGGATTTTTCTTATTCCCTTGGGGCTGAAAAATCGTGTGTATTTATTGTTGGGGACCATGTGGCCATTCAAATTTAAAAGTGTGAAAAATTGAAGTTTGACTGAAATACTTTTTCATTTTATTTAAGAATGATTGTTACGTTTATGACCTTTTAATTGGTGAAATTACACAAATTAAACAACCTAAAGGTTTTTAATTAAAATTAAAATATAATTTTATTGATTTTTTAAGCTATGGACAAATCGTCAGCAAGAAAGATTCAACTTTCTGCAGATGGAAATTATATTGCTTATTTAGTAAATAATGCTGATATTTTTGTGTTTTTATTTAAAGTAATTAATTATTTTAAAATAAAAAAAAATGATTTTTAAGACAATGGATCATTTACATACTTATAGAGGAGCTGAAAATATTGTTGATTTTTGTTTTTCACCAATTAATAGAGAACAAATTGTTGCTTTAGCTGGTAAGGAAAAATTGTTTAATTAATTTTTAAAATTTTTTGTAGTAAATGGAACTGTTTATATATGGAATTTAACAAAATACTCCGAAATGATGCAATTTTTTGATGAAGGCTGTGTTAAAGCTACTTGTATGGCTTTTAGTTTAAATGGACAATTTTTGGCTTGCGGGTATGTTTTTTAAACTGTCAAAATTAACAAAGAAATATTAGTTCAAATACTGGAATAGTTAATGTTTATGATATGAATGACTATAAATGGCTTAATAAAAAGAAAAATTCATCTCAACGTCCTTTATTATTTGCAACTTTTGATCAGTTAACAACATCAATTTCTTGGCTTGAATTTAGTAAAGATGCCCAATTATTAGCTATGGGTTCAACGGTTAAGGTATTTTATTTTCTCTTAAAAAATATTTAAAAAATCTTTTAGAAAATGGCAGTCAGACTCGGCCATTTGGTTAGCGGGACAGTTTTTCAAAATTTTCCATCAAAACAAGAACACTTTTCGAAGGAGAGGTTAACAACCTGTGCTTTTTCACCAAAAGGTGCTTTCTTCGCAGTTGGAACTAAGGAAGGGAGAACTCGTCTTTACCAACTTAAACATTTCGAAAAATATTAAAAATCTTTTTTTATAATTATTTGTTTCCCAAAATAATAAAAGAAAAATGTTAGAAATATTTATTTCATAAGAATGAAAAGTTGTAAAAAAAAGCATTCAAATCTCACTCTAACCCGAAATGTTTTAAATTTTTACAAAAAAAATGTAGTTTGAAATTATTAAGTTCGGGTGAGATTTGTATCCATTTTGGATTAAAATAAAAAAAAATAAAATTCCCTCACCCTTCTACTACAACCAAATATTATATAACAATCTCCTTCAATTAGTTAGGTCAATCGTGATGAATATTTTCTTTTATATTCTTCGAGAGTTAAAGTTCTCGATGACTTTTGAGGTGCTCGCTGTGGATATTGAGAACCTGTTGATGACACAGAAGCAATTGGTGGGGCACGAAGAGAGATTCCACTTGTTACTGTCGAAGAATAAATTTTCAAACATTTTTTATAAAAGAAAAGAACAAACCTGGCAATACTTTGTCCAAGTCAATATTTATATCAATTCCATGAGCACTAAATAAATCACCAGGGGGTGGAAGTACAGCACTACTGCTTTTATTTAATATGGAAGGGGAACCCGAAAAGGATGAATCCGTACTCATAGAGCCAGTAGTAACATCAAGACCTTAAATTTTCATTAAAATTTTAAAAAAACAAAAAAATCACCTTCTCCATCTGTTTTTGTTCTTGCCACACCAGTTACTAATTTCATACGAGCAGATTTTCTTGTGAAAGGATCATCATCTCTTACACGAAAATGTTCATTATTTTGCATGTGTTCTGCACTGAGGAAAATTTGTTTCATATGGTCTCGGTTCCGTTGGTTTATTGCAGTAACTGCACTTAAATTTTTTGTTCGCTGATTTTCCTGAAAAAATTCCAAATTATAATTAAATCATTGGGCAAATTCTATTGTTATTTCTTACAATTTTCTTTGCCTTTTCCTCCAAATCGTTAATCTGGTGTTGGAGATCTCGTACTTTTTCTTTATTTCCGTTTTGTTCTGCATCTTCCTTGAAAATTTAAGAAAAGTTATTTTTGGAAATTTTCAAAATAAAATTTCTTTTTCTAATTGTTGTATATCTCATATATAAATTATGTTTTATTGTCAAATTTTAATAAAACAGTGTAACTCTCCAGACTCCGCAGAATTCCGCCTCTTTTAAGCCTAACGTTTCCTCATTCTGTCTGCTGTACATTTTTTATTCCGCTTTTAAAATGCGGCAAAGCCCATCCCCAACATGTTTGTATAAAATAATATTAAAAAAGAATTTACACTTCCGTTGACACCTTTTAAAGATAACCCAATTTCCAACGGATATATGTAAGAAAGGATTACATAATGACAAGATTATAATCTTTTCTATTCATTTTTTCCTCTCAATTCTAAGTCGCATTTTTTTCATTTTTTATTAGGGGAAAGAACAAAGAATAACAAAAATATCTTCACAATTTAATAAAACTGTTCAATATATTTTTAAATAGCATTTGTATTTTTCTTTTTAAATTTTTATTTCCTTCCCCCTCCTCCCCCGGTAGCTTAAATAAATATATTTCTTTCTTCAACCGTTACTTTCATTAGTAATGATTGAATGAATAAGGCATATAATTTTATTTAACTTATTCCAATCATCTCTCCCAACTTTTCTTTTAAATATTTTTTTTACTTGTACTGCCAAGAAAATGAGGAAAAGAATAAAAGCAACTAAAAACCGCTTTTTTCAATAGTTACACTAAAACAAATACTTAAACAAACAAACACCATTCGCACTGCGAAAATCATCAGTATTATAATCGTAAATATATATTTTCTAAACAAAAAGCCAAGAATGGATAGAGGTTAGAAACCGGCTGGCTGGACAGTTTAGGAAAGGAAAAAGAAACACCCTTTAAAAATATTTGTAATTTTTTAGTTCCAAAAAATTTAACCGAAAATTTTAATTTTAAAAATAGACAAAAATTATAAATAAGACAAATATTTTTGAAAGGATATTTTTATTTTTCCACTTAAAGTTTATGATTAAATCGATTTGAAATCAATCACAAATAAACTGAAAATAACACCGCGCATCAAGGCCATTCGCTAATCAACAATATTTTTATATATTTTTTACAAGCAAATAATATAAACTAAAAACATATTTTTTAATTCGCAACATTTTTCAAAGTTCGCGCATCATTCCTCGCATGGCTAGGATAAATATAAGCAATGGACGTCCCCCGTTATAAAACACACTATATTTTCATCCAAACATTTTTCAAATTCATCCAAAAATATTTTATATTTTTACACTTAATTAAAAAAAGAATTTAAAGAATTTTAAAAAATAATGTTGAAAGAAACTAATGGAGAAATTGATCTAAAAGAGACGGAAACGCAATCATCATCACCACCACCACCAACAACAACAAATACAAAAACTTCTACCAATAATACTACAACTCAAGCAGAAATAGACGAGTTAGTTGTTTATAAAATAAAAAAAAAGTTAAATTACCCATCTCTAATTCACATTTTTTTAAATAAAAAAGTAATTCTTTCTCATTCCCGCAAAAAATCGATTAGGTCACTGCAAGTACATCAACAACAACCTGTCAACACACTTCCAACGACCCCAATTGTTATTGAAAAAACTATAACCACAACAAAAAATAACAAAGAAAATATTGCTGAAACAGTAGAAGTTCCTCCATCATTTACAACAACAATTACCCCCCAACAAACTATCAAAATGGCCACTCCAAATACTTCGACTGCCGCTGGTTCAAAACCGTTTAATCGAATGCAAGCTGCCAAAGTTAGACTTATTCCTGATGGCCGAAAGCAGCAATTAAATACTCGTTATTTGGTTACTTTGCCTGGAGTTCTCAAATTGGCAGAATTGGTTGAATTTGTCTTTTTTGTTTAAAATTCCCTTCCTTTTTAAATTTTCAGTTAGTAGGGTTTGTTGCCTTTATTTTGGCTATTTGTGCTGATCGTCGTTCAACTGCATCAGCATGGACTGCTCACATAACTTTTGAAACAACAATTGTTGTTTGCATATTAATTCTTCTTTATGTAGTTTTCCCTCATTTATCTTTATCTGATGAACGTAACAGAGAAGGACTTGTTGTTGTGGTTAGTGGAGAGAAAAGAAATTTTAAAAAATTTCTCAAATTTTTTAAGGAACTTATATTTTATGGTTTAAATACTTTACTCTTTTTTATCGCTATTTGGTTAATGATACATTTGGCATGGGGAAGTCTTTCAGATAGTCGAGGGGCAGCAATAATGGGAGCAGTAAATATAAAAAAATAATTTTTTTAATTCAAATTATTTTTTTTTCAGATTTTTTGTTTTGCTCTTTGTGTAATTTATGCTGTCGAAACATTTATAAAATATATGCAATGGGTGGGCCAAGATATTTTTCCTCAACCAGCAGACAGCCCCTATGTACACCGCGTGCCACCAGCACCCGCACAAGAAATGGAAAAAAGATATGAACCAAAAAATGGAAATGAAGAACACGTGGCCGTTTAAAGAAGAGAAAAAGAATGATAAAAAGTTCAAAATGATTTTTAAAACATTTAAATTCTACTTAATAAATATTTAAGTAAAAGTTTGGTTTATGTCGATTTTTGGTTGATGGTCAAATGAAATTACGTGAGAAAGGAAAAAGGTTGGATATAACCGACTTTTACTTAAAATATTTTTGTGCTTGCATTTTTAAATTAAAAATATTTAAAATTTTATTTTGGAGGAAATTAGGGTGTAAATCTTACTAGAGAGAGTTAATTAATTGTAAGTTTAATCGCCGGGAGGAATGTAATGAGAGAAAAATGAGAGATCTCTCTGCGGAAGAGACTTGCTAGAATTCGCTTACACATTTGCAGTTGCTCTATCGTCTGGGATACAGAGGTGAAACTTTACTTTTTCCCCGCCTTATTACCATTCCTATACATACAATTATTATAAAATATGAACCAACCTTTTGTTTAATCAACTCCGACTTCTCAAAAGCAAAATTCGTTGGTTGTTTTTTGAAACGACTCTTCTCTCGCACCATTAAATTAATTTCAGAATCAGTAAATTTGTAGTTTAACGCATCGTGCATTTCTTTTTGTTTTTTCTTAACAAAATCAATTGTTGGAAGTGAAGTTTCCTGAAAATAAAAAAACAAAAATTTTTTACTATAAAAATATTATTAACTGTTTCTTTCATTCTGTTTAACCAAAATGAATATTCAGTTTCTGTAAAATTACTATTCGAAACAAATTCGAGGCGAATGACACGTTGAGCATCGTTATTGCAAATCTAAAAAATTTAATATTAAAAATTTAAAAAAAATTTTTAAAAAAACTTTAAGTTTTAAGCCTTTATTAGTGCGTATGTCGGTATTGGGTTCCACTTCATAGACTTTAGCAGTCTCAACAACATCAACAACTTGGGCAATCTACAAAGAGATTGTGACCTTTAAATAACGAGAACAAACTCGATAAGTCGGCTTCCCTTCATGATTGCCAATTTGGACACGAACAAAACAACCAACAATTGTTTTGTGGAAGAAAGGGGCATGAACAATCCTGGCTATCCGTCGACGAATTGCTTGGCATTTTAAAAGATCATCCATTTTTTCGATCTAAAAGTCGGAAAAAGCAAAGGTTGATAAAATTAGAATGAAATATACAGGCTGGGCGACTGGAGAAGGAGATCGTGACTTTCCATATACAGGGCTAGACGAACGCGAAGAAGCAGGAGAACTAGAACTACTAGATTTTCCATCTTCTTTTCCAAAAATTTCGTCGAGATCCAAAGCTGCTTTTTGATTTTCCTTTTTACGTTTTTCTTCAGCTAAAAAAGAAAATTAAGGAAAAAGTCAAAGATCTGTCCCGAAAAAACCTTGTTTTTTATCCCGCCGTTTATTGAGTAGATCAGCCATTGCCATTTTCTTATTGTATTTATTTGCCAATTCTGAAGGTTTGTGGTAGGCCGTGTCTTCATCTTCTATATCTGCTGTGCTGACTGACATTTTTGTAATTGATTTATGCTTATGTTTTTCTACTGAAGAACTAGGCTTGCTATTTACTATATTATCATCATCACTACTAGTCTCATCTACACAAATTTTAAAATTAAAAAAATTTATTCTTTTTAATTTAAACCTTTATCTTCAGCAGGCAATTCCCCTTCTTCATCAGAACTTTTTTTATCTCCGTTCTTTTCATTATCGCTATCATCAGTGTCACGGGATAAACGTCGCTTCCTTTTTACAATGTTTGTTTCATTTTTTCCTGCAGCCATTTCGAGCTTACGCTTTATTTGCTCCCTTTAAAAATTTATAAGTTATATAAATTAATTAAAACCTCGTTTTCATAAGTTCGCGTTGTTCGAGCCGTTTAAAGATTTCAATTTCTCGTTCTTTTTCAGACATTTGATTAAAACGTTCACGTTCATCCTCATCCATTGAAAGGTCAAATTCATCATCCTAAAAAATGAGATTAAACAAAAATTAAATTTAAAAAAACATTTAATGCCAACTCCTCATTATCAGAATCTGAAGAAATATTTTGTTTTTTGTCATTTTTGCTTTTGCTCATTTTAGAAGAAAATGAATACAGAAATTTGAAATAAATCTTTAAAAAATAAAAAATCTAGGGAAATATTGCAGTAAAAACTAAACAAAACCAATAAAACAAAAATTATGGCAATAAAAAGGCTTTCTAAATTGTAGGTCGATTCAGAGTTAACCTATCCAGAGTACTGTTAAAATTTTTTGTTCGATCTGAAATAATTTTTGTATCACTCGAAGACTTCAAGATGCGGCATCTTTTTTATAATTGGACTGATCTGAATCTGTCATTCAGATTTTCTTCAAACAAATGAAACGAAACAAAAATTAAATACGAAATGACTGAAAAGGAAAATCACATCAGATACATACACTGCTCCACAAAAGTATAGCGCCACCCCTATTTTTCTCGGTTTCAATACTGTAACCGTTGTTTTTATTTTTAGACTTTTTTGTAATAATAAATAGTGGTCTAAAATTAGGTTTGTAAAAAAATTTTGTTTTTAAATCAAGTTTTTCTATTGTTATAGGCAAATTCCCAGTTTTAGGGTTCCACAAAAGTATAGCGCCACCTTGAAATTTCGGGTTTCTAACATTAAGAAAATTCTACAAAAATTTGAGTTAACATAATGATCGATTCTAAGAAAAAATCAAAAAGAATTAGACCCATATCTCACTTCAGTGTTGAGATCCAGATACCTCGAAAATCAACGTAAATCGGGGGTAAGGCTATTTAAAAAATAATTTCGACCACTTAGGGTTTGTTTTAAATTTTCAATTTGGGCTCATTCGAAAGCCCTTGAAATTTGCTACAAGATAGCAATACTCATATATCTAAGAAAAAATTCAATAGAGATATGCATGACGTTAATCTCACGGTGCTAATTTTATGGGGCATTACGGCGTTTTTTGTGCCTTAGAAATTTTAAGCCTAAGAACTTACTGAAATAATTTTTCTGGAAAATTAAACTTATGCTATCTTGTAGCAAATTTCAAGGGCTTTCGAATGAGCCCAAATTGAAAATTTAAAACAAACCCTAAGGGGTCGAAATTATTTTTTAAATAGCCTTACCCCCGATTTACGTTGATTTTCGAGGTATCTGGATCTCAACACTGAAGTGAGATATGGGTCTAATTCTTTTTGATTTTTTCTTAGAATCGATCATTATGTTAACTCAAATTTTTGTAGAATTTTCTTAATGTTAGAAACCCGAAATTTCAAGGTGGCGCTATACTTTTGTGGAACACTAAAACTGGGGATTTGCCTATAACAACAGAAAAACTTGATTTAAAAACAAAATTTTTTACAAACCTAATTTTAGACCACTATTTATTATTACAAAAAAAGTCTAAAAATAAAAACAACGGTTACAGTATTGAAACCGAAAAAAATAGGGGTGGCGCTATACTTTTGTGGAGCGGTGTATATTGAGATTTATTTAATAGGGCAGGGAAGAATTGTTTTACGGCAAGTAAGATTTAGGCAATCTTCATAGTCGAAAGGTAAAAGAAGATGGTTCAAAATGCATAAAGTTTCAGACTCAGAAAAAAAGTTTTTCTATGTAGCACCACAAAAGAGTGCGCCACCAACAAAAACAAAAATGAAAAAAGTCAATTTATTTAAAATTTTATTTACTAAACCCCGTCAAAATTATTTTTCTTTCTTCTTCTTAACAACTACTTCAGGTTCATCATCGTTGTCAATTATTTGTCGACGCTTCTCATTCTTCTTTACAATAAAATCAGAATCTTTCCTTCTCTTCCTAAAATTAAAAAAAGGAAAATTACATCAAATATATTGACAGGGAATTTAAGATTTTTAAATTCAAGGGAATTTAAGAAAAATATTTTGTTAAATACCCAACCTTGCATCTAAAGCATCCAAAAATGTTTTCAAGTCTTCCTCGTATAAATCAAACCATTCCTTTCCTTTCAAAATATTCAATTCCTTCTTTTTTGCTTTACTTTCATCAGCCAATTTGCCTCTGTTATTATTATTTAAATCAATTAAAGCCATTCCAACTAAATAATTGTAGGCATCAATTTCTTCCTAAAAGTAAATTAATCATGATGAGGAAGAGGTGTTAATATAAAAATAGATTAATCCCCTCTTCCTCATCTTCAGAAGATTCGCTTCCCCACACATTTCTAATTCCTTACGTTTTTGCTCATCCTTCCACCGCTTGACAGGATCTGGTTTGAATTCATATCGTTTTAACTGCCTAATAATTGCAGCTTTTCGGCTGCGGTTGATGGTGTTGTTCAAAATTAGCTCAATAAAGCGAGCCTTTTCACTATGTTGGCTACTTTGTGCTTGAAAATTAAAAAAAAATTAATTTTGATTTTGTTTTAATTAAAAAAATAAATAAGGGTGCAGCAACTTTTCCGCCGCTTTTGTTTTTGTCATAACTTTCTTTAAGATCAATGAAAATTGATAATTCTTTTTTTAATTTTATTCCCAAAACTCTAAAAAATATTTTCGATACCAAATATTTATATTTTAAATATTTTTTTACAATTTCCGATCCAGAAAAAAAGAAGTTTTTTTATTAATTTAATACAAAAAATTTCATTATTTTTATGGGAAGGCCATTTACTATTTAAAAAGTATTTTGTTGGACAACAAAAAAAGTTAGAGGGGAGAGAGAGAATGGCGCAAACAATTTAAACTAAAAAAATTAAATATTTATTTTTTGCTTCTTCCTTTAAAAAAGTTTTAAGAAAATTTATAATCTCATGCGGAACGAAACAAAAAATAAAATTAAAGAAAAGTTTTCCTGGATTTTTTTGCCAAAAAATAAATAATTATTTTAAAAATAATTTATTTTAAAAAAGGGAAATTTCTTCAAAAATTTTTAAAAAAATATTAAAATTAAATTTTCAAGTGGTCAATGAATGAATATATTTTAATTTAAAATACATAAGAAATGAAAGAAAGAAAAGCAAAGATTAAAAAATAAAATAAAGATTTTTATTTAAAAATATTTTTAATTAAAAAATCTTTAAAAAATATTCGATTTCTAATTTGAGAAAAATTATGTTGTTTGTCTTTATAAATGATTTTAAATTTTTTTAATTTTGTTTTTAAAAAAATTTTTATTTTTAAATAAAAAATAAAAGAATTATCGATAAAATTCAACTTCATATACTCCTTTTTTTCTTTCCAAAAAGTGGAAAAATGGCCAAACTTATAAGTTACAAACTCATGGATGGAGATAAGAACCAATGGTCAGTATTGTGCGTGTTTGCCATAACTCTGGGTGTTTTACTGGAATAGTGAAGTGAACGTCTTTAAACACCACTCCAGAACCGTTTTAAACACCAACCGGATCCAGAGCCCTCCTTTCGAGAAACTTTGTTTAATGAGAATCAAATTCTCTGATACCCCTTTTATCCACCTCTTAATCACCAAATCCTACGATTAAATATTACTATAATTGAAGCACAAACGAGAGGATCGAGAAATAGAAGCACATTGCTTCTATTAGAGCTTTTAGGGTATATTTTTTGTGTGTAATTCTTGTGTGGAATTATTTTATCAAAAATCTAGACAATATATTTATTTGATTAGGGGAAAGGGGAGGGGAGTAATTATTTGAGAGAGGGTAATTAACGAGTAAATACCTTTTGTTTTTATTAATTTTCTTTTAATTTTTCAGACAAAATATTTATAAATTAATTAAAAGAATTACACACAAAAATATGTTTTTCCCTCATTTACAAAAACCCAAAAACAAAAAACCCCTCAAGTGTTATTATTATTTATCCCCGGAAGAAAGAAAATAAAAAATATTTTGCCTAAAGCAAAAATGTTTTTTTAATTTTATTTCAATTATTATGACCCAAAAAAGTGGAAAAGAAAATTTAAATTAACTAAAAAATATTTATTTATTTTATTTTAAATTAAAAAAACAAAAATTTTCTTTCAAAATATTTTTTTCTTTTTATTTTAACAAAAAATTGAAATTTGAAACGATATAAATACTTTAAATATATACATATATCTTTTTTTCTTAATTTATTTTCTAGCTTTTTCCATTAAAAATATAAAAATAGAGTTGAATAATTTATTTATTTTAATTTAATTAAATTTAAAAAACCCTTGAAAGTAAATATACCTCCAATATAAAGATGGAAACAAGTCTTAAATTAAAGTTACCAATATACTCCGAACCTGATTTCTAATGAAAATAAAGACAAAAATTTAAATTTTACAAAATAATAAATTAATTTTAAATTTAAATCCCCCCAAAATTTATTTTTAATTTTTTCCCTTCTTTTACTTTAGCACTCAGCAGATTCGAATATTCCGGTGAAGGTTTTTCATTTCTTTCCCTCTCTCTCATTCATTCACCGCAATCGAACCTCTAAAAACTAGAAAATGGGCGGATTTTCTTTCTCTTTTTTTTACCTCTCTACTTCGTTTTGCTTATACATATTTATTATTTGTTCACCTTTTGGAAAATAATAAAGATTTTAAGGGTTGTTGGGGGGAAAAAGAGAGAGAGAGGAGGAGGAGGGAGGGAAAGGAGATGAAGACTGTGGCGGTGATGGTTATATTTCGGTAAATGTACATATAATATATTCTTTTTCCCCTTCCTTCTCTCTACAAAATCCTTCTTTTCTCCTCACCCTCCCCCCCTCTTCCTCTTTTTCAATATTTCTAAAAACTTTCTTTAAAATTTTAAATAAATTAATTTTTTTAAATCAATTTAAAAAGTTCTTTTTGTCAATCCTTCAAAAGTCTTAAATTAAAGTTTTTAGAATTATTTTCTTCTTCTCTCATTTTTTAAAAGAAATTTTAAAATTCTTTAAAAATTTTACTTAAAATTTATTTAAATTTTTAAAATTATTTTAATAAATTGTGGCTGTCTTCTTCTCTTTTTTCCATTCACCACCTCTCTCCTCTTCCTTTTAACACTCAAAACTTTCCAATTAAATCCGGCAAATGTCTAGCTAGCTACTTTAATTAATTTCTCCCTTTTCTCCCCCTTTTTTTGAATTTAAATTTTTAATTAAAAAATTCTTTTATTTTAAATACAGTACTAGAAAATATAAAATAAATTCCTCAAGTCATTCTCGTTAATCCTTTACTTTTTTTCAAGAATTGCTAAAATGGAAATAATAAAATAAAGAAAGAGATTATCTTCTAAATAAAGTTTTTAGAATTATTTAAAAATAAATTAGTAACCCCCCCTCCCCTCCCCCCCTCTTTTTTTCAAAATAATTTCCTTAAAGTTTTTAAAATTATCTCCCACAATTTAATTTTTTCTTTTCTCTCCAAAATAGAAGTACAAATGAATCAAAATAAGATATACTAAATCCCTATCTAGATTTACACTTTACAGGTTGTCCATATCTATAAAAAGATTCTCTTTTCCAATTACTTCTCCAATTTTGTTCGGAATCTTCGAATCGAGCTGCTTTTTCGAATCAACTTGACTTGCTCTTTTGAATAATTTGTTTGTATATTTGATTCTTTCAGTCCAAAATTGAGCCTCCTCCTCCCCCCTCCCCCATTGGTTTTTCAATTTTTAGGGGCCTAAATATCTCGATCTAAAGAAATTTCCACACTAGATTCAGCTTACCGAGACGAATTGAATGACATATGATTCGACCCGATTTGAAACGGGTCCTCAACTAAACTATACCCTAATTTTTATCCAAATTAATTTAATCATTTACTTTGACCCGCATATTTTTTGAGGAAAAAAGGAAGAAAAATAAAAATTGTGGGAAATAATGCTTTTTTTTCTAATTATTTAAAAATATTTTAATAGAAAATTAAATATAATTTAAAATAAAATAATGGATCCATGGGTAGTTGTAGCAGAAATGAGACAACAAATACAACAACAACAACAACAGGTATACTATTTTTAAATTCTTAGCAAATTTACACCGTTGGGATAAAATACTTTTATTAAAGGGATTTTATGCTAAAAAGAGTTTTGATTAAAAAATTAAAGGTATTTTTAAATAAAAAATATAGGACATCAATGGGGAATAAGATTTTTTACAAAAATATATATTTTGTTAAATAAACTGTATTTGTAATACTTAGTTCCCACAAAAAATAGGAGGAGGAATTAAAATTGAGAAAAAATAATTTAGAATTAAAGCTTTATTTTTAATTAACTGTTTACAACCTTTTTGCGTAAATTTAATATTTTAAGTATTTAAAAGGAGAAACTGATTGAAAAAATATATAAATAAATAAATATTTTTATTTGTTTTTTTAATATTTACTTTTCTCCTTTTTCAAAAATTTTGGTCAATATTTTAAAAAATAAAATATTTATTTATGAAAAAAAGGGAGGATGAGTTTTTTAAATTATTGTTTTAAATATTTAAACAATTATTTAAATATTTTAATAATTTTTTCTTAAATGAATGTTAAAAAATATATTTTTACTCACAAAAAATTAAACTTAAAAACAGGCTAATTTTAATAAGCAAAAAACATTTAAACTTTCCAAAATTTTTGTTTAAATTTTATATTTATTTATTTAGATTGCTTTTAAATTTTTGTTTTTAAATTAACCTTTTTTCTGCCCATTTTTCCCTTGTAACTTTTTAATATTTTTTAATTAAAAATCTTTTTTTTCAATTAAATAACAAAAATTAAAAAAAAAATTTTAGATTTATTTTTAAAAAGTCTAAATATTTTTATGGTCATTCTTCTTTATCTTTCAATTATTTTGACTGATAATTATATATAAAATATTTTTAAGTTAATGTCCATTTTCTTATGAGAAAATGGACATAAATTAATAAAAATAATTAACTGATAACAAATAAATATTTTGTTGAAGAAAAAATTGACCTAAAAAAAGTAAAATTTAATTAGTATGTAATATGTATGCAGACTTGCTCATGGACACAGTTTTTGCTATCCATGTCCGAATATATCCATGAGGTCCATATCCGTTACCGTTTATATCCGTGTAATATCCGTGGGTATCCGCGGATATATCCGTTTTTCCCAAAATGTGCAATTTTCAAAATGGTTAAATTCATCTAAATTCAAAAAATTGTTAAGAAAAATAGATTAAGGTAATCGAATCAAACTCAAGGAGTGGAATCATTCTGATTATCGGGGAATTTAACGAATTCTACTATTTTTTTTGGATTTTTAGAAGGCCAAGAAGCCAAAGTTCCAACTTACCAGCGCTACTGCGAAAATTTTTAGAATTTTAAAAGACCGAGTCACCACCACCATATCCTTCTGTATCCGGATATTATCCGCATCCATGAGCAGGTCTGGTAATATGTACATATTCTCCTTTTTTTTATTTTTAGAAAGCTTGGATATTTTACCTTTATTTTTAATAAAAATAATAATATTTTTATTTATTTTTCCTTAAATTTATTGACTCCCGCGCTCCTCACTCTCTTTCCTTTCATTAAAATAACTAAAAATTTTGTGACTTTGTCCGTGGCCCAACTAAAAACTAAAAATACTGTGTTTGCTTTTCTTTCCCGCTTCATCTTTTTTTTCCATCTTTTGTTAAGAGGAGGAAAAGGAGATCAGAAAAATGTTGAGAGAGGAAAGAAGGAAATGTGGTTGAGAACTTCCCTCACCCCCCCCCCTCTCCTTCAACAACAACTACTTTACTATATTCTCGATGAGATAGGGCCACAAATGTAGAAAAACTAGAGAGGAAACGAGAAAAGGGAGGGAGGGGGGGGGGGTAGAGGACTCATCCGGTTATTTCAAAATTCTTTTTGTGTGCCTTTTGGCCGTCCAGTTGATGAAGAGTTTTTAAAAAATGTTGGGAGAAAGGGTTGAGAGATAGCAGCGTGGAAATGAGAATAGGAGAAGTAAATGAATGGTAGGTAGACCGTCACTACCATTCTCTCCCCCTCCTTTTTTTTAAAGTTTTGTAAAAAAATATTTTATAAGCCTACACACAATTCTTTTTTCCCCAATAAATTCCAAAGGATCCCTTTATTTCCCCCCCCCCCTCCCCCCCCTTTTTTTCCACGTCTTTTGTAAAGAATTTTTAAATTAATGATGGGTGATTCACATTTTTTAAATAAAAATATATTTTAAAGCTTTTTGTGAATATATGATTTTACTGTAAAACTGTCATTTCCTCTCCTTCCTCTTTCCCCCCATTTCTACAAATGAAAGAAAAGGGAGGGGTTAGTAAAACATTGTTTTGCCCGCCTCTTAATAAATATAAATGGTTACCTACATAAATATTATTCTTTACTCTTTCTCTTCCTTTTTAGAAAAATTGCCATTTTATTTCCAGTCTGTAAATTTAAATTTTAAAAAATAAATTTAAATCGATTTATTTATTTAAAGTAAACAAAATTACCTAAAAGTATTTATTTTGTTTATTTATTAACAGCAAATATTTATTTTTTTACATTTCCATTCAATTTTTTTTATGTTTGTTGTCCAAACAGAAAATTGATGACGGGAAGGACTAACAATGAGGGGAAGGGGGAGGGGGGGGGTTATATATCGATAAATTAATTTAAAAAATAAAAATCCGTAAAAGTTTAGAAATTTAAATATTCCTTTTTTCCTCAAGACAAGACTTTGAAAGGATTTTTGGTTAAATAAAATTGTTTTTGCTAAAAAAATAAATTTAAAATTTTGTGAGGAAACAGGGCCAATCAATTTACATTTTATGTATACTCAATTTCTTTGAAGAATAATTTTTTAATTAATTCACAAAAATATTCACAACATTACTGAAGACCCAAAAATATTTTCTTTTTTAAAATTGTGCAACTTTTTTTGTGTTCTCCCTTCTCTTTTTCTTTATTCTATCTCGATTATTTTTTTCTTCTTTTAAAAAACCGCCAATTTATGTATTATTCGGCCTAAAGCATTAATGACCCAAAAATATTTAAAATAAAAGGTGTTATGTATTTGGGGGGGGGGGGGGGGGGGGTATTTCTCTTACACAAATCCGTGGCGCATGAATAAAATTATTTTATTTATCTATTCTTCTTTTTTGAGTTAAATATGTAGAAATAAAAAATATTAATTAATTAATTAGTTACATTATCACCACTATACACTCACTCAAGACTTTTCTTGGGATTTTTCTAACTTGGGCATTAAGAGGGGTAATTTAACTGTAGCTCCGGCCCTGACTCTATTTGAAACTGGGCTCCAGATCTAGAGCCAAAAATTTTCGAAGCCGCTCCATGTGGAGAATATTCGTATTCATATCAGGGCTTCTCCTTTTGGTCCCGCAGGTAGAAATTTGAGAATCGTTAAGTTCTTTCTTTCTTAGTACTGCGTCAGGAATTTGAGAGTTTCCTGAATTCCCCGACATTTTTACAGGGAATGGAAATGTCGGGGATCGGGAAATGGCTAAAAATCATTATTGGGTAGTGATAAGGAATTGTGATCGGTGACCAAACTATGCCTAAGCGTTACATCCACTTTAGAGTATCCCTCATTATAGCTTAATTATTTTTGTATAAATTGGAACAGGCCGGGCCTTGTGGCTTTCAGCACCTTCCACCCCCCCCCCCCCCCTTTCACCCCTCGGCTGTATATAATTTTTAATTTAAATATTCTAATGTCTTCAAAATTATTTCCCCAGTTTTTAAGGAATTAAAGTTGGGAATGTTAAGCTAAAAGTTACCGTAATCCAAAAAAGAGAAACGAGAAAGAAAATAAAAAAAAGAAATAACATTTCTCCTTCTCTTTCTCTTCTTTCCGCCTCAAGGCGTAAATTGGACGCGGTCGGGATATTTCGCGCTTTTTTCAAAGGATTTTAGTGTGTGTAATGAAGAAAAAGATGGTTGGTTGTGACAACCTTTTTTTTATTTATTTTTGTAGTTTTTATTATTTAAATGCTAAAACAGGTCGTAAAAATTGAAGGAAAAAGAAAAAAGAAATTTATTTAAATAAATGTGTGTAGGTAAAGCAAAGAATAAAAGAATATTTTTATTTAAATTTATTTGTCTTAATGACGTGAAATATATATTTTTGATTATTCTCTTGTTTAGAAATGATTTTTGGGTTTTTAATATTTACTTTCTGTCTTTTTGTGTTTAAAGTAACCAGTTGTTTAAATTGAAATTTTTTTTGTTTAATGTTAAACCAGGGCTCCGATCGACAAAATGCCACTCAAAAGTATCAAAATCTTGTAAAAAAAGTACATAGGGAGAAAATTTACAAATAAAAAGTACACTCAAAATTAAATTTGAAAATATTTATTCGTGATCAGATCTTTTATATTTCTCTCTTAAATTAATCTTTTCTAATAATTTCTTGTTTCAACTGAGCATTTTGTTGACATGTCAAAATTTGCTGTCACATGAAGCAAAGCTCTGACAGTCTTAACCTCAAGCGAGTTTCTTTCTTTCGTCCATTGAATGTTTGCCATTGAGAAGCGCCGCAGGCGAAAATTTTTTGAAATTTGGAGCCTAAGAAGCCAGATTTCTTCTTTTTCAGCGCCGCAGGCGAAAATTTTAAGAATTTTGGAGGTCCTTAAGCCAGATTTCTTCCATTTTTTGCGCCGCAGGCGAAAATTTTGAGAATTTTGGAGGTCCTTAAGCCAGATTTCTTCGTTTTTTCAAAAATGTTGATAAAAAAGTACATACTTTCAAAAAAGTACAAATTCAATTTCGGAAGTACGAAGGTCGATAAAAAAGTACAATACTTTTAAAAAAGTACGAATCGGAGCCCTGTGTTAAACAAAGTTAGAAAATAAATAAAAATATAATTTAAATAAAAATAAAGAACATTTCCCGAATCTAAAAATAGCTGTATCCATTCAAATAATGTTGTTTAATTTGTTTGGTCGAACGAAGTCGAATAGTATCAGTCTAAAGAAATTTTTGGAATCGAGATATACTTAAGTCCTTAAAGTAAAAGAGTATGTATGCAGGCTGAAGTAAACCTTTTGATAAAATTAAATTATTTTAGAATAAAGTCGCGTGTTTTTACACTTAACTAGTATAATTTATTTTACACTTAACTAGTATAACAACAACAATTTATTTCTTGGGGGGTTTTGATTTAAAATTAATTGATAAGAAAAAATAAATTTAAAACTATACATATTTAATATTTAGCAACAACAATTTATTTCTTCTCTCGACATTTCCTCTACTACAAATCCTTTAATAGAAATGCCTACTTCAAAAACAACAACAACAGCCCCAACAGATTATTTAAATGAACAATGGAATATTTACAACAATTCTTCCTCTTCCCCAACAACAAATTTAAATATTTCTTTAATCGGCCAATCCCCCTCTTCTGCTGTATATCCCCCTCCCCAACCACCTCCACCTCCAATTTATCCCCCTTCTCAATATACTTCTTTAAATATTTATTCAAACAATTTATATATCCCCTCTTCTTCCCCTTCCTCCTCCTCTTCTTCAAATCCCCAATTTAGTCAATATTTACAGCAACAATTAATTGATAATAATTCTTTAAATTTATCTTCATATCCCTCAGCTTTTCAATCAACAATTAATTCAGTAATTAATAGTAGAGGGGAAGAAGATCAACAAAAATATATTGAAATAAATAAACAATTAAAAAATTGTAGAAATAAGGTAAAGAGACGAGCTTTTTAAACTCAACAAATTTTTGGGTGTTTTGAAAAGCTTCTACAAAATTAAAAACAATTATAGGCTAATTTTTTTAAAAGAAAGATAAATTACATAAATAAATCTTTAAATTAAACTTTTAGACATCTTCGACTAATGGAGAATCTACAAATATAACAACAAATCAAAGTCCCCCAATACACAATATGGAGGAATTAACCGTTCACGAAATGCAAAAAATTAAAAATCAAGGAAGTTATGGTCCAAATAAGCCTCCATATTCCTATATTTCTTTAATTTCTATGGCTATACAACAAAGTGATCGAAAAATGTGTACATTGAGTGAAGTAATGTTTAATTTAAAAAAATATATTTAGTTGAGAATAAGGTTGTTGTCGGTTCTAGGAAAATTTTCGAATATCCGGAAGCGATTGGAATTTTTGGGGGAGAGAAAAGTTCTTCAAAATTACAAAATAGGATTGAATGTTCAAATTTCGTTACATCTTTAGTGCCGTAGATGAAAATATTTGGATTTTAAAAGGACATGAAGCCCCAGTAATCCTCCCTTTTTCTTATAAACATAAATGAGAAATCCTCGATTCAATTCCGAACTGACAACTCTTTACTTATTACTAACAATCCTTAGTTTCAATTTAATTTTTGTTTTCTCTCAGATATATAATTTTATTATGGCATATTTTGAATATTACAAAAATCATGGTCAGGTAAAATTAATTATTTTAATTTAATTAATTAAAATATTTTTAAGCGTTGTTCTTGGCAAAATTCAATTAGGCATTCTTTATCTTTTAATGATTGTTTTGTGAAAGTTCCTCGAACCCCCGACAGGTAAAAGTTTAAAATAAAAAGAATTTAAAATTAAAATTAAGAATAAAAAATTGCAGACCGGGCAAAGGTTCTTTTTGGACTTTACATGCTTTGTGTGGGGATATGTTCGAAAATGGATGTTTTTTAAGAAGACAAAAACGTTTTAAACTTAGCAAAACTGAGAAACCTGAAAGGCAAAGAAGAAATAATAAATTAAATTTGGGGGGAGAAAAGAAGGCTAACAACAATTTAAATAAACAGAAAAAACAACAAAAAAATTTTAATTCTTTAATTTTGACTGAACAAAAATTAAAAAAGGTAAATAAATAAATATACATATGTCGGCGGTCAAATCAAATTCTTGTCTTAATTCAATTTGGCCGGCCAATTGGGGACTGAAACTCAAAAAATAAATTTTTTTTGTGTTCAAAGCTGGTGTAAGGTTCCGTAACAGTTCTTCATGTTCTTACACTATCCCTCAAAATTTTTGAACGTTATAGCCAATTTTTAAAAATTTCAGAAAAACGATTATAACTACCTGAATTTTGGGGAATAGTGTAAAGAATGGCCCCATACTCAGTGGGCTTAGGTCCCGAACACGATAGACTGCTAAGGAACCCAACCCTTTGGCCGGTCCCCAATTGGCCGGTCAAATTTAAGTTAATTGCATCTTACATCATTTTTCTTAAAAAAAATAATTTAATTTTAAGGAAATATTAGACTCTTCCGATTTAAAACCTTTAATTCAAACAAATATATTAGAACATCAACACCAACAACAATTAATTGGAGAAGAAGGAAATAATAATAATTTAATATTAGATATTATTGGAGACAATAATGAAGAAGAAAAATATTCAAAAATAAATAAAAATAATAATTTTACTAATTTAATTAATAGAGGAAGACAAGAAGAAAATACAAATAATTTACAGCAACAAATTGAAATATTTAATAATAATAATTTTGAATTAGCTAATTTAACACAAATTCAATGCCCCTCAAGTTCTTCTGAAATTTTACAAGGAAATAATTTGTGTGGATCTCCTTCGGTTATTTCTTCTATTGGAGGGGGAGGGGGACAAGTAAATGATTGTTTTGATTTAATTTTTGTCTGATTTCTTTTAAAAAATATTTTGGAGAAAATAATTTTTAATTTTCTCGTACCTGGTACTTCGTACCAAGTACAAGTCTAAGTGTTTAATAAAAAAATTTAAAACTAATTATTTAAATAAATTTTTAAATTTCTTTTCCTTAAGTTATTATCTTCTTCTTCTTCAATTTATTGTCACCAATTCCCAAATTCCTCAGCAACAGCTATAATCCACCCAACACCAATAACTACACAACAACAACAACAACAATTTCCCCAACAATTTTATTCTTCTTCAAATAATTTAAATTGTGCAAGTCCTCAACAATTAATTAATTCTCAACAACAACAATTATTTAACCCTCAACCTTTAGTTAATATTCATTTAAATTTTAATCAGGTAGTTTTTTCTAAATAGGTATTATTTTTAATTTTCTCTTTTAAAGCAACTTGTTGACTATCAAGTGTTATCTTCTAATTTTCCACAAGAATATACAAATGCTTCAATGATGTATAGTGGTGGTAATATATCTGGGGGAGGGGGGCAAACAACACAGACAATTTATAATGGAAAGTAAGTTGGGGGTTTTAATTGAGAAACTAAAATAAAAGGGTTAGGAAGAGGAAGAGGAGGTTCTGGGGAGTTTTATGGTACCTCCACTATTTTTTTAATATAGTCGAATAAAGCTTTAATTTCTACAATAGTTTGACTAATAAAGAAAAACATGTTTCTGGAAAACAACTCTAAAATAGAGTTTGAGCTAAAAATATTCGAAAAAATATTTGTTTGGGGAAAATTGCAGAAAAACCAAAAACTTGCGGTATTTTTCAGACTCCACAAAATTTAGTTCACACTCCAGTATAGTGTGGGGTACATATATTGAGAGGTCCTTCTATATTTATAATTTTCTTTTCTTTTCAGTACAATGAATCCAAATTCGGCAACAAACCTCTGAAAGACTTTAAAAATTTGTTAAAGACTATTTAATTTTTTAAAATAATTCCTGCCTTCTTTTTTTCTTTTTATTAAAGCATAGTAAAAATTAAAAATTAAATTTTGTTTTGTAAAAAAAGAGCATTTTTGACATTGTTTTCTCTCTTAAACATTTTTTTCATAATTAAAATTATTTTTAAAAAAATATGTAAAAATCAGTCATAATTATTTTCTTTTTTCTTTACTTTTTATCAAAAATTAATTGTTTTCCCAAAAAATAATTTCTTATTTTTTTCTTCTTTTTCTACTTTAATAATAATTAATTAAAAATATCCCTCAATTTTTTTTTAAATTTTGTGCATTGATATTTCCCCTCCCCCCTTCCCTCTCTCTTTTCTACTGTGTTTTTTTTTGTAAAAAATTAATTTTTAAATATATTTTTAATGTTATTTTTTTAACTACAAAGAATTATTATAAAAAAATTTTTTTTAAGTGTTGAAAAGAAAATCATGAAAAGTATGTTTTTTGTAATAAGTCTTTGTCTTTACTTGGCAGAAAAGTACTTTATATTTATGAATGATTTTTAAGTTAGGTGTCTTTGTATAAAAATGAAAAAAAATTTTTTGTCGGCAAAGTTTTGAAATTATTTTTAAAAAATGATAGAAACTTTAAAAAATAAATTTAGAAAGTTTATTTTGGTTAAAATATAATTTTAAAATAAATTTAACCCAAAATTTGGGCACCCAATTATTTTAAAATACTTTGTCATTTTTGTTTAATTCAATATTTTTTAAATTAAAAACAAAAATACTTTCACCCAAAAATGACCACCAAACTTTTAATCAGCATAAGAGTCCTTCCTTTCTTCTAAATTTTTTGTTTGCACAACACCCAAAGTTTTCCGGTTCTTTAGAAATAAAAGTACCAAACAATGGCACTCCTGAAATTGGAGGTGTTTGGGAACTAAAAAATATATAATGAATTTGTTAACGAAGACAGAAAGTAATACTATACACACAAGGAAAGAAAGAAGGTCATCCATTATCTCAACAAATTGAATGTGTATGTGTAAATAAACAAGTTTTCTCACTTCTCTACAAATATAAGGGAAGGTATTATTATTTAATTTATTCTAAATAATTCTGTCATGAAATCCTGTTAATTTTACGAATTCCGGTGATTATCCCCCCATAGTTTCCTTATCATGTCCCTCCGTTTTATCCTAGAAATTGTAAAATCAATTTACATGCGAATATAGTACATAGTTTTTTCTTTATTAAAAAGATACCCGACTTTCCTATCCAATTTTCGTTTCTTATTTTTGTTTAATATTTTAATCCCTTAAATTCCGGCTTTCACTTCATTATATCTCGGCTTTATCTCGGCTTTCACTTCATTATCACATTTGAGTTTGGTCCAACCAAGGTCCCTCTTTTTAATATGGTGTCTTTTGAATATAAGAAAACTAATATGTATCATAATTAATCCCGCAAAATTTGATCCTGTTTAAGTTTTGAACTTTAATTATCAGAACTGTTAATCGGCGTTTAAAATAGAAATCGTTAAAAACTAAATAATCAATTCTAAGGATAAGAATAATCTATAGAATAAATTTAACGTCAACTTTGGGTAAATAATTTCTTTAATTATTTTTAAATAAACATAGATATGTATTTATGTAAATATTATTATGCCATTCTACCGGTACAATTAAAGGCGGGTGAAATTAATTTAAGTAAGTAAAAGGTTTACGGTAAAATGCAGTAAGAATTGGAGATCTAGATAAACCGAGATTTTTGATAAAATGGTCTGATTTCTAGCGAGAATTTGGTTTAAAGCTTCCATGCCTAAACTAATCTCGATGAATTTACTGCAATTTTTCCGGTCACCATGTAAGTAGAAAAAAAAGAGAAAGAAATAAAAAATTGTAATTTTTAAGTAAAATCTGCTTCTTATTGTTTTTGCTGTTTTAGGGCATCGAGTTGTTGCTGCTGCAACTTTTTTCTTAAAACAGTAACCAATCGTTTTTGCCTTGAAAATAAAAAAATTTTATTCTTGAATTTGTTTTTAGATTTTCCCAAATCCTCTTTAAATTTATTTTTTCCATTTTGGTCTTTATATTTCATCTTTGTCGGTTTTATTTTATTCCCCGTACTTTCAATTTATCCCTTAAACAAACATCCGGTTCGGTAAGTTATAAAGTAAGGGGGTTTTTTTGATTTTAGAAAGATTGACACGAAAATATTTAAAAAAGGACAAAATTGGAAAAAAGGTCGTTAAATATTTGGACATTTAAAGTTTAAAATCGTTAGTTTATATTAATGGTGACTCCGATCATTAATAGTCGAATCGGTACTGGAAATTTTGAAATTAAAAGTTTTTAAAATATTCTCCCCAAATCTTTTGACCCCCGTAATATCTTCCTTACTCGTTTTATTTCACAATTTAGAGGTTAAGAATATTGGGGGATCGAGAGATTAAAAAGAATTGGGGAAGCTAACGAGGGATAAATTCTCCAAAATACTGTCAAGCCCTCCAAATTAAAACTAAAAATTTTGAAAAACTGTTAAAAAAGATGGAAAACTTACTTTTCCAATTCTGATTTAATTATATTTATTTGTTTTTCTTCTTCTTCAATATCTTCAACAAATGTTTCATTTAAATTATTTCCATTTCCATTATTTAAAGTTTTTCTCGGTTTAGCAATTGGTTGAGAAGGAGGAGGTATTTCTTCTTCCTTTTCTTTTTTTATTTTTTCCAAAGAATTATTTAATTTTTTAATTTCTCTTTCAGCTTTTTGTTCTACTTCAATTAATTCAGAAGTTAATCGAGTATTTTCTTTTTCTAATTGATTTAACTTTTAAAAACAAAAATTCTTTTTAAATTAAAAATAAAAATTACTTTTGTTTGTACCAATTCTTTTTCAAAATTTATTTTTTCATTAATTTCTTTCAAATTATTTAATTTTTCCAAATAATTTGTCTTTTCATTTATTTCTTCATTATTCCTTTCTTTTAAACAATTTTCTAAAAATTCATTTTCTTTTTTCAAAGCCACTAACTTAAATTTAAAGAAAGTTTTAAAATTAAAAAAAGATTAACCTGTCCTTTCAGTAATTCTTTATTTCTTTGTTCAGAAAATAATAATTCATTCAATCGAGAATGTTCTTTTTCTGCCTCCAAAATCTTTAATTTTTTATAAAAATATTTTATTTCTTTTTAATAAAATTATTTAATTTCTCTTCCAAGAAATACAAATTTCGGTACTCTTGTGTTATCCACCCCCATTTTCCTTCTTTTCCACATTTGATCGCTATAACTTTTTTATGCTTGATCATTCAAATGAATATATTATTCGAAAGCTCTCGATAAGCGCCTAACTAAATGGATCAAGTCAAAGTAGAGAGTTTTAGAATGATAAAATATTCATTTGAATTGGATCAGGCATAAAAAAATTATAGCCGATCAAATACGAAAAAAGGAAGATGGGGGCGGATAATATAAGAGTACCTAAATTTCTTATTTTTAATCAAAAATAAATAAGGATTTAGACAAATCTTAATAAGAGTAATTAATTCTTCAAAATCCGTATTCTTTAAAAAAATTTTTAAAAATCAAAACCTTTTCTTCATTTTTAATTATTTCCTTCTTCAATAATTCATCAAAATTTAATTTAGCTTTTAATTCAATTTCTTCTTTTATTTTCTCCAAATTTTTGGTTTTATCATTTTCTAAAGCCATTTCTGCTGCTTTTAATTGACTTTTCAATTCTGTATTACTAATAGCCAATAAAGAAAATCTTTGTTCAAAATCTTCTGTTTTTTGAGTTGAAATGTTTAATCTTAATTTAAATTTACTAAAATAATTTTATTTTTTAATTAAAAAGAAACCTTTCTTCCAAAATTTTTATTTTTTCTTTAGATTCTCTCAATTCTTCAATTTTTTTACTAAAAATTAATTTTAAATAAAAGAAAAAAAAATAATTTTAAAAACTTCAAAAGTTCATCTTTTTCACAAACTTTTTGTTCACAACATTTTAAATTATAATTTAATTCTTTAATTTCAAATTGCAAATTTTCCTTTTCTTTTAATAAACTAAAAAAAAGATTATTTTAATCTAAAAAATAAATAAGTTACTTATTATCATTTATTGAGGGTATATTTAAATTTGTTTTTTGTTTATTTGTTAATTCTTGTTGAGTAATGGCTAATTGTTCTCTAGCATTTTGCAAATCGTTGTTAGCTTCATTCAATGCTCGACCTAATTCATCGCTAGTTTCTGTCAATTCTGAAATAAAAAAATAAAAGGACTAATAAATTTGTTTAAATTATGTAGTAACTGTCTGAAAAGGAAATTAAAAATGAAAGTCTTTTGATATATCTTTAAAAAAACATTTAAAAAAAACCTTTAAGAAGCTCATCTCGTTCACGTAATTCCTCTTCCATTCTACTACTCTCTAATTGCATTATATTTTCTCGCCTTCGACTTTCTTCCCTTTCACGTGCCAATTCCCCACATATTTTCTGAAGTTCTCCTTGTTTTCTTCCAAAATCCAATTTCAATTCATCCAATTCAGATTGCAATAAAGTCAATTCATTTTCTTTAGAAGAAACATTTTCTGCTTGTTTTATTTGTGCCAATTCCCCAATAAGTGAATTAATCTAAAAAATATTTAATTAAAATTCTTATTTTTATAAAAAACACCTGCGAAAACAATTCATGTTTTTCTTCTTCTTCTCTCGCAAGTTGACGTCTCAAACCATCCAATTCTTTATTTTTCTCTTCAAGAGAACGCTAATATTTTTCAAAATTTTTGAAATCTTTGGAATTTTTTAAAACTTACTAAAGTATCCATTAATCAGCTTCGAAAAAAGTGTCACAAAATTTCTATTTTTTATAAAACCACAATTGATAATTAGAATAAAAATTTTTCTATTCAAACTAAAAGTAAAATAACTGAAAAATCGATTTAAAATCAGCTCATTTTATAACGAAATATGTATAAATTCTTTTATAAGAATTAATGAAAAGCGACGACAATATATATAAAAGACTGGACAATAATGAATCATACATTTATTTAATATCTATAAAAGAGTAAAATTCAGAAACAGGAATTACTAAAAAGTCGCAACTTAATAAATTTACAAAATAAAATGGATGTAAAAAAGAATACTTCCGCAATTTTTGAAAAACTAAGAGTCCAAAATTTTTTTAATATAGTCACGACTGAAATAAAGAGAATAAAATTTAAAAAATTAAATTTAATATCTATGTATATTCAAAGTTTATCAAAAAATTATATTTTTTTTCTCGTTAGCAACCCATTCATTTTTCAAGCATAAATACACATCAAGCAAAGATTCCATTCGTTTACTTAAACCCAAAAATTAACTAATGATTTAATTTAAAATAACCAACCGATCTATCACCAAAAAGTGAAAGAATGAACCAAAAGATTTGAACAATATCCATAAAAAGCTTAAAAAAGAAATAGAAGAAAATATATTTTAATTCTATTACCATAATAGCAGCAAAAATATGTTCTTCAGGTTCAATTTCAAACTTGCGTCCTCCCATAATCATCTATGTACATAATTTGATTTTTAAAATGAATTACTACACTTACCTGAATGTCGATAGCCAAATATAACATAAAAACGAGAGTACCAAAACCAGCATAGATCTGAAAAACAAATTTAAGAAAAGGTCTTAAAATAAAAAAACTAGATAAAGAGTTCGGGTATGGAAAATCATTGTCCACATGACCGCAAAAAATCCAAAAAGCATCAGAACCATCCCAATTATGACGGCAAAACCAAGCATGCTTAATTGAGATTTTAAAAATTAAATAAACGATATCAAAAAACTCCAACCTGGTGATGTCACGTTTAGTGGTCATCGAGAAGATGACTATACCACCACAACTAAGAGTTGTAACAGCAAAAGCAAGAACAACAGAATCGACCGTGTAAAAAGAAGTCATAACCATCGTCTTATAAAGACAATATTAAAAGAAACTAAAGTCAAAAGAATACCACAAATCCAATCGAAAGTGTTAAAACGCCAGTACAAATCAAGTTTGTCGGATGACTACGGCGAACATTTTCACAGCAAATTAATGCAAAGTAGACGACCAGAAAAACCACTAATGACAAAATATAAAGCCCCATACTCTTTCTCAGGTACTCTCTGAGTGGATATTTTTCGCCATCCTTGTAAAAGTGAGGAATTGCTGACATAACTGTAACGACACCAAGCTTGAAAGGTATAATTAACGTACTAAAAAGAAAAATAAATTTCATACCATGATAGTGACCAAAGTAAAAACTTTCCGAACAAAAGCTTGTCTAATCGTTTGATCATTGAATCCAATTTCATTTTTTGGCATTCCACTTTCAGCTGTATGAGCATTTTCATCAGCTCTAAATCCGTAAGGATTATTTGCTTGTGGTTGATAGCTCATTTTTAAGATTCTTTAATAATACTAAACAGAACAAAAAATTAATAAAAAGTCAAGTTTTTAATTAAATGAGATGTATAAAGTTTAATAGATACTCGTAACGTTAGAAACGATAACAAATTGCTCTTTATGTAAAATTTTTTATAAAAAAGTAGTAAACAAGTATGTATGGTTAAAAATAAGAAATTTGATTTGGACAAAGAATTTGGTGAATGAAAGCCAAAAAATGCGAGGTTAGTAAGAATTAGAGAAAAATAGAGAAAAGAAATTCGCACATGGGAAAAGAAATAACTTTTATGATGGTGACTCATGTCAGCTCCATAGCCCTGACAATTGTATATTAAGACAATTGTGCAATGGACAATCGGTTCAAAGATTTAAAGCTCTTTTTAAAACAAAATTATGAAGCTGAATCCTCGGAGGAAAAACTTTGTGTCGCTGTATTCTCATGGCAAAGTTAAAGGGAAAGAAAAGTTAGAAATCCAATCCCTTTGAAAAATTGCATCAAGTTGGTCAATTAAAGTACTTGAATTCTGCAGTCTTTCAATAATCATACCAACTCCAGCCGTTGTTATACTAAAAAATATTGACAAAATAAATTTTATAAAATAAACCAACAAATAATCGCCGGACCAATTAGAAGTTCCTTAAATTATTTTAATAACAAAATTAAATTTAAAAAACCAATCCAAGCAGCTCCGTCCGTCACCATATATTTGTTGTGATTAACACGAGCAAATTTAAGTTTGGCCTGTTCTGGACTGACTGGAACACGAAAAAATTTCTAAAAAAAATTTTCTCCCATTTAATTAAAAAAATAATTTACAATAGAAATACTCCCTCTTTTTGGTAATGCTTCATTAATTTGTAATAAAGAACGCAAATAAGGAATAGCTTCTTTTTTAGAATGAGGCCATATACTAATAAGCATTTGTACATGAACACCTCTAAATGCCGCTGTTCTTATAGCATCATCTATTGCTGGCCAGAAAGTATTATTTTCTTTCATAAATAAAGTTATTGGTAAATAATCCATCACAGCAATTTTTATTTTTTGTTTTGCTTTATTCATTAAACCAATTATTGCCATTAAATCGTGTTCTCTTCCTTTTGGATTTAATACACTAGGTGAATGACTGACAAAAACATTTGCAGGCATTGATGAATTAAAACGTAATTGAAGTGGATGGTTTAAATTAAACTTTGTTTGTAAAGAAACTGGCCATACAGAAGGAATTTTTTGTTCTTGCCCAACACGCCAATAAACACTAAAAATTTTGTTAAATTCCCAAGCTAGACAGGAACAATTTTTCATTAAAATTCCCAATTCTTTAACTTCTGTTAATGATTGCCAATCCATATTAGCAGAACCTAAATAAAAATGTTGATTGTCAACAATCCAAAGTTTGCTATGCAAAATTCCACTTCCAAAAAGTTTTGTAAAATTTAGAATTTGAACGTGGACTAAACCTAAAAATTAAAGAAAAATTGTTTCTAACAAATTAGAATTAAAAACCCTTTCTTTGTAAATATTCTAAATCATCAAGAGGCCCAAATTGACCTGCAGAGTTTTGAGCTATTCTAATCTAAAATTAATAAAACTTAAATTGGAAAATTTAATTAATTACCTTCACTCCTCGTAGAGCAGCATTTTCAATTTGTTTAAATACCTCACTACCCTTAAGAAATAATCTTTTCTTTTTTTATATTAACAAAAATATTACTACATATTAAAATTAAATATTTAAAATGCCTGCCATGAAGTTTTGTAATCCATTTTGTCTCTCAAATTCCAATAAACAGCAGTTATGTCAACAGTCTTGTTGGCAACCTTAAGCAACTCAACCCAAGCATTGTAAGTACTTTTATGTTGTGGCGACCCGATTGTGTAATTCATTCCAGAAGGTATAGATTCAATAATTTCCCAACTTAAAATTAAATATTTTTAAAAAATTTGTATAAAAACCTGCATTTATCAGTACAAATTCCTGTTCGTTCATATTTCTTTACATTTGTCCCTGCAATATCCTTCATATCCTCATTAAACATTGGCATAAAAAATAGTAATAACACAAGTAATGCCACAATGGTAATTGGAAGGCATGCCGGTTTGATTATTGAATTGTTACAACATTCTTGTTTCTCCCTATCTTTAAATAAAGATTTAAAAAAACACAGTAAATCAGGGTTCCCATCGGAAAAAACATTAAGTTAAAGTACAAAAAGCTTAATTTATAAGTGTGTAGTCTTCTTTTTCTGCGTCAAAGGCGAAAATTTTAGAAATTTAGTTTTAATTTTTAACCAAAATGTCCATTTTTAAGTAGGTATTATAAATACTTTTAATTTCATAAGTATGCACAAGGGTCGATTTATATATGTACTTCCAAAATAAGTACGAATGAGAACCCTGCAACTAAATTAATTTATACCTTCAGAACGATGGTTAAACTTTGCATCAAATAAATTCATTTTCATAACCTCAATTTAAAACAAAATTTAATTTAAAAATTAATTTTGTGTCCAATATTTATGTATTATTTTAAAATAAATGTTTAATAATTAACAAAAAAAGTTCATGTTTTATTGGTGAAACAAGATGGTAAAGTTGAAATATCAACGTTCATTTAAATAATATTAGGGTGGAAAAAGGCAAAAAGTAATGTAGTCTAACAGAAAATATTTAAACAAATTCCTCAGTTTTCAATAATTAAAATGAATCTTAAATTCGTAAACTACACTACTTATGAAAAATTGGTGAAAAGAATCAATTTAAACAAATGGGTAAAATAAAAGAATAAAATTAGCAGATTTTTTGTTGTATTGATCAGCAAAATGTTTCAAAATTGGAATAATCAATTCCACAAATGGTTAAAAGCAAATGATTCACTCAAAGAATCAACCATCATCATTAGAATCATCATCACGTCTCTTGCCATCTGAGACCCCTGCAAAAATTCTTAACAAAATTTAAAAACATTTCAAACCTTGTTTTTGTTGACGTGCACCTGCAGGTCGCCCACGTTTTTTAGTCTGAGCTTTCACTGGAGTGGTTACTTTGCTGTCCATTACAGGAGCAACTGACTTTGTTTGCTGTTGCTTCTCGTCAGCAGAATCATCTGCCAATAATAAAAAAATTAATCGAATATTAATTAAATAACCTTCAGTAGTTGGATCCTTATCAGATTCTCTATCATCATAAACAACTTCGCTGTGTTCGTCATCAGAATCCTTATCATGTCTTGACAATCGCTTAATAGCAAAGCCACCTCCTCTTGGTGCTCTTCCTTTAGCAGGCGCTTTGCCTGAACTTTTTCCTGTGCCAGCAGCAGGGCGCCCACGACCTCTCTTCCTAATACCCCCTGAAGCTGGAGTTCCAATAGCGCTACCAACACTTGAACGCTTCTTATTAGCAACACGTTTTTTTGATCCATAATCTTCGTCATCCTCATCTTCGTATTCATGTCCAGCATCTTCATCTTCGCTTACTGATACCTTACGCTTCCTTCCTCGTCCTACAATGGGTTTGCGACCCGGAGCATTTCGAGTAATTCGTTTTGCGCCTCCTCCTGGCTCCTCATCATCTGCTTCAGCAACAACGGTCACTAAAATTATTTTTTAATAAATAAAAAAACTTTTCGTAAAATAAAAATTTTTATTGAACTTACTAGGATCTGGATTAGCATAATCAACACGAGATCTAGTGGACCGTCTAGGACGCGGAGAAAGCGCCTCCTCACTCTGAAATTCAGTATTTATTAAAAATATATATAAGCAAAAACTAACCTGACCCTCCTCACCCTCATTAATTTGTTGTTTAGCTTCAGCCGCCTTTTCAGCCATAGAACGACGCCCTCTTCCTCGGCGTTTAATAAAAGCTGCTGTTTCATCTTGCTTTTCGCCAGTTTTTTCAGAAAGTTCGGGTGAAGGAGAAGGAGGAGCATTTGCACTTTGAACCATCCATTTAGGAAGTCCTTGCTTTGCAGCGCCCTTGAAAAATATTAAAAAGTTAATCGGTTGAATAATGTTTTTATGGTTTTACGTAAAAAGTTAATTCTTATAACAGTTTATAAGGGTCCATAATTCTTGCAATTATAATTTTAGTCTTAAAAATAAATACCTTTCCAGCCTCACTATTTTCTTCTTTTTCCTTTTTTTCTTCCTCCTCTTTCTTCACATCAACCGCCATCTTCTCTTCTACCTCAGTTTTTTCATCAGCATTCTTAGGTTGTTCTTCGATATTTTTCTTTTCACCATCTTCCTTCATTTCTTCCTTATTGTTTTTTGTTTCTTTTGCCTCTTGATCATTCTTCAATTTTTCTCCAGCTGATTCTGTTTTGATTTCGGATTCAGTAGTCGCAGGTGCTGGCTCTTCTGGTTGCTCCAAATTATTAGATGGCTGTGGCTAAAATTCTATGTAAAATTTTTAATTAACTAGCAAATAAACCTCCTGATCATTCTTTGCCTCGGTGCTTTCTTTGTTGCCAAGATTGTTATCAATTGGTTTTTGAGATGGAATAATATCTTCAGCAGATTTTAATTTGTCTTCCGAATTTAAATTTTGTTCGGGCTGCTCTAAAGTATTCGATTCCTTCGATGTTTTAACTAGCAAGGATGATTCTACACTACCTTCAATTGAACCATTTGTCTGCGCCTCAACTAAAAATTTTGGAATTTATTTAAAGAAAAAAAAATATTTAGTTAATTTTTTACTTACGAGTACTTTCGCTTTTATTGTCTTCAGTTGAAACTTTCTCAGAACCTCCATTTTCAGCTCTAGCTTCGGCCAATGAAGCCGACATGAATTATTCTTAATATTTAGCAATAAATAAATATCCTTAAACAAAAATTAATTAACAACAAAAGTACAAGATAAAATAAAAATTAAGGAAAAGTATATTTTTAGAACGCCGTCCACAGTTCTAATATTGAATATTTTATGGCCGCCAGCCATAAATTTTGTTTTGACCAAAACAGTGCAATTGAAAGAAAGAGTGGAAAAAAGATTGAAAGAAAATAGGATGTTGCGAAAGAAAACATAAGCAGAAGAGTAAAGGAAGGAAGGCGTATCCCCTTAAAATCTCTATTCCTTAAAATCTCTACTGGGCTAAAATGCCTTATAATCTCTACACAGCTAAAATGCATTAAAATCTCTACTCGGCTAAAAATGATTAAAATAACTATTCCTTAAAATCTCTATTCCTTATAATCTTTACACGGGTAAAATGCCTTAAAATCTCTACATGGCCAAAAATAGGATAAAATGTCTATTTTTTCATTCGGGAGCCTTTTGAGTGCCAACGTTCAGTGTGGAAACGTTGTTCTGATTTCTGGCTTATCTTTTGATATTATTTTGCTTGTATAGTTTTTGCCGCTGCGGATGAACCCAGGCATGTCCAGCGGAACGACAGCATCCGCTTCGATACGATCACCGCAAGCAAAATGAACACGACCGCAGCGACAGTCGTGTATTATATCTTCGATATTTACAGCGGATACAAGCAGATATCCGCAGCCATTTTTAAATCAATTGTATCCATATCCATTACCAAGTCTTGGTTTTCCAATGAATAGTTCATATTTTACACTTTTGTTGAGACTCTACCGTCCATTTGCACGGTGTAGAGATTTTAATTATTTTTACCCCAGTAGAGATTTTAAGGAATAGTTATTTTAAGGAATAGAGATTTTAAGCATTTTTACCCTAGTAGAGATTTTAAGGAATAGCGATTTTAAGGAATAGAGATTTTGTATGGGAGCCAAGGAAGGATGCCGCTTGCACGCAAGACAAAATTGGGACCGTTGGTTATCAAGCTTTAAGTCGATATTTAAATGTTATGCCAAGGATTTAATGTCTTTTATTTATTTGTCGTAATGATTTTTTTCCAATTTAAACAATAAAAAACAATAATTTGATAATTAATTATTAACTTTTCTTTTGTTGTTTAGATGACCTACTTATTGGTAAGAATTTCGGAGAAAATACGCAAAGGAACAGGAAATTGATCCATTCTTGTTCCGCACTTATGCAGACGTGTAATTATTTTTCTCTTCTATCTGCGCAAATCATTTTTCATAAAAATCATACACTTAAAATTTTTAATTTAAAAAGAAAGTTTTCAGAGAAAAATAAAAATGTTCAATAAACCTTTATTTCATTTGGTTTTAATTATTTCTTTTTTGCCTATTATTTTTTGTGCTACAAGGTCGAAAAATTTATTGGCATTGAGTGAGGAGAATTGGCGTGATATTCTCACTGGAGAATGGATGATTGAATTGTATATTTTTTATTTATTTTTATTTATTTTACGCTTAATCTATAAATTTCATTTTAGTCACGCTCCATGGTGTCCGGCCTGCAAAGATCTTCAAAAGGCATGGAATTCTTTTGCCGATTGGTCGACGGATTTAAACATAAATGTCGCAGAAATTGACGTGACTACCAATCCGGGTCTTTCTGGCAGATTCCTTGTCACTGCTTTGCCGACAATTTATCAGTTTGGATTTCAGTTTTCTTTTAATTTTATCTTTCATTTATTTCAGTGTGAAGGATGGCGTTTTTCGCCTTTATGTTGGTCCACGTGACAAGAATGATTTCAGCACGTTTATTGAAGAAAAGCAATGGACAAACTTTGATCCAATTCCTTCTTACAAATATCCAGACAGTCCGCAAATGGGAATTGTGGCTATTTTCTTTAAACTTTCAATGGCTGTTCGCGATCTTCACAATCATATGGTTGAAAAGCTTGGTGTTCCTTCGTGGGCTTCTTATACGCTTTTTGCTGGAGTTACTTTAGCACTTGGATGTGTTCTTGGATTTGTATGTTTTTGTTTATTTTTAATTTTTTCTAAATTATCACAACTAGGTTGAATCATAAGAAAGTTTTTAGAAATTGAACTTCGTACCCCCTCCCCACCTTTCCCTTCCACAATGTGGAAAAATGTTACAAAGTTCAATTTTACCTATTTAAGATAATTGTCTGCATCATTGATTATGTTTTTCCTACGGGAGCTTATGCCAAAAAATTAAAAGAAGCTGAAAAGAAAAGGCAACAGCAACATACGAAATCATCTCAAAAAGGTAAATTTATCAATGTATTTATTTTTCTATTCTTTTACTTAGATACTTGTGAAGCAGATTCTTCGTCTAAAGCGGATACCAAGAAAACTAAATAATTATTTTATTGGAAAGAAAGTGAAAAATGTTGGATATTTATTATTGTTTTAATTTTTTCTTTTGATATTTGTTGCCTTTGAATTTGAGGTTTTATGACTGTTAGTTTTGTTGATAGTAGACATGAAGATTTATTTTTGATTGATTTTTAATTTAATTATTAACCTCAAATTCTTTTAAATTTCTGGCCATCTACTCACTTTTCTGCCTTTATTTATGATGTTACTTAAATATATTTAAAATATATTTTATGATTATTTATTTTAAATGATTTTTTCAACAATTTTATCTAAATAAAAATAAAATTTTAAAAAAGCTTTTAGTTTTTTAAATGGATTTTACTAATAATGAATTAGATTTTCGGCCGATTGCTTCAACATCTTCAGAGTCTAAAACGCGGTTTTCTCATCTTTATTCAGTTCAACTTAAACAACATCAATGCCCTATTGTATATACAAATGAATACAATATTAGCTTTTTTGGAATTGAGAGGTTACATCCATTTGATTCAAAAAAGTGGGGAAGAGTTTTTCAATTTCTTGTTGGTGAGTATTTTTAATTTTGCTTTACGCACCAGGATATTCACCTTATTAAAAGTTTCTTTGAGTAATCTATATAAGCTGGCTTCTAGCTAGTTTGATCAAAAAATTAATTTCGAAAAATAGCTATTAACGTGAAAATTGTCCCTTTGACATATGTGGAAATGTTTTTACATTTTTAATTTAATTATTCTGCATAGAGAGTGGACAATTAAAGGAAGAAGCAATTATTAAACCTGAAGAAATTAAAAAGAAAGATTTATTATTTGTTCATTCCCCAACTTATTTATGTTCTCTCAATTCAACAATTCGACTTGCTTTTATTTTGGAAGTTTGTTTAGTTATTCCTTTTCCTTCTTGTTTAGTTAATAGATTGGTATTACGTCCATTAAGGTTTTTTAGAATTCTGAAATTTTAATTTTTTTTCAAGATTTCAAACAGGTGGTTCCATTTTAGCTGCAAAATTAGCACTTCAATATGGTTGGGCAATTAATATTGGTGGCGGTTTTCACCATGCTTGTAGTGATACAGGAGGCGGTTTTTGTGTTTATGCTGATATTACTTTAGCAATTAAAATTTTATTTGAGGATGGATTGATTAAAAAAGCAATGATTATTGATTTGGATGCTCATCAAGTTTTTAGAAAATTTAATTAAAATTTTTCTTAAATTTAAGGGTAATGGACATGAAAATGATTTTATTAACGATAATCGTGTTTATATTATGGATTTTTACAATGAACAAATCTATCCTAAAGATGGACCTGCAAAAAGTATTTTTAGCTAAAAAATAATTTTTGGTTTTAAAATATTTTTAGAAAGTATTTCAAGGGCAATTCCTCTTCGAATTGGAACGAGCGACGAGTATTACCTTTCTCGATTAGAAAGGGAATTGAATGAGGCATTCTCTGAATTTACTCCTCATTTGGTTGTTTATGTGGCTGGTACAGATTCGCTTTCTGGTGATCCTTTAGGGCTTTTGAGAATTTCTTCTAAGGTTTTTTTAATATTTAGAAATGGGGAGGGGGAGGTCGGGCGTAACAAAAATGTTCTCTTCCTTTAATGAATCTTAATTTTGTTTTAAATATTTTCTAAATTAGGTACTTCAACTAGGGGAGGGGGCGGTATAAACATGAAATACCCTAATTTTTGCTCGAGGCTCTAATAGTTTATTTGTTATTTAATAAATTTTATAAATGAATTTATAATAATTCTTATTTGACAAATTAGGGAATTATTCGACGAGATGAATTAGTATTTAAAGCAACTAAACAACGTGAAATACCTATTGTTATGGTTAATTAATTAATAATTATTTTGAAAATTTATTTATTTTTAGTTAACTAGTGGAGGTTATTTACAACAAACAGCTAGGGTTATTGCTGATTCAATAATTAATTTAAATTCGCTTGGCCTTATTGAACTTAAATAAATATTTTAAAATCGAAATAAAAATATTTTTATATTTTTTTTATTTTCTTAAAATTTTTATTTAAAAAAATGACAATATTTTTTAAATTATTTTATTTATTTTTATTTAAATATAAGAACAGAAATGTGTATTACTTTTATTATTAATGCTGATAATGATTTAATTTTGGGAAGATTCAAATTAATATTGTTAAATAATAGAGATGAAGGTTTGGAAATTTGTGGAAATTATTGTTTAAAGAATTTATTTTCAGAATTTTCTCGCCCTACTTCTGCACTAGCTTGGTGTGATGGAATTTTGGCGGGTAGGTTGTTTTTACATAAAAAGGTATTTGATATCCCACCCCCATTTGAGTTTCAGATTACTCTGCTTTTTTACTGTTCACTTATTAAATTAGAAGGGTTTGAAAATTAGTAGGGTTTGAAAACTTACAACGTGAAGGATTTTATTGTTAACAATAAAAAAGCAAAATAGGCGTAGGGTGGGGTGGGGGATATTAAATATGTAAGTACCAAAAGTAGATGTCAACTTTAATTAACAAAAATCATTCTCATAATCAAATATTTAAAAAAAAATAAGGGAGAGATGAACGTGAAAGAGAAAGAGGTACTTGGCTTGGAATTGACAAGAATGGGAGAATTGGAAATTTATTGTCTATAACAGAACCAAAAAATGTTTTTAAATCCTTTGCACCGAGCAGAGGTTTAAAATAAAAACAAATTTTAAATAAATATTTTTAGGTAAATTAGTTACAAATTTTTTGAATGGACAAACTTCTGCTGAAAAATTTCTTTTTCAACTTGGAGGGGAAAATTATAAAGATTTTAATGGATTTCAATTTGTTATATTAGAAAGGTATTTTATTAAATAATTAATTTAATTAATTTTTTAATTGAAAGGATTGAAGATTGTTATGAACTTTATTCTTTTACAAATAGATTTGATAATTCTGAGCCTGTGCATTGGCCTAAAGGTTTTAATTTCTTGTATTAAATTTTTTTAAATTATTTATAGGCCTTCATGTTTTTAGTAATAGTCCAAGAATAACTCCCTTCAAAAAGGCTATTTATGGCGAAAAACTCCTTCAATCATTAATTGACCAATTCTCTACAAAAATTGATTTTACTGAAGAGGATTTAATTAATGGACTTTTTGAAATTGGTTCAAATACAGAAATGTTTGTTTTTAATAGAAATTAATTTTTAAAATATAATAATTATTTTCTTCATTTTTAGACATTTTCCGGATGAACAAATTCGTCTACAAACTGGGTCTACTGATTCAAAATACAAATTGTTATGTTCAATTTTTGTTAATGGGCATTTACAAGGAAGAAATTATGGAACAAAGTATTTTTAAATATATTGGGGCCTACAACACCCAACGTTGGCATTTGTTCTAATTACACAAACTGGTGACCCACTATATAGACTCGTTTTGATGTGGTAGATTTTGTAATATTTATGAGGAAGGAAAAAAAAGGAAATTTTGGGCGGATAGTACCTATAGTTTTTTTTAAATTTAATTTAGATCAACTTCAATAATACTAATTGATAAAAAAGACAATGTAAGCTTTTATGAAAGGCGTGTGCTTGACATAGCTAAACCAATGGATGATCCTTCTAAATTTGAATATTCTGTCGAAAGATTTTTATTGGAAAAATACTAAAGAAATATATTTTTTATTTAAATAATTTTGGAATTAGTTCCGTTCAATTAATGGAAAATTTATATATTTTTATAAAATTTAATTTTGGCTGTTAACCAAAAATATTGCCTTTAAATTTGTTGATTTAAAGAAATATTTTTTTAAATATAATCTATGATCAATTAAGATTTTATTATAAAGTTTGTAGTATTCATTGGTTTTTGTTGTAATATTATTTTCTCTTTTTTTACCTTTTTCCAACTCTAAATTTTTACAAAATATTTAATAATTTATATTCTTTTTAAACAATTTTTAAATAAAGTTTTAACTAGTTTTTTATTTTATTTTGGTTATTCTTTATTTCCTTTCTTCCCCAACTTTATTTTTATAATTATCTAGGTAGTTTTATTTGGGCCCTGGTTACAACATTATTAAGTTTAAGTACAAAATTAAAAAAAGTACATAAAGGGAAAAATTTTTCAAAATATAAATGAGCTACTAAAATACAATTTAAAAACATTTATTCTCACTCACATTTTTTATACATCCCTCGCAAATATTTTTTAATAATTTTTTGGTTACACTGAAAATTTTGTAAAGTTCTAAACTTTTTTTTGGAAGGCCAAGAAGCCAGGATTTCTTTTAAATCTGCTATTCGTTTCAAATATTTTAATTTAATTTTTTAACCAAAAAAGTCCATTTTAAGTACTTATTTACAAGTAATTACATTTTCAATTTTGGAAGTACGAAGGTTAATTTGTAACTACTCTAATATTTTTAATTTATTTTTTTTTCAAAATTTATAATCAAATTTTAAAAAAATGTATTTATTTTTTCAAAGAGTAAATAAATGTTAAGATGCACCCAATGTTTATTTAATAATTTTTACAGCCCGTTCATTGATGATTGTGGTCATAATAAACTGATAAAGAATTTGTTTAATGACGAATTTTAGTATATTTAATTAAATTAAATAAATTTATTTTTGACAAGAAATGTATATGTACATATTCTTCTCTCCTTTTACTTATGCTTCAATCCCCCTTTTTAAGCTTTTAATTTTTAATCAAATAAAATATTTTTAATTTTTCCAAAACTTTTTCTTAAAAAATTTCCTCCTTTTTCCTGACAAATAAATAAAAAATAAATTATTAAAATACTTTTTAATATTAAATAAAAATTCATAAACATTTTGTTGATAATAATATATATTTTTTCTGATAAACCCCCAAAAAAATAGTTTGGGGGAACCCCCCTTAAATAAATAAATAAAGTCTATATAATCCTTCCAAAATATTTTTAATCATTTATTTATTTAATAAAAAAAAATAAAATAATTTTTTTCTTATCAATTTTAGTTTTAAAATTTAATTAATTAAATTAATTTAAATGCCCTATTTTTTAATTTTAATATTATTTTTGTTTTGTTTATTTATTCAAAATAATGGACTAAATTTGAATAATTCTGAATTAATTGTAAGAATTAATTAATTGAAATTACTGTATTTACTGGAGGGGTAACTAATAGGGGCAGGGTAATTATTTGAGGGAGAGGGGGGGGGGTAATTAATAGAGTATATATGCTAATTGTTTGGGGATTTATTTAATTATTTTCTTTAAAAAAACAATTTTAATTTTTTTTTATAAAGACTTCAAATATTTTAAAAAGAAAACAACAAAATTTATTAAAAGAAGAATTTAAAAGAAAAATAAAAAATAATAATAAAGAAATTGGAAATGTTGTTAGAAAAGAAGGTATTTAATTTAATTAATTTTTTGTTGTCTTCTTCTGATAACCCAAACATTTATTTATAGAAATTAAAAAAAATTCTTATCTTTTTTTTCAATTTTTTAGAAGAGGGAATTTCTAAATTAATTTGTCAATTTTTTGTTTTTGGAATTCTTTTTGGTGTTGTTTGTTCAATATCTGCATGTTCCTGCATTTTTCGTTCAAGACATTTTAATAATTCACGAAGAATTTTTAATGGAATAAATACTTCTTTAGAAGAGGCTAATTTAAATAGTAAAAATAATATTTTTTTGTTGAGGGAGGGGGGGATTCCCTTTTTTGTGTAGGGGAGGGGGGGGGATCCCTTCTCTCCCCTTCCCTCTTTTATTGGAAAGGGGTTCCCCCTAAATATTTACATAAATTTATTTTTATTTTTTAAGGACTAAAACAAATAAAAGAACCATTTTCCCCAAATCAACCTTATTATTTAAAGGTATTTTTAATTAATCTAAATTAAAATTTAAATATTTATCTAGATTGACGAAAAGGGTTTATTTTATGCCTGTCCATTAAATAATAAAGAAGAAATACCTAAATTACCTAATTATTTGGAAGCCTGTAAAATGCCTACAACTACAAATTGGGCATTAAATGATATTAAAGCTAGTCCTGTTTAAATGTTTTTTAAAAAAATATTTGTTTGTTTGTGTTTTTTTGAGGGGAGGGGGGGGGGGAGGTTGAAAATATTTCTATAAAACAAAAACAAATATTTTTACAAATATAATTCTTCATTATATCTTTTTTTCTTTTTTTTGTCCTTCTCTTATTAGGAATTGGATTTTTGGATCCCCAATACAAAAATTTATGAAAATCATTAATTTCTAAAAAATATTAGAGTTCCTCCAATATTTAAATTCCATTAAATCTCATTTTATTTTTAAATTTTCTTTTCTCTTTTTTGCTCAAAATAATAATTATATACTATTTATATTGTTGCCTCATTTATTATTTAAATAAATATTTATTTTAATTTATTTCGGGTTAAATTATAAACTAGGGATTATTCTCTGCTTTTTAGCAGAGAATAATTTTTAAAAATTTAATTTAATTAATTTTTGAAAATTTTTTTTTCAAATTTTTTTGTGTTTTATACACATTTTGGGTGGATTAAATATATAAGGAAATATGTATTCTTATATTTTTTAAAGATAAAATGACAGCTAGAAAGTCGCAACCGGAAAACTACCAAATTTTCACTTTAAAAAATCTCTAAAAATAAAATCTTTATAAATAATTTACATATAAATAAATATTTTTTATATATAAATAAAATTTACTTCTTTAAAAACAAAAAAAATAAAAATTATTAAAAAAAGCAAAAAAAAATTTTTAATTTTATTTTCGCCTTTACTTTATTTAAAAAAAAGTTTAATCCATTTTTTTATTTAGCAAAACAAAAATATATTTTAGTTAGTTTAGTTTCCGTCCTTCTAACATTCTTTTCTCTTTTAATTTTTCTCTCTTCAAATACTAAATAAAAAAATATATATGTTTGTAGGACTAACTAACTGGCTATTTCCAATTTTATATTGCCATTAAACGAGTTCTCTCTCTCTAAATTTATTTGTTTTTCTCTTTTGTTTGTTATTGAAGAGGATATATTTATTTATTTTTATTTTTTTAATGTCTGTCTCGAGATTAATTTTTTGTCAAAAATACTTTAAAAATAAAAAATATTTCTTCAAAATATTAATTAAAAGAAAATTTATTTTTTTGTTTAAATTAATTTTATAATGCTGCTGGTGTTAAATTAATTTTTTAAAATAATTTAGTTAAATATAAATGCTTCTATTAGCAATTCTACTTTTAATTTGCACAATTATTTTGATTATATTTTTTATTAGTCATTGTGCACTTCTTCCAAAAAGGACAAATCCCCATCCAGAATTAATTCCCTACAGCGTTGTTAAAAGTCCCAGAAAATATTCAGCATTTACTGACCACGAATACAGTACTAGTCCATCACCATCTTCTGCTGTTAGGTAAAGAAACTGCAACTCTAAGTCCGGTCTCTAGTCCCAACTCTCCGGCAGACCTGCTGGAGAGAGAAAAAAATTTGGTTCCGCTGGGAGTTCAGGCTGACCTGAAATTGCTGGATTTTTTTATCGTGGTTTAGTTTCATGTAGGCTCCGGTTCTTCAGTATTACAAGCTGAAAACTGAAGATTCTTCGGTACTATCGCATTAGCTGCCATCATTTTGTTTTCCTTCTCCCTTCATATGTTAGTACCGATTCTTCTTATAATTATTTTCCTTTCATAACAAAAGAGAACTTTTTTTTATTTTTACAGATCAATGCAGTCACTTGAATATTTACATAAAAAATTGGAAGAAAGATGTAGACCAAGAAGCCATTCTATGGAGGATTCAAGGCCTAAAAGTGATTATCTCCATCCAAAATATTCACTCCCGCCTTCAAAATGTGGTCCAGATTGGGAAATTGTATTTAATTGTATATTTATTTTTAATTAATTTTGTTTTTAAAAGTTTTTGAATGAAAATGGAATTTTGCGGGCGCCTTTACAATTTCATAACAAACAAGAATTGGACAGAAATTTCTCATGAAATTATAATTAGTATATTTATTATAATAGAGCTCATTTAATTTATTTTTAAAAATTAATTTAAATAAAATTCTTGTATATATTTTTGAATATTTTATTGGCAATCTTCAATATTAGATTATCAATTAAAACAAAATAATATTTTGTTTTTGACAAAAATTTAATTTTTATAACAAATATATTAGTCAATAATTTTATATATATTTTTAATGGCTAAAGAAAAAACGGAAACAGGCCAGTCCGCCACGAGCCCACTCCGACACAGGGCTAAAAATTGAGTAAAAGAAACGAACAAAAAGTCCTCGTATATAAAAGCTGAAAAGAACTGTGAGATTCGAAAATTTTACCTCACGTCATAGCCCTGCGGTAGAGAGTGGGCTCGTGATATCCAAGAAAACCTATCAAAAACTCGTGGAAGGAAAGGGGTAAATACCCGAATTTTTAATTATATATTTCAAATAGTTTATCAATTTATATTTAATTAATTCTCTCTTGTTTTTTAATTAATTAAAAAGTCACACACAGGTACTGGCAAAATTATCAGATGAGAGCCGTTGACAATCATTTGAACAATCTATGGCCATTAAATGATTTTGTTGTTGATGATGATTCGTGTTAATTGTCGATGAATGTTTGTCTTCCTAAAAATGAATTTAAAAAAAATTTATTTAAAATTATTTACTTGTTGATTATGTTGAGAATTAGGCCTTATCCAAATACAAATATAATCCTCTTGACAGGTAGTAACAATACAATCCTCTCTAAAATGTAAAGAACCCAATCGACCATTTGAAACCTTAACAAGATTTTCTTTTTAATATTAAAAAAATTTTCTAAACTTTTTTGCAAAGAATTGGCTCTATAATTGGTATTTCTTCAATTCTTGGACATTGGGGTGTTCCAAAAAGTTTAGCAGCAAATGAAGGGCAATCATTACGTTTAAGTGTTCCGTCAACAGAATGAGCTCCACTTGAAGAAATTCCATTTTGGCGATTATTTCTTTTAAAATAAATTTTTTATAATAAAAATTTAAAAATTAATACTTTTCACTATTTCCAGTTAAACGTGAGCCAATACTTAAACCTCGCTTGTGTAAACGTCTAAATCGACCACCACCTCCATTTTTTAATTTATCAGATTTTAAACCGTTCTTTTGATTCTTAAAATTCAAAAAAAAATTTTAAATTAAAAATTACCTCTTTAGGAAGTGCAATAGAATTATCAAAACCAATGGGAATAAGAGTTGTATTATTAACTTGATTTATTTCTATTGGAGAAATTCCTGGAGATAACGCTCCAACAGGTGAAGAAAGTTCCGTTTGGATATCTTGTAAATTACGAGAATTCCTGCTATAACAGCTACTTGAAAGAAGAATATCATCAGAAATATCCCAAAGGCAAAGCTTAAAATCACCAAAAAATGCTTTCAATTAAATATAAAAATACCTGACAATCATGGCCAACAGAACCTATCCGATAAATAATTCGTAATTGTGAATTAATTTCTCCTTCCTGATTATCATCAAAAACTGAGTGGTTTGGAATGGAAGATGAACAACTAGCTGCAATTCCGTCACATAAATCAGAATTAAAATTTGCCCCATATCCATTTTGGCCAATATGATGAATACCAAATGAATTTTGAGAGTAATTTAGACCACATAAAATATAAGATTTGTTAAATTAAAAGGAATTTTTGATTAAATCACCGGTATGAACCATTAAAGAAGTATTTGCAGTAGAAGACAACAAAATTTCATCAATCGTTGACTCATTGTAAACAGTGTTATTTTGTGGAAGAGAATTGGTAGAGGCATAATAATCAAATTCGATGTCAGAGATCCAAGATTTATGACCTTGTCCTCGGCAAACAACCCGATCTTTAAATGTTTGATATATTCAAATTATATTATTTAACGAAATTATTATTAAAATAAAGCTCAAGAGTCAATACTCAGTAGCAAGACATAAATTTATATTCAACTTATTCAAATTTATATTATTAATGTATAAAAATACAAACTTTCAGTAACAGAGTAAAGCGAAACAAGGTCATCTTCTCCACCCGTAGCAATATACCGCAAGTCTGGACTCCATGCCAGACATAAAAGACCCCCAAAATAGGAACGCATACATCCAATAAGCTCCATTGTTCGCCAATTAAAAATACGTAAAAACCCGTCCTTAGGAAAAATATTTAAAAATAAAACAAAAAATCATTAAATTACTTGGCTAACAGTTGCAATAAAATTGGAAGTAGAACCAGAAAATGCAAAAGAATTAATTGCCCCAGTGCCAATTTGCCATCTGTGAACAGGATTTCGGCTAACTTTTGACTTGCAAGTAAAGACAGTAAAACAATCACCCTAATGAAAAAATATGGTTTTAAAAAATGTAAAAATAAATAAGTTACTTGTTTGAGAACTTGGTAGGTTGGAGCTATTGTGGAAGAGTCAAGCTCATCATTGTATAACTGAAAAAAGAAAAAAAGATTATATATATATATATATTTAAAAAAAACAAGACAAACGTAAAGATTGCCACTTGCATGTGAGGCTACAAAAAAGGAACATCCATCAGGAACCCAACGTAAACAAGTAACCGCTGTTCGATCTATTTGTCTCTCTTCATTAAAAAGTTTTGAATTGGGCATTTCCTTCTGCTGTGGATCAATCAATTGGATTTGGCCAGCAGAAAATCCAATTAGCAACAAACAGGAAGATTGGGAAGAATTTTCTTTATTAAAAGCGTGACATGTAGGAAATGTGCCTTTGTAAACACGTTTGTCGACTATTTTTGCAGTGTCAGTCATGCCATTTGCCCCACTAAAAATTTTGGGTACATATTAGTTAGTCTACAAATTAGTGCCAGCCGAAATGTGATCAGCTATAACTTTTTGATACTTGATCCATATCAAATGAATTTGATATCAATTGAAAGCCCTCGATAAGCAGTATTTTTTCTAATTGGATATTAAAAAGTTATAACACGATAAATGTGAAAAATACCAAACAACTGGACTTATCGGACTAGACCTTTTTAATGTGTGATCAGACACGACCTATCCAGTTAGAAAAAGAATACTTCTTATCGAGGTTTTTCGAATGATATAAAAAATTTTTTCCAAAAATCTTTTACTATATTTATACAAAAATAAATTTTACCTGTAATCAAAAACGTAAATCTCTCTTCCAATATTTAGACAAATTCGCTCTATATAATTTGATGTCTCAATAATAGGGGAATGATGATGGTCAAATGAATTAGTATTTGACGTATATTTATTTGAAGTTGAAGGTAAAGCTTCTTCCACATAATTTAACTTGGGAATTTTTAAAAACGAAATACGTATAGACGAATTACAGACAGGACCAGCAACCTAAATAATTAAGAAAAAAAGTTCATAAAAAAGAAAAAAAAAATAGAACCTGGGTGGGCATTCTGTTGGAACGGAAATATTCATTTGCAGTTGTTGATTGACGATAAACACCTTCAGGCAGATTTAAATTTGTACGAATTGGTAATTGCTCTATAGCATTAAGTGGCTCAGGAACGACAGTGTTGTAACCGTAGATTGGAGCATGCATCATCAAATAACACATTCACATGAGAATATAATAAAATTATATTTTATGCAGGAATAAATTTACAAAACAATAATTGGTCTAAAATAATGAATTAAGTAGCCAAAATCTTAAATAAGTTAAAATTGTAATTGTAAACTTATTACAAATTAGGAGAGAGATTGCGGCAAAAAATGCTAACGTTCGTCAAAAATGTTTGCTCCTAAACAATTAACTGATCGCCACGGCCAAAAAGGGTTAACTGGTCGCTTTTTAATAATTTGGGAAAGTTCAATTGGGTGCCGCTACTTGAGTGCACCAAGCACTTGTGTGCGTGTCTGGTGACGAACAGTGGGTGATTTGGGCACTTTTCATGTCCTTTGATAATCCTGATCTTATCATTAACATCTTATTTCTTTTCTTTACAGAATGGGGGATCAAATTATTTCGGCATCAGAAGAAAATAATTCATCATCAGAAGTTAAGAATTCGGCATCTACCCAATCAAGCAATGAATCTAATTATGATACTCTCTTTGCTTCGAGGTAATTTTATATGTGGTTAGTGAAAATTAAATTTATTTTTTTAAAGGTACACAAATAATGATGATGAATACAAAAGAGCGTCCATAACCATTTCGCATGAACCAATTTGTCTCTCATCTTTGGGGTTGCAACAATCAAATGAATCAGGACGTTTATATTCAAGAATAAATCAAGAGAGAAATTATGAGGATCGGAATTGGCGTCATACTCCATATTGGAGAAGAGGGAGAGGAAATGTGGAAGAAAATTGGAATAATCGAAGAGATTACAGGAGACAATGAAGAAACAGAGATTTATATTTCTTTTATTATAGTACTATGTAAATTTTAATAAACAAATTTTGTTTTATTTTTTTGGGTTTTTAACCTTAATTTATTTTTTTGTTTTTTCTTAATTTACTTATAGATATTAGAATATATAATGACTGAAATAAACAAAATAAATAGTGATGAATTTGAACTTTATGACCGACAAATTCGTTTGTGGGGATTGGATGCCCAAAATAGGTATTTTTATTAAAAAATTAGAAAATTTTTTTAATTTTTAGACTTCGCCAATCTTCAGTTATAATTGTTGGAATGACTGGGTTGGGTGCAGAACTTGCAAAGAATTTGATGCTTTCTGGATTGAGATCGCTTACTTTAATGGATGACAAGAATGTTAATTTTGTTTATTTTCTTTTAATTCAATTTTTTAATTTTCAAGATTTCTGATGCTGATAAACATTCGCAATTTTTAATTTCTCCAGATGACCGCGGAAATGTATTTTTTAATAATTGAAGAGAATTTTTAAAAGAATTTTTTTTTTATATTTTTAGCGTGCTCAAGCATCTATTGAACGTTTAAAACAATTAAATCCAATGGTTCAAGTTAATGTCGAAAATGGCTCTATTTCAAGCAAATCAGAAGATTTTTTCAAAAATTTTGATTTGGTTATTCTTGTTGATCAAAATTTTGATATTACCAATAAAATTGACAAAATTTGCCGTAAATATAAAATTCGGTTCCAAGCTGGCGGTGTTTTTGGTTGGATTGGTTATGGATTTTTTGATTTTAATGATCATGTTTTTCTTGTGTAAATTACTTTTCTTTTAATTTTAAATTCTTTTAATTTTTCAGTCCAAAACCAAAGGAAGCACAAATTATTCAAAGTATTTTGGATGATGTTGATGAAAGAATTGAAGATATTTCTGAATCAAAAAAGCTTAGAACTGAAGATGGAAATATTCAAACATTTACTTTGGAAGATGAAGATGCAAAAATTAAAAAGGTTAGAAATTTGGATTTGAACGAGATTTTGTGTCGATTGCTTTAAATTATATGTATATCAACTGATAGCTTTAACATAAATGAAGAATTCCCGTTAGAAACCATCTAATCTATCTCCCCATAAAGTCGGAATTGTTAGAATTATAAAATAATTTTCGCGCATTATTTTAAAAAGTTATATCAACAAATTCCATCATAAATTAATATTAAAAAGTTATTATACTTGTTTAATTTTTAGAATGTTTTATTTCCAAGTTTTGAACAAACTTTTGATATTAAACTTGGGATGAAAAAATTGCTTCGTCGGCGTTTTAGTTTGCCAAGCACTTATTATATTATTAGAGGTTTTTTTAAATTTCTTTAAATTAAAAATTAAATTTTTAATTAGCTTTTATGCAAATTATGAAAGAAAAAAATGGAGATGATTATACAAAAGATGAAGTTATTAAAAAATGGAAAACAGAATTGGAAGAAGCTTGTTTAGAAGAATCTAAACAAAAATTTACAGTTGACGATTTTGCTTTGTTTGTTTTTTTTTTGTTGTTTGTTTTTTTTTGTTAATAAATTAATTTATATTTTTTTAATTTTAAGGTTTACAAAGCCGGCTTTAAATTCTGTTTGTGCAATTGTTGGAAGTGTTTTGGCTCAAGAGGCGATTAAAGTAATTAATTTTTTTAGATAAAAGTATTTTTAATTTTAGGCATTATCTCAAAATGATGCTCCATTAAAAAATATTTTTCTTTATTCGCCCGTGGATTCATCTGGAACTGTATGTGAGATCTCAGCTTAATTATCCAATGATGGATGTTTTTGTTAAAAATTATTTATGATCAATTTATTTTTTATTTCAGTTATGTTTTTGTTTAAATAATCAGAATACTTTTTAAAGGACATTATTGCAACGATAAATTTTGAAGAAATTTATTTGCAAAGTTTGAATTTTCTCGACGATTTAATGTTTAATATGATCCGAATCATAATATTTAAACTTTATTTTTTGTCTGAAAAATAAAAATATACTACAATAATTACCCAGTATTAGGGTTGACAGATCTGGACTCGAAAAATACCGGAAATTTCATTCGGATATCCGAAGATTTCCCAGGATCCACCAACCTTACCCACCATCTTTATTTTCAATAGACTCCCTAGCTAAAATTAAGGCATTGTTTAACAAATACAAAATTGTCCATTATGTATATTTATCACATTAAATATTTTAAAAACAATTAATGGGACAAAATCTTAAGGCTCTTAATTATGTTGAGATTTAAATAATTAAAACCGTGGAATTTAAGGAGGTAATAAAAATATAAAAAGTCAAGATTTAACACGGATATTTAGGTACCAAAAAAAATTAGAAAGGCATAAAATGGAAGAAGGCACATGTAAAATGTAAAAAAATTAGAGGTAGTAATTATAATAAATTTCCAATTAAATTGGAATCCAATCACGTAATATCAACCCCTGGTGATCGCAAATTTTTGTTGGAATTGGGCAATTTAACAATGCAAGAGGTTCATAATCAATTTGGTAGAAGAAAAATAGTGCAAAAAGAATTGAGAACATAAAAGCAAGAATAAGAAAAGAGGCAGCAACTAACGGCCTTCTCTTTCTAACTCTTCCATTACCAATTGTAATGTATGGAAGTAAAACTAGAAAATTAAAAAAAAAATCAAAATTTCATAATAAAAACAAACTTATTGCCGTAAGAGATCCAAAAATGAATCCAGATACTTGTGCCCAATTATCTAAATTTTGGATAAATTGGAAAAAAAACTACAAATAGAAAATACCTATCCAAGGCAGAAATCCAAGAATAAAAAGTCCAAAAGCTATTGCTAAATGCAAGAAAAGCACACGAAAAGGTTGATTTAGCCAACTCCAACTATAGAGAATGTGAACTATTAAAGCACCTAAAACTCCTCCTTCAGAGCCTGCCGGTCCAACTTCTGGCTAATATTTAAATTTAAATAAAACTAAAAATATTTTACTAACCATGTAAGGTACAAATACTGCACTTGCCAAATATCCCCCAATTCCGGAAATAAAATAAATTGCTGAAAGACGATGCCACCCAATCTAAATTATAGTTTTTTTTAGTTCTAATAACTCAACAAAAAATAAAATCACTAACCATTATTTCGAATCTTCGCATTACAGTTAAATAAAGAGCCAATGATATTGCACAGCGAATTATTCTTAAATTAAGATATTTTAGTATTCAAGTTTTTGATTTTGAGTTTTTCAGTTTTCAAAGAAAATTTCATCAAAAAAGTTTAGTTTTACACAAGAAGCATATAGCGCCACAAGACCGAAAAAAAACTTAAGTCTTGGCCAAAACTCAAAACCGAGGCTCTCGGTTTCGATCAACCGGGTTTGAGCAACCACACTTTACTATATATATATGTATATAAAGGAATTTATTAAGTAAATCTTTACCCTGCATGAATGAAGAGCGGTGTAATTAAACGATAAATATGATCTGGTGAATCTTTGCGTAAAAATGATGTCAAGCCACAAACTTCACGAAGACAAGAAACCTAAAAATATTTTTAGAAAAAGTATTGGAAAATTCTGATTGCCTGTGAGCAAAGTACTGCATTTGGATGGTAATAACCTCCAACAAAATCGCAATATTCTCTAGAAGTTATTCTACACTGTCCATGCATTTGGATGCAACAAGGACGTCCAGTCACTTCACACTGCATGTGTTTGATTGTTGCTGGGATTGAAGAAGCTTTTTGTTCACAAATCTTAAAAAAATTTTAAATTTTTTATATGTAAAAAAACTAACAGGCCAGTCAATCAAGTCGATTCCCCAAAGAAATGGATGAACAGAACGGGGTTTTACACAATAACGGGGATCTTGCCCACAAGCAACACGAAAATTAAAACGTTCAGGAAATGTTCCATTTGTCCATTTTATATGTTGAGCAAATTGTTTCTTTAAAATAAAATTATTTTAAAAATTATTTAAAAAAGAAACCGGGCATTCAGATGTTTGATAACAACCCCAAGGTCCAACACAACATCCAGTTGTTTCTGATTCTATTCGTCTTTCACGCAATATTTGTTCATATATTTTCTGATCTCTTCTCATACAAGGTGTGTATTTAGCACCAACATGAACTAAATCTGACTTTAAAAAAATATCTTAATTAAAAAATATATTTTAAAAAATACATATTTTGGTCCTATCCAAATATTATTTTGCTCCCAAACAACAATATGTGCAGCAGAAAGAGATGAAGTCATTACATTTCCACTACGTTCAATAACACCAAAAGGATTATAAAAAATATTTAAAAAATCAGTTCCAATTCCAAAATTTAAAACCATAAAGAGCAAAACAAAAACATGAACTGTGCTAATCCAATATGTAAAACAAGGTCTTAAAAATTTTTGATAAAAAAGTTAAGATAGTATTAAATATTTCTCTCTTGGTTCTATAATTGCTCGAAAAGTTTCGCTATTGCCCTAACATGCGATATGTTAGTGCAATAAATACGAAGTTAACCTCAAATTATGGAAAGAAAAAAGACCGACCAGTAAGGAAAAAAGTGCGTAAATTGTACAATCCAAACTTTTATCAATATTATTTTTATAATTCCATAATAAAGTATTACCTATAATCACAGGAATAATCTTTTAATTTTACAATTAAAAGAGGATCAGAAATATATTGTCCATAAATTGGTAATCTTTTCCTTCGGCTATTTTCAATTGAGTCATTTGTAATTCTCTTTGTAAAGTTAAACTTAAATAATATCAAATTAAAAGAAAATAAAATAAAGTTATACCTTTCTAAATGCCCGAAACCTTAAAACACTGTCCTCTCCGCTTCCAAACAAACTTGTAAATTTATGAAGTTTGGATACATTGTTTAACTAATATTTTATTTACAAAAATATTTTCTCGTAAATTTTTACCTCCATGTCGTGAGTATTTCCATTCCGATTAGAAATTTGACAAAAATCGGGTGAAAGTGAATTTGTAATAATCTCCTGACGATCGTTATTATCAATGCTCGAAGTAGTTTTATTTGGTACATCAATAAATATAATTCCATTAAGGTCTTCATCGTCCAAATCCATCTGTAAGAAATATATGTTATTATTTGTTACCATCAAACTAATATTTTAAAAAAGTGAGAAAAACTAAAAATATTTCAACAGGGAATTAAAAAAAAGTGCCGTAATATTTCCCATGTCCTAATAGAAGCCCACACAATGAGGGGTATTGAAAAAAATGAGGGGTATTGAAAAATAAACATTACGGTATTTCCTATAGAGCTTCAAAGCTTCAACTTATATTAACCGAAAAACAAAATTTTTAAACCTGTTTCTGTGACTTGTTTGAGATTAAATTTAAAGATTTTGTATGCTCAAGGTCGTGATGATTATTTTCAACATCATTTAATAAACAAGTGTTTGTTGCTGTATTATTTATACCCAAACTTAAATCACATCGAAGACTTTTTTGATTAGAAGGGAAACTGTTAAAAACATCTGGCAATCTATCTTTGTCTCGTATAGATACGCAAGTAGATATCCTTGTAACAGTAGCCCTCTTTGAAGAATTACCTTCTTGAATTTGGCGAAATAAATCACTAAAAAATAATTGAAATTTAAAAATCCTTACAATATTACCCTGTAACAACAGAATTTAATCCTCTGCAAGCCATTCCTAGAACACTTTCTCTTTTTTCAAGGAAGCATTCCCTATTGATATGTGTTCGATCGAGTGATCGGGTTCTCGAAAGAGCTGTAGCTGTTGATTTAATTGACCGCGTCGAGTGTGCATGAGGTCGTTTTGTCGAATCATCCTCTTCGTTTGTATGTGAAACTTCTAAAAAAATGAGAATTAATTTAAGGATTTGTTTAACCTCCATTTCTCGATATTGAACATAATTTTTCCGCAAGAATGTCAGGTTTAATTCCATATTGTACACAATGCCGCAGCCTTCGCTGTGACCATTTATCGTTTTCATCCATTAATTAATGTACATTAATCACAAATTATTCAAAATAATAATTAAATATTCTAAATTAACAAAATTCTGACGAAAATCAACAATAAATTAAACAAAATATTGCAACCGCCTTCTCGGTTTCAATCATTTCTATGAAAAAAAGCCCAAAAACTTTCAACAAACTACTCGCCCATTTCAGTCACATCTAGTGCGCAGCAAAATTTTTTTAGGATTTTCCGAAAAAAAAATTTCTGCGCTGTAATTCAGGAGCTCGAGAAATTATCTAAAGAAATCATTCAGAATGCCATTTCATAAGGCTAAGAAGCCAGAATTCTCCTTTTTAGTTCCGCAGCCGAATTTAAGAATTTTGAAAGTAAAAAATGAGGGCCACCCAAAGATATCGACAGTCCAGAAATCTGTCCGGGAATAGTCGAAACTCCGGAGAGTCCCGACTATTCACGGGTCTCCTGAGCTATCGGGGATATTGGTGTATTTGGAGGGATATAAGTGGATTTGGAGGCCAAAGTCCCAGATTCCTTCCATTTACAGCGCCGATGGCAATTTATGAGAATAATTAATAATCCCGTAAATTTGAAAAAAAATTCCCCGGATCCCGGAACGGGTTTACGTTTCAAAATTTCGACCGGGACGGGATCCCGCGGGATTAATCCCGTAAATCCCGTTTTCCGCGAAAAACCCGTGATTCCGGGACGGGATCCCGTAAAATCCCGTGCGGGGTCCCGACCCGTGCCGATCTCTAATTTCAATAAAGCGAAATTGGCATTTTGTATGGGCACAGTGCCAAAAAGGAGATATTAACGAAAATTTGACACTTTTTAAAAAGTTTTGTGCAACGGGTTTTTTTATGTTGGTGTGGGGTCATTCTTTTCGTTTTTCTTCTTTAACTGTTTTAATTATATAATCTTTATTTTAGTTCTGTTACTTGCTTTGTTTCTTTTAGACAAAACTATTATTTGACTTTTAAACTGATACCAAAAATACATGGGCGCTTTTCTTGATAAGCCTAAAACTGAGAAAACAAATGATATTGGAGTTGGGAGGGTATGTGTAAATCCTCTCGAGATATTACTAATATTTCATTTTTTAAGGATTATCGTTATGTAGTGGCCTCAATGCAAGGTTGGAGAATTGATATGGAGGATGCCCATCATGTTAAAATTTCAATAGGGAAGGACCCTCCTTTTGAGGTTTTTTTTCATTTTTTAAAATTTTCTATTTAAATTTATAGAATTGGTCTTTCTTTGCTGTATTTGATGGTCATGCTGGGAGTAATGTTGCCTTCCATTCAGCAGAAAATTTATTGCAAACTTTATTGGAAACACAGGCATTTCGTGATGTATATCTTTTTATAATTGTCTGATTTTTTATTCTTTATTATCTTCTAGGTCAAGGCAGAGTTAAACTCAAATGACCAAAAAATTACTGAAAAGTCAAAGACATTAATTAAGGAAGGAATGAGGTCAGGTTTTCTGCAATTAGATGCTTCTATGGAAAACTTACCTGGTGGGACAGAGAAAGAACGAAGTGGAACCACAGCAATTTGTGCCATTCTCACACCAGATTATATTTTCTTTGCAAATTTGGGTATTTGATTCTCTAAAATTTTCAATTTACACTTTGTTTTTTAGGCGATTCAAGGGGGATTCTTAGCCGGAAAAGTGACAATATTTTTAGCACTGAAGATCATAAGCCTTACGTTGAAAAAGAACGCGACAGAATTGTCAAGGCTGGTGGTTCTGTGATGATTCAGAGAGTTAATGGAAGCCTTGCCGTTTCAAGAGCACTTGGAGATTATGAATATAAGTCTGTTCCTGGATTATGTCCTACTGATCAATTAGTTAGCCCAGAACCTGATATTTATATCATTGAAAGGAACAAAGAGGATGATGAATTTCTTGTTCTTGCCTGTGATGGAATTTATGATGTGCTCGAAAACGAGGAACTTTGTCGTTTAGTTCGTTCTCGATTAACTGTCACAGAAGATTTAAAGGTTAAAATTTATTTTTATTTTATTAATCCTATTCTTCAGCGTGCTTCAAATCAAGTTCTTGATGTTTGTTTGTCGAAGGGATCACGTGACAACATGACAATGATTATGGTGAACTTAAAATATTAAAAATATTATTAATTTATTTTCAAGGTTGTTTTTGATGCGGCACCTAAAGTTAACGAGGAAGCGGTTAAGTTGGAGAATATATGGTTGGAGAGTGTCGACAAAAGACTTAAAGGTTTTTTGTAATTTATGTTTATAATTATTTTTAGAGCTGATTGAATCCAAACATGACGGTGCTGATGATGCAGGTTTTTATTTTATTTTTTATTAAGTACATATTTTAAACACTCAGATTCGATAACGCTCATTCTGAAACAAGAAGGTTTTGATGATGATTCTCCTTCGACGTGTGACATACATTTGGCCCGTTCTTTGATAGATCGTATTTTGGAAGAAAAGAATAAGATTGAAGAATCTCAGCAAAGGCAACAATCTCCGCAACAGCAAGAAGCGAATAATTTAAGTAACAATTTGGTAGAAAATACTGATGATACTATTAAAACAGCGACGGAAGTTGAGGCAGGAGAAGAAATTGATTATGGTTAATAAATCGTAAAATTAATTGTTTAATGGGAAGAAATAAAAGTATATACCTTATTATTTTATCCAGTTCCTCCATTTATTTTCTACTTCCAAATAAATTAAATACTTGAATTATAAATATTTTTGCACAAATACTCTTTTATATTAATGTATTATTTTTTGTATTTGTTTTTTTTTAATTTTTGTTTTTTGACGTTGATCTACAACAATTAATATTTATTAAAATTGATTTAATTATATACTTTAACAAGGGGAGAAAAAGAAGTTATGACTCGCTTCTCAATGGATTTACTGCTTTTAAGGAGAACTTTTGTACTTGTGAGAATTCTTTTTCCAACTTGGAAGTCTTTTGGTGTTCTTCTTGCCGTTTCTCTTCTTTTTCTATCCATTGCAGGCATATTTATACATTAATTCATTCAGAAGGATAATTTTTTTTCAGATCAAATTGCCGCCTATTTTTTGGGTGTGTTGCCTCGAGAGGTTTTTAATTAAATTTTCTGTCTTATGTATCTCTTAATTTTAAGTTTCATGTTCTTTTGGGGAAGCGAGAAGAATCGGCTTTTGAGCGTCTTATCCTTATGTCATTTGTTTTGGTTTTTCTTAAAGCAGCGGTATTTTTAAATTAAAAATGGTTTTGATTTTATGTTTTAGACATTTGCTCTGATAAAATTACTTTCTTCTTTGCTCTACTTACGATGTCGGCGTTTACTTGGATTTGTTATGCATCGACTTTATTTTAAACGTCACGCTTTTTATTTACTGACAAATTCCTTGGACAATCCGTAAATTAAACATTTTTCTAAATTATTTAAATTAATTTTAGTGATCAACGTATGACTCAAGACATTGAAAAATGTACACGGTTACTTGCTTGTGAATTACTTGGTCCTTTATTATTAACTCCATTTATTGTTATTTATTACACTTATTTGACATATAATAGGTTTTTAATTATTTTAATTACATGTTCTCTTTTAAATTTAAAATGATTCTTCTCGAAATATTCTTTCAGGAAATATATTATAAAAATCAAAAAATTTTCTTTTCAGTTCTGGATATTTAGGACCTCTTACTATTTATTTGTTTTTTACTTCTGCAACAATTATTAATCGAATCCTTATAACTAAAACAATTCCTTTGGTTGCAGAACAAGAAAAAAGGGAAGGAGATTTAAGGTTTTTTTAAATCTTTTTTCTATTTTTAAATAAATATTAATTTAGAGCAAGACATTTAGAAGTTCGGACAAATGTAGAATCAATTGCTTTTTATCAGGCGGGATTTACAGAAAATGTTTTTACAAATCAAAAACTTAAACATTTGTTAAAAACACAAAAAATTTTGATTATTTGGCAATTTTGGTTAAATTGTAATTATTTTTCTTCATAAATTTAAAAATTATTTTTAATTTTAATTTTTAGTAGCCACAAATTGTTTTGACTTTTTTGGAGGAATTCTAAGTTATATTATTATTGCTATTGCTATTTTTGTGCAAAATAAATATGATGACAAAATTGGACCTCCTGAATTGAATGGAATAGTTAGCGAAAATGCTTTTTATTATCTCTATTTGGTAATTACTTTTTGATTCTTTTATACATATGTTCCCATTTGAGTATTAAAATTAATCTTTACTTTCTTATCAATCGAGGGATTAACTTTAAATTATTTTTTTTGAATTATTCTAAATTTATTTAAAATATTTTGTTTTAGATTCGAAGTTTTACTGGTCTTATTTCTTTGTCACAAAATGTGGGAGATTTCGGTGGTGTTACCCATCGGTAATTTTTACATTTTTTTCATTAAATTTTAAATTTAAAACATATTACTATGTAGGGTTAAAAGAGGCTTTAGGAGGATTAATTTTTCTAATCAGGGCTGGATGGAATTGGATTTTTTCCAGTTGCGTCCGGACTTGTTTTCTAATGCAAAGAGGAAATCTATACAAACTTTTAAACCTAATTTTGATTAAACTCGGAATTTTCTATCCTCGTTGAAAATTCTAATAAATCTTTTTACTTTTTAAATACTTATCTTTTAATTTTTTAGTGTGGTTGAGCTTTATGAAGAATTAACGAGGGTACATAGTGATCAATTAGAGACTGAACGCCCTCCTTCGACAGTTCCCAGTTCTGTTGTTGTTATTGCCTCTGATGAAGGAAAAAGTTCAAAGATTGGATGTGGTTGTGTTAAGAAAACTCCAAAAGATGATTCGAATGGAAGAATACAAAAAGTTTAAAAGAATATTTTTATTTATTTAAAAGTTTATTCCTTAAAGGAATTACATGGACGCCAGACACAACATGCTATTTTGGCTAGTGATTCCGATGATGATGAAGCAGAATATTTACTAGGTGAAAATGGTTCTCAAAGAAATTGGTTAGATTTGGCTGCAGAGCCAGCAATTGTTTTTGATTCTGTTACAATTGTTTTGCCTGATGACCCAACACGTGTATTAATACTTAATCTTTCATTACAGGTTTTTTTAATTTAAATTTTTAACTAAAAATAACTAAACTTTTTCACTAGGTAATGCAAAACCGTAATTTGCTCATAAGCGGTGAATCTGGAACTGGGAAAACTTCTTTATTACGTGTAATGGCTGGTTTGTGGAATTGTTGTTGTACAGGGAATGTCGAAAGAAATAGGCCATTACGTCCTCCTTCATCACTTTTCTTTGTCCCACAACGTGCTTATTTTCCATTGGGTCATTCACTTCGTCAACAATTAGTTTATCCATTAAAAGCATTGCCAGTAGAGAGGGATTTGGATAGGCTTGCCAAAATACTTGATTGGATTAAGATGGATTATTTACTAGTTCGTTGTGGTGGTTTTGATGCTACTGTTACATGGGATTGGAATGATTCTTTATCACAAGGGGAATTACAGGCAATTATTTTTTTAAATTTGTTTAAAAAATTTCAATTTTTTAGCGTTTATCAATTGGACGTGTTCTCTATCACCGTCCACGAATAGCTTTCCTTGATGAGGCAACTAGTTGTTTAGGGTTTGATATGGAAAGTGCTCTCTACCAACTTTTTCGAGAAGAGGGAATAACCGTTGTTTCTACAGGACATCGTTTTTCCCTTAAACAATTTCATGACTTGGAACTTTCTTTGAGGGGACGGCAATGGACGATAATTGATTTATTGGAGGCAAGTCATACAGATCGCTCAATTACTTCAAATAACACGGCTTCTTAGCCTTTAAATATTTTTTAATTGACAAATTTAAACTTTTTAATTTAATTTCTAAACAAAATTTTAATTCTATAATTAATTTCTTTTTTATATTTTTTTATTTTTGTTGTATTTATATTTGTCTAATTTTATATTAGAGATTTTGGGCTTTTTTTAAATTAAAAAATTAATGACAATTAAACTTTCTCTAATCTCTAATAAATTTATTTACCAAAGAAAAAGCGAATCTCATTTTTAATTCTTATTTTTTATATTTAAAGATATCAATTGAATATCAGAAAAGTAAAAGAAATATACAAATTGATATATCCACTATTTAAATTTTCTTTTTCAATTTATATTCTATTGACTTTTTGCATTATTCTTAAAATATTTTAAACAAAATACCTTTTAATATTTTTGTAATCAGTTCAAAAAATGCCTCTTCTTCTTATTTTTTTTATAAAAATTATACAGACTTAACTATAGTGTCACCTTCACATGACACCCACACATTCCCATTTTAATGCCAGATTTCTTCCTCCCTAGAGGTGACACTGTAATGACATACATTTATTTTTTATAAATTCTTTTTACAATTAACTGCCAATTTTTTCCCTTTTGTTCACATACAAAAAAATATTTTAATTAAAAGTTGGCATTTTCTAGACTAAAGGATATTTGTAATTGACACCAAACATGTCAGGCAATCCTATACTTGCTTGTAAATTTTATGTGCTTTCAAAGCCATTTTATTCTCATATGTATTAGTGCTTGCCTTTTTAGTTTAATTTTGCAATTTTAAAAAATAAATTTTATTATTAATTTATGCGCTTTCTATAATTTAATTTATCCGGAGTCTAAAATTTGTTTTGGCAGATAATATTAAATTTTTGTTTAAAAATGTGTGTGTCTTGTCGCTTTAACTTAAATTTACTTCATTATCTTCCGTCCTTTATTTGCAAAAAGGGGGAGCAGATAATTTTATTTGCTTTCTTTTTTGTAAATTAACTTTAAATAAATAGAAAATATTTTTTATTAATTTTAAAAAGAGAGCATTTCTTCCTTTCTTTTTTAATCAAGAATAATCTTTTTACAAAAATAAAATTCTTTAAAAATTCCCTCCCTCCTCTCCTTTCAACAACTAGGAGCAATTCCCAAAACAGCACAACTTAAAATATTAATTAAACTTCCTTCTCTTTGTTTTAACACAACAGAATGTCCAATTAAAGGATTAGTTCCATATATAAATTTTTCATTCCATTCAATTAATTCATTTAAATAATTTAAATTTATTGGAATTTCTTCTTTAATTTCTTTTTCTTCTTTTAAATTTAATTTTAATGGGTCTCCAATACTTGAACAACCATTTATTGTTGTATCGCTATATTGATGAATAGACAAAAATAAATTTGAAGAAGAAAAAGAAGTAAATTCTCCATTTAATCGAATTCATTAAAAGAAAGAATTAATTTTAAAACTAAAATTACTTTCGAGTATTTATTTCCCCTTCTCCTCCTCCAAATTCTCCATTCCTTTCAGGTTTAACAATTAATTTCCCAATTCTTTTTCCTTCTTTATTATAAAGATTAGCAATAGCTAAAGCTTCTCCACAATTTTCTTTTTCTTGAATTGCCGTTAATTTTGTAATATTAAATAATTGAGGAGGAGGGCAATTTAAAGGTAATATACATTCGGATATTTCCCATTCAGAAGAATTTACAAAAATATAACCATTTTTACAAAAACATCCAGAAATACAAGGAGAACAAAAACGAAAAGGGCGATTTAATTGATCACAACCAAGAGGGCAAGATGAACCTTTTTTAAATTAATTTGTTTTAAAATATTACATATCCTTTTTAGAATAATTAAAATAATTTGGAAGGTTTTTTGGATATGTATTTAAAAAATATGGGGAAGAATTGAGAGGGAGAGAGAGAGAGGGGTGTTAACTAAATTAAAATTATATTTATGTATCTGTTTTTAACTTAAATAATTAAAAATAGTCATTCAATATACTTCTGTGAACCAGAAATCCGTTATTGACTTGTCAAAACTTTCGAGAAAAGATTAAAGTGGCGACTTTTTATTTTTATTTTTTCCCTTACCACATTTTAAAAATTCTTTTGTTAAATCATTTTCACATTTTTCTCTTTCACTTTCCCCATTTCTTTTAACTACTAATTGTGTTGTTGAATTTTTTTGAAGTATTTCTTCTTTAATAGAGGAATTATTTGATGAAATTTGTTGAGGTATTTGCAGTGCAAATTGTTGTAAAGGGCAGAATTTGGGTAATATACACTCCGAATTAAGGTCATTTGGATCACGCAAAACGTAAGGAATTCGACAAAAACATCTAAAAGTTTAAAACTCTTTAAATGGACTGTAAACGTTAAATAACAAAATATCCCTATTAAAAAGTAAAAACATTTTTTGATTTTAGTTCGGGAAATTTGTATGTATGATAGAAATAATTAATAGGTCGAGAAAGTGAATAATTGAGAGCGAGAATTGATTCATCTACATTCTCTCTCTCTAGTTTCCCTAATCTCCCCATTTAAATCCAAGTTTTTTTCTTACCCAGGTACACAATTAGAAGAACATGAATTATTATCTTCATCTTCAAAATTATTATTAGAAGGTAACAATAATCTTCCACAACCAGTAGGACAAGCACTCCCACAATTTTGATAATTTTTAAAAGAATCTTTACATTTATTATTTTTATTTATTTTATTTGTTTTTGTTGTTGTTGGGGTAAATGAAGGAAAAAACCCCCCATTATTCCATTTATTTAAATCTGAAGTAAATGAAAGTAATGGACATTCTGACGGAAGAACACAACTTTTTTTTAATTAAAAAATTAAAAAAAAATATTTTTTTAAAGAAAACTTACGGTGAATTAAAAGGTTTAGAATAATCTAATAAAACAAAAGGTAAACGACAAAAACAACCTTTCATACACTTTTTTAAAATTAATTTTATTTTTAATTTTACACACAAAATTTACTTGTTCTTGTTGTGGACATTTAAATAAATTATTTTTAGAAAAACAAGAAATAGGGCAAATACTTCCACAATTATCTTTAATTATTTTTTTAATTTTAAAATTTAAATTTAAAAACAAACGAAATTCACGTAAAGGATCTGTACAATTATTATTAATTATTTCTTTATCTTTATTTAAAGCTATTTTTGTACTACTAATTAATTTATTTTCTTCTTTATTTATTTCTTCTTGTTTTTCTCTAATAATTGAACAATTTACTAATATATTTTCTTTTAGTAAATTATTTTTAATATTTTTTCTTCCAAATTTATCAACACAAAAACACTCTCCTGAATGGGCAACACATTGCATTGGACGAAAATACTTTTAAAAAAATTTTTTTTAATATCTTAAATATTTTGAATATTCTCTACAAATCTTTATTTCTAAAATTAATTTCCAAAAATACCTTTCCATCATCATTACATTGAGGTATAAATTCCTCTTTTTTATTTTCTTTTTCTTCTTTATTAAAAAAAGATATTCCAATACTTCTAAGTTCTCTTAAAGCCAATAAACGTCTTTGTCTACAAGAAGGGCAACACTTCCCTTCAATACAAATTTCATCCTTAAAAAGGCAATCAACATCTATTTTACACAATTTTCCAAATCTAGAACCATCCGGGCATTTATTTAAAATTATTTTAGAATTTGTAGAAGTATTTTTATTTAAACAACAAAATCCCCTCTTTAAATAACAATATTCTTCTCTAAAACAATCTTCATTATTTCGACAAATAAAATGACTAATATGGCCATCTGGACATTTTAAACAAGTTCCTTGAACTTCACATAACACTTTAAAATTTAACTAATTATTTAAAAAAAAAAGAAAAAAACTAAACTAATTCCGTTACAAATTTTTGTAATTAAAAATATAAAAATAATAAATAAATTTAAATATAAAAATGTTATGAATATCATTTCTCTCTCTGAAATTGTTTGATTAAAATAAAAATAAACTTAAAAATGTTTTAAATTTTTAAAAAGAAAATTCAAAGAAATGACCACCACCAACCACTTTCTACCTACAATTCCCTACAAAGATTGGCGTAAAGAAGAAATCTCTCTATTTTTTTAAATTCTTTTCTTTACTGCAATTATTTCCTTCTAAATCCTCAATTTTTCTTTGTTATTTAATCCTCAATTATGTGAGTAAATATAAAAAATATTTTAGATTGCGCCAAACATTTGCCCTAATTTTAATTCAAAAGGACAAAAAAAGTATTTTTGTTTTTATCTAGAAGAGGCCAAAGATTTTTGTTATTTCGTTATCTATATTGTCTAAATTAATTCCGAATCTAATCTTTATTCAAAACATATAAATCCAAAAATAACAATTTTATAATAATTTTCTCTACCTTCTATTAGTCTAAATAATTATTTTTTAATATGACTTTGTTGGCCGTCCCATCTTTCCCAATAATTCAGCAGTAGTTGCATATTGCTGAACAGTTGATTTGTCAAAAGTTGTGCCTCGTACCATTTGGGGTGGAGTATTTGCATATAAATCGCTATATAAAGCTTCTGGTGGCAAAACTTTAAATTGAATTTTCTTTAAATTAAAAAATTGTCTTTTTACCTCCCTCAGATAAAGCCATTTTTGTTGCCTCATCAACTTCTTGACGTACTTCTTTTTCTATACCCTATTAAAATTTTAATATTTATTTTTAATCTATCAAAAATTACCTTCAATTCTTCCTCAGTAACTAAACCAGCCGTAAGAATTCTGTCCCTAAAACCAGTAATTGGGTCACGAGTCTTTCGGACTTCCTGTATTTCATCTCTTGTCCGATAACTTTAAAATTATTCTAAATTATTCAAAAAAATAAATACTTACCTAGTCCCTGGATCGCTCATTGAATGTCCATAATAACGATATGTAGCAAATTCAACCATTAAAGGACCATTGTCCGCATTACACCATTCTTTTGCAAAACGAATAGCCTCCCGAACAGTTAAAACATCCATTGCATCCACCCAGATACCAGGAACATAATCTCTGAAAAATGTGAATCATTTTCAGGCTCTCAATTTTCTAATGCTAGGAGAAATGGATACTCTCTTTTCTACTAATATTATATTAAAAACTAACCCTCGAGTGTAATAGTCAGTAGAAGCGGATGCCCTTTCAACAGAAGTACCCATACCAAACTATTTAAAAATAAAATTAAAAAAATATTTAATTAAAAATTAACTCCATTATTTTCACAAATGAAAACAACAGGCAAATTCCACAGTTTTGCCATATTTGCTGATTCAAATAATTGTCCTTGATTTGCAGCTCCATCCCCATATAATGTCAAACAAATATTTTTCTGATTTCTATATTTCATTGCAAAAGCTATACCCGCTCCAAGAGGTATTTGTGCACCAACAATTCCATTACCACCAAAAAAGTTTCTTGCGTACATATGCATAGAACCACCTTTTGTTAAAAAAATATTCTTTCTTCTATTTTCTTTTTAAAAAACCTTTTCCATAAACATTTCCAGAAATTTTACCTAAAATTACAAAACAATTTTTAACAAAATAATTCTCTCTACCAGTTAATTCAGAAATAACATCAACTACCGGTGCACCCATAATATAAGTCCAACCATGACTAATTAATAAATAATAATAATAATAAGAGAAAATTTAGAAAAAAAACCATCTATAAGCAGTTATAACAGCATCTTCTGGATCCATCGCGGCATATGTTCCAATGGCACAAGCCTCCTTAAATTATTTAAAATTTAATCTTAAATAAAATTATAAAGGTAAAATTCAAAAGATCATTCCAAATTATCATTTTGTTCTCTCTAAATCAATATTTACCTGTCCAGAATAAAGATGACAAAATCCACGAATTTTCTTCTCTTTGTATAAATTACTAGCTGTTGTCTAAAATATAAAGTATTTTCTACAAAATACCCTTCTCCAAACCTCCATTCTACGAATTGTTTGCATCTTTTGGAAATAAAATATAGCATCTTCTTTTGTTAAAATTGTCTCAGATTTAGGTCCATTGTCTGAAAAAATTAAGATTTAAACAAAAATTTATAAAAACTAACCTAATTTAAATAATTTGTATGGTCTTGTTTGGAGAGTTACTTCTTGAACTGAAGCAAAAGAACGTGAGGGAAATAAATCGACCAACTAAAATGGAATTAAAATTCAAAAAATATTAAAAACCTTTCGTGTCCCCCGAAATGTTGTTGAAATCATTATCATACAAGAATTAAATTGCAAAAAAAAACAACAAAATAGACAAAAACAACAAAATTATTTTTAATAAAATATTTTAGTTCAATAACTTTAAATAAATCAAAAAAAAAACATTGAATAATTTTATATAAAAGGAAATTTTAACAATTCACATATGATAAATATAAATTTTATATATTGTAGATTACACGTGCTTGCATAAAAGAAAAAGGTAACAGAAAATATCAAAAGCATAAGGCGTTTCATCGAACCATTTTAAAAATTACGAGGAAAGGAAAATCAATATTTAATGAATATACCAAAGGAAAAATACACTTTTTGGGGGAAAATGGACAAAAGCATTAATTCTCATTTAATTCTCAAGACTTGGATGCGCTTTTCTTGTTAATTTCACTTTTCTTTTCATTTACCCAACTGGTAATGCGCGCTTTAAGTTCAACATCTAAAATTTTAGATAAATAAAAATATAACAAAAAAGCAAACTTGGCTTCAGCTCGTCCTCAGTTAATGGCTGTCTAGTAAATGGATTGTGTGGATCACTTAGTAGATGGCGTAAAATATTCTTTCGATCAACTACTTGACCAGAAGGAAGTGTAACTGGATCGCTCATCAATGTGAAAAGAATTTCATCTTAATAATAAGAATTTACATTTTAAAACAATAAAAGCTAACAACCTCTGAATTCATCTGGAATCTCATCTTCAAATTTCTCTTCGAACTTAACTTTCTCATTGTGGGCTTCCTTCGCTTGCTCAACCAAATTTTTGAATGATTCAAACTGACTGACAGGCAAAATTGATTTTTCCTCGAAACGTTTAAGGATTGAATCGAAAGTAGCAGGAGTATAAGAACGCTAAAATTAGATTTTCAAATAAATTACAAAATTATGTACCTCATCTTGTGCAATTTGTTTGGCAAAATGACTAGAAGCAAGATTGACGTAGACATAAATTGATAATAAATATAACGATTAAATGAAAGAAAAATTACTTTAACAATAAGTTCGGTTAACTTTCTAGGATCCCAATTAAATCGCTTCTTTGCATCTTGAACCTTCAATTGAGAACATTTAGGCCCACAAAGCTGCAAAAAAATTTAATCAGGAAAGGGAGAATTTACAACCTGTACAATATTATTATTCAGCATAGCAGCAACTCGATCACCAAGAGCCTCTTGAAGAAAAATCTGTGGAGCATCACCAGTTAACGTTACAAACAATTCCATTGTTTCAGTACCAAATCGAAGCCAAATCCGAACTTGACGTTTTGCATCACCCAAAAGTTCGGATCTATGTTGGCGCTCCTCCTAAATATTTATATTATTTAAAAGAAATGGAAAATATATCAACCTCCCTTAATGAATTCCATCCCACTTCGTTCGACATTTGGGTTTCAATCTCATTTATTCTCTAATAAAAATTAATGCAAAAATATTTTGAGAACGGAAAACCTTTAATTTTTCGAGTGATTCGTCAAGCAAAAATGTAGTGTCATTAATTACCATATTCAAGAAGCGATAAAAATCAGGCGAGGATTCTCTAAATAACAGAGTACTTAAAATTAAAAAAATTGTTTAAAGCTACTCTGCAAACTGAACCATCCTTTTGCGATGAGCAAGATCCATCCACATAGACTAAATGTTTTTTTAAAACAAAATTTCTTTAAATAAATTCATACCCGAAAGATAACTTGAATATTTCGCCGAATATTAAATTTGTCGTAAAACTCAGTATTTGATCCTAGAAAATTCTAAAGATAATTTACAAATAAGAAAAATGCACCGGTTGACTCAACGTCTGCATAAAATTTGACAAGGGCAGGAAACAAGTTATCTACAGCAATTTTATCATTCATAATCTGCCTAAAGAAGAAGCCGGCATCTGAAGATACATCTGGACAAGTAAAGAAAAACAAATCAACAATCTAAATTTTTATTTAATGAGATCAGTTTGATGTCAGAAGTCACTTTTGATGCTAAGAATGGATTCTTTATATGCGGCAAATTTACAATCAAATTTAAAATTAGTCGAGGATAGTCTGATACATTCAAAAGAAGAACCTTTGAACGCTGAGGATGTCTAAATAAAAAGAGATTAAAAATAAAAGCTCTAACACAAACTCGAGAAGAAAGTGTAAAAATTCAATGCCAGTTTCGAGAAAAGCTTCAGGCAACGAAGCAAATCGTTCGATACACGGAGTAAATGAACGATAATCGACTCCTCTAAAAAGAAAATAATTTTCTAAAACTAGAGCTCATTATAAAATTACTTACGAATCAGGCATAACACTGCGGAGAAAAAGTCTGAGCAATTTGTTCACGAAATTTGAGCATTTTGATAACAAATTTTGATCGTTAATCAGACAATCATAACAAACATTGCTCAATGTAAAACGCTAAATGACAAAAGTTTTTATAGGAAAAACTAGCCAACCTTCAAAAGTTCCTTAGTACGTTGCGTTATTGCTCGGATCCGATTAAGTTGAGACGGATTCTGGCCTTTTCGTTGAAGTTGCTCCTCGGCATCCCGCAACTGTCTACGAATCTCATATATATGCCTATCCATACGAGACAAATTATTCATCATTGTCGTCATACTAAAACCAAAAAAAAATAAATACAATAATCAGTGATGACCTAATCCCCATAAAAGCAATAGTCAAATAAAAGCACTCGGTGTTAAAGCTGGGAGTATAAGAGAGATCTAAAAATGATTAACATAAAAATTATAAATCATCCAAAATTCACCAATTTTTTTACGATATGCTTCAATCATATCATTATCCATTTTGAGAGTATTAATTTCAGTCATTTTAATCCGACATTTTGGATGAAATATGTAATCATCTTGAATTTTTTCAACAGGAATTTTATCAAAGTCAATAAGAATGGAAAGCATATTTAACATTGCCGTAGGATTTGCTAATTGCTCGTATTCAACTTGAATTTGTGATAATTTTTTATTAGTGTCCAAAATTTCGCTGATATAGCCAAGAGTCCGATTTCTGGTTGAAGAATTTACGATTAATGCATGAAAGATTTGATGCATTTTAATCTGCAATAAAAATGAAGAATATAGATACTTGTCAAAGATTTTTACTCTCATCATGCGCAATTGAGTCTGAAATTCATTAATTTTCAGTTCTTTATTCTCCATGTCACTATAATCAAACAAAACATCATTGTGGTCAAAGCAAAATTCCTAAAGTTTTTTTAAAAATTAACTTTAAATGTGCTCACATAAAGAGGCGATTGGCTACCAGCAATGCTAAATGCAATAAAAGGGCCAAGGAATGAAGAATGAAAAAATTCACGTCCTTTAAAATTAGTGATAAGATGTTTAGGATGGAAATCTGGACGTGAAACTATCTTAAAAATAAAAAATTTGTTTAAAATAAGTTTCTTAACCAACCAAATCAGCAATTGGGCGAGTATTGTCAGACATTTTAATTTCAAGCAAAAGCAAGAGAAGAGAATAATGCTTGTCTTCAAATAGCTTTGTCATATTAATGTGTGTTGCACAAGAGCGAAGAATGTCAAGAACAGGACCAAAAACCTAAAAAATAAAAGCTAATTTCATTTGAATTCAAAAAAAACAAATTTAAAATATTTTAGTGGAAACAAAAATTAAAGAAAGATACAAAAATAGTTTGGATAGGTGTTTATAAAAAAGTTTCGTTTTAACCTCAATTAGCGCACCCTCATCAGTCAATGCCACATCTTTACAGCAAACAATTATATCGCGCAGAAAAGGAGAAATTGACTCAAGATTTGTCAACATAAATTTAGTGAAGACTGTTGAAATGTCTTGATAAGATGAACTGAAAAACAAATTGTAAAAGGATAAAAATATCAAATACTTTTTGTTAGCACACAAAAGTCCTCGAAGAAACAGAATAAATTGTACTTTTGCCCGCTCAGATAGTGTTGAAAATATTTTGGCAGAGAGCCCCAGATGACTCTAAAAATTGAACATAAAATCGTCATAAAAATTTAATTAAAACCTGATTAACTAAAGAATTGCAGCGCCCATACAATCCAATCAAATAATCAAATGCAGAAGAAGCTGCTTTATTTAAACATGATTTGAATAGCGGATTAATATATGTTTCCGCTAAAAGATCTGAGGCGTCCATAGAATTCCGAGGAGGTTTAATAGAATTCACCGCTTCCATTATAACTTCGTCAAATGCAAAAGAAAGATTAACTGAAAATAGAAAAATTAAACTTTAAAAAATTAAACACTCCTGGAAAAAATAGAAAAAAATGAAAATATGCATCACTGGTATACACTCGAAGGTTCCAGGTTTAAAATAATTTTATTAATCCTTCATTACCATACCTTTGTCCAAACTTAGTTCGATGCTCCTCAACATGTTCTGTAATTTCATGATGAGTTCAGCTGATGAATCGAATTCCGCTGACAACGTCCCATTCGTTGCTGTTGAAACTCCAAATGCATGTTCCAGCTTATCATAGACAGGGTCGTGATCACCGGAACTGGCAATTTTCTAAAATAAAATTTACAAAGAAAAATCTCATAGCTCACATTCGGATCACGCTGAACGATCATTCCACCATCCGGCGCAACAACTGGAGTACTTTTATCTGACATTTCTAAAAAATAAATATAGTAATAAGTAATAGTTTGTATAGCAGAACTGGATCTAAACCGAAATCTCTCCTTAATCAAAAATCACCAAAATTACATTTAAAATGTTTTTTTTGGCAAAATGTAAAATTAAAGTATTAAATTTTAAAATGGAAAAAAACTTTCTTTTGAGATTTTTAAATCAAAAGATCTCCTTCGATTTCCAAATAAAAGGGAATTTCAAGTGGTATGTAAAGTATGAAGAGTGATATAGTACTAGTTAAAATTTTGGATTAAATTTTTTAATCAACAAATATTACATAGTTTATCAATATTTAAAATTTTTGTTAATATTTTGAATAAAAAGTTTGTGTCCATGATAAAATAAATATGGGGGAGTTGAATGAGTAATAATTCGATGAATTTGTTTATCCTCTAAATATGGTGGAAGTAGTTCATTTGATGGAAGAATATTTGTTGGTTTAAAATTTGGATTTAAATTATCATATAAATAATCTTCAGGCAAAATATATAAATGAATATTTTGTTTTTCTTTAATTTTAAAAATGTGAGGAGTTATTTTTGTTGTATTTGTAAATTTATTTAATTTTTCATTTTTAAGGACTAATTGAAGTCTTTCAAGTTCATAAAATTGTGGTGGAGGAAGGCTTACTTCACCTTTAAAAATAAAGGGAAAAGATTTCTCTCTCCTTTTTATTACCTTTAACACTCCTTTCATTTATTTCTGACGGTTTTATCCAGAAAGAATTCATCATTTCATTAATACAAAAAATACTTTCTGGACAATCTTCTGTAATTAAAACAAAAAATGCTGTGTCATATCTTTAACAACATTAATTTAAAAATTGAAAAAAAAACAAAAAAAACCTTTTGGAATATTCACCAAAAGGTGTTAGCCAATTTGCCCAGGGAATTAATGAAGCAATATCTATTTTCATATTAACAGAAAAGATTTCATGAAATAAATTTGGATTAGATAATATCTTTTTTAAAAAAATATTTTTTGACAAAAATATTTAAAGAAAAAAACTTTTTTTCTCCATTCAGACAAATTTTCATCTTTTGCTGCAGACAATAATTCTGATTTATTTCCTTCTTTATCAGTTATTGCTAAAATTCCACTTTCCTCAAACATTTCTCTAATTGCACAAATACGCAAATAAAAATCATTTTCTAATCCCAAATTAATTTTTGAATTTTCTTTATTTATTAATTTATCAAAATTTGTTTTTTCAATTGGAAATTTAAAATCTAAAGGGTCAACAACTCCACCGGGGAAAACAAAAGAATTTGGCATAAATTTGGCTGTAGAACCTCTTTGTAATATTAACATTTTATTTTGTTTAATATTTAAAAGAATAACTGAAGCTGCTCGAATCCAATTTGTTGACATTTCTTTTTTAAATAAATTAATTTTTAGAAAAAAATTGTTTAGAAAATAAAAATAATTTTTAAAAGTTTTAATTAATTTAATTAATTTTAAAAAATTCATATTTTTATTTATAAATTCCAAGATTAAATTAAATAAGTGAAAAAAATGAGAATATAGGTAAGTGAAAATCCTTAAGTGAAAATCCTGAAAAAATCCAAAAATGAAAATCATTTTTGAAAAATCAGAAATCCTCTTTTTTAATTTAAATATCATCTCCACCAGGCAAATCAAAACATTTAGAAAATTCAATAACCTCTTCCCCCAACAAATTAATTTCATTTTTAAATTTCTCGTTATTTGCAATTATTTGTTTAAATTCTTTTAAAGTTTTTGCTTCAACAAAAATTTCTTCATTTTTTTGATAAATTTCAATTGCTTAAAAAATAAATATTTTTTTAATTTAAAATAAAAAAACCTTTATTTATAAATTCAGCAATCTGTTCAAAATCTTTTTCTTTTAAACCTCTAGAAGTCATTGCTGGAGTTCCAAGACGAATTCCACCTGGTTTTAGAGCACTTTTGTCTCCTTAAATATTTCTGAATTGTTAATATCAAATTGTTGTTAATATCTTTCTTTCGTTTAAAGTATTAAAATAATTTAAATTTACCCATACCCCCTCCCTAACGCCCTTCCAAACATTACAAAAAATCTTTTTAATTTTAAAACCCAACCTGGACAAGTATTTTTATTAGTCACAATATGTACCAAATCAAGAATATGTTCAATCCTAGCAGCATCTAAATGTTTTGGACGTAAATCCAAAAGACATAAATGTGTTTGTGTTCCCCCAGTAATTAAAGTATATCCTTTATTTTGTAAAGAATTAGCCAAAATCTTTGCATTTTTCAATATTTGATGTGAATATTCAACAAATTCATTTGTTAAACATTGCTTTAATGCTACAGCAATAGCTAAAAATAATTATTTAAATTCTCTTTTAAAAATTAAATTAAACCAGCAATTGAATGATTGTGTGGCCCTCCTTGAAGTCCTGGGAAGACAGCAGAATTTATTTTTGATTCAAAATCATAAAAAGTTTTTTCTCCTTTATTATTAATTGATTTGACACCTAAAAAAGTTTAAAATAAAATTTTATTTTAAAAAACCTTTTCTAAAGAAAATTAAAGCACCACGAGGTCCTCTCAAACTAAAAAAATAAATTAAGTAAAATTAATTTAAATAAACGTTTTATGTGTTGTTGTTGTAACAATGTCAGCATAATTAAAAGGTGAGGGAATTGCACCCCCAGCTACTAGACCAGCAATGTGTGCCATATCAGCCATCAAAAAGGCCCCACATTTATCACAAATTTCACGAAAACGTTTATAGTCTAATAATTGAGCATAACAACTTATTCCTTTAAATAAATAAAAATATTTTTTAGTTGTAAATTCTAGCACAAATGTTAAAAAATAATTATTTTGATTGTAAGTTTACGTAGGGCGAGCAAAAAATAATAAAGAATTGCGGGAGAGGGGCTAAACTCGGAATTATCAAAATTTCAAAAAGACAATTTTCCGAATAAATTTGATTAAAAATTTCCAAGAATACCCCTTAAAAGAATTTTTATCAATTCTAAATTCCATTTTTATTATAAAAATTTTTAAAAGAAAATAAAAAATACCAACCAGCAATAATTAACTTGGGTCTAAATAAAAGAGCATTTTGTTCTAATAAATCATAGTCTATTAATCCTGTATTTGGATTAACTCTATAAGGCATTGATTCAAAAAATAAAGAAGTTGCAGATACTTTTTTTGTTGGTGAGAAAAAACTTTTAAAAAATATTTAATTTTTAATTTAAAAAATACCCGTGTGTTAAATGTCCACCATCTGTTAATTCTAAACCCATTAAACGTCCATGAGGTTCAACAATTGCAGTATAAACGGCAAAATTAGCCGGAGAACCAGAAAGTGCCTTTAAAGTTTGTAAATAAAATCAGAAAAAAAATTAAATACCTGAACATTAACACCCCACTTCTCGGAATTTAATCCAAAAAGCTGTAAAGCTCTCTTTTTACAAATATTCTCAACTTGGTCAATATATTCATTTCCACCATAATATCTACAATTAATATTTATGAAATATTTAGGTTAGAAAATATAATTAAATCCCCTTTGCAAAGGGCGTAAACAATAAAATAACGAACTGTATCGAATTTCGAGAATATAACAAGGAAAATAGAAAATTAAGGTGTTTCTAAAAACATTTTTCCACTTTCACCCATTTCAAGTAGGCTACAACTCGGCATTCAGGATACGCCCTTGCTCCTCCTTACCTACCTAACACCAGGATATCCTTCAGAATATTTATTTGTTAAACAAGAACCAACAGTTTCACTAACAGCTTTACTTGTAAAATTTTCACTTGCAATTAAATGAATTCCAAGTTTTTGTCTTTCCTTTTCTTTTTTAAGAAGAGCATAAATCTCTGGGTCAACACTGTCCACAGAATCTTTTAAAATCGAATTTCCTTTGTAATTTTCTCGCTCGACGTGAGTAGGATTAAATCCATTTAATAAATTAGAATTATTTGTAGACATTTTGTTGGTAAACTAAAAAAATTTAATTTAAAAAATAATTAGGTAATTTTTTAGTTTTACTAAACAATTAAAATTTTATTTTCTTTTAAATAAATAAAAATCACCAGTTTTGAAAACGTGTATTGCCGAGTTTGACCAATAATTAAATTACGAAGAAATGAAATAGAAGAACCTTTGAAGAAAGACATTTTTATTAAAAGAAGAAAGTTAAGAAATAGAGAGTAATAATTAATTATTTATATCAGTTATCTACATCTGATAAAAAAGTGCATTCCTCAACTGTTTAAATTTATAAATTGATTTTTAATAAAAATTAATTTTTAAAGTAAAAAATATACAAAATTCATTTATAATTAAATTCATCATTTTCTTTGCTTGTCATTTCAGTTTCTATAAATTTTGAGAGATCTTTAAAAGATACACTTTGAGAGCCTCTCCTTGCTACTTTTGGCATATTTGCCCCAGGCTTCCAACCAATAAAATTAATCATTTGGAATGTCGCTGGATAACTATGAATGAAATAAAAAAATAGTCGACCTTTTTTGATAAGGTCACCCCTTCCCATGTCAACTTCCTCTATACGTCAATTAAATTTAGTTCTGAGGAGTGAATATTTAGAAAAGTTTAACTATGATTATTATCTTACTTATTTTCTTGTGTACAAAACATCTGCCTATATATTCCATCTGCTGCTATAAGAATATCTCTTCTTAGGCTAGCTGATCGAGTGAATGTTGCATTTGATTCGCCCATAAATTGCAGATCAAATATTAAGGAAAATATATCTGGATAATTTATCTAAAATAATGATTTAAATACAAAAAAACTGAATTAGAAATTCATTAAATTTTTAAAAAAGAAACGCATTTTTATTCATTACCTACTCTTAAAATTAATTCGTAATTTTAAAAACATTCGAAATAATTTTTATAATGTTAATAAAGATTCTGGCAATCTTTAAAAATAATTTAAATACCGTTTATGGGCCTGATAAAAGGGTCGACCTTACCGTTTATGGGCCTGATAAAAGAGTTAATAAAGATTCTGGCCAAATTTATAAATTAAGAATAAACTACAGACCACAATTTCATCCACATCAATAGTTACCAATTGAAAGCCAGCTCTATTCATCAATGATGCAATATCCTGTGCCTCAACAAAAGGAGAAACATGTGCCCCAATACCTCCCAATCTTTCCATTTCTGCTAATTGTAAAGAAATTCTCAATTCGTGAAGCGTTTCACCAGCCAGCAATCCACCAATCATTACACCATCTTCTCTAAGTGTTTGAAAACAACGAAGAAACCAGTTTGGCAAATCATTAATCCAATGGGCAGAAAGACCACTCAAAATTAAATCGGCACATTCTGGACGAAATGGAACTAATTCTTCATCAGCAATAGCACGAAAAGTTGGAAACTAAAATGAGAAAGGAAACCCTGTTTATTTATATATCAAAGATTAACCTCATTTTCTTCTGCTGATTTACTAGCTCTAACCATTGCTTCACTCATATCAAGTTGAATTAAACAACCAACATTTTCCCTGATTAAGTGCATTCCAATATGCCCAGCTCCACATCCAAGATCGATACAAACTGTATTTTTCTTCAACAAATCAAAAACTTAAAAAACAGTTTAGAATTATTAAAAAGACTAAAAAACCTTTATCAGCCAAACGATAGCCAAACTTGAATTTAAAAATAATTTTAAAAATAAAACAAAGAAAAACCTCATCTCGTATAAATCTGGTTAATTCAAACTCAGATTGGGTTGCACTCCAATTTCTTTGTTTACGCTTTGTTTCTCTGTCAAATACCTTTAAAATAATAAATATAAAAAGATTAAATAAAATATACTTTAATAGAAGGAGGAACAACTTTACTTGCTGAAGTGCTTGCAGAACGTAAATGACAAAATAAACGAGAAGCCATAATAGGCATTAATAAATTTAGATTTTATTTTAAAAATTATTAAATACAAAAAAATAATTTTAGTAAATTCAAATAATTTAATTTAAAAAAATATAGAGAGAAAGAAATATTATTTATTAAAAATATTCTGTAAAAGAAAATATTCTCGTTTGAAAAAAATACATTAAATTTGTGTTGATTTTCAAAGCCAATAAATAATTTAATTAATATTTTTAGTTCGAATTACTCTACATTTGAATGCCAAAAATAAAATAATTGCATGAAGACAATGTAGCAAAAAAGAACTTGAAAATGTTGAGGGATAAATATTCCAACAAATTTCAATCAAAAACAAAATTGGTAATCTAAAATAAATTATTTTCAAAAAAAAAATTTAAAATAAAAATACCTAAATAAAACTTGTTTAAACGGAATATAATTATTATTTGTGTAAGAATTATTATCTCCATTATACAAAATATGATCAAATCGGTAAATTGGCGAAAATATTAAATATGGGATTGAATGATAGTACCAACAGTAAAATTGATAATGTAATGACCGAGCAAAAGTTATTCCAATTAAATTGGCAGTAAAAAGTGAAAAAAGAACATCTAAAGAAATTATTCTTTAAAAATAAAATTTAAAAACCATGTGTATCAAGTCTAGTTCGAATTCCAAACCAAAGCCTTTTTAAAAGATTTTTTAAGCCCCCTTGTTCACTAAAAAATAAAAAAAATCATTTTAAAAATAAATCTAAAAAAACCTAAACCAAACTTTAAGAGCAAATAAACTCAAAAAGGCCAAATGAAATAATAAAAGTAAAAGATGAAATCGTCTATCCAGAAATACATCTTTTGGTAAAATTCTCCAATTAACCGTCCATTTATAAAGAAAAACTCTATTTAACTCGAAAGCACGACTCAGATAAGCAAAAGGATTGTTAAAAAGAAATTCAAAAGAAATAAAAAACTAAAAAGAAAATTTTAATAAAAAAATATTTTTTAAACCTGAACAAATCCACAGACAAATAAAAGACAAAAAGTATCTGTAATACCATTACTGAGGAGTAAAATGAAGAAAAGAGCCGGGGCAAATAAAAGTATATTCATTTTTACCCCAATTGCTGCACTAAAAGAATTAAAATTTTCTCAAAAAAATATTTTTTGAAAAACCTATAAAAAATACAGCCAAAAATCCATTGCCTTGATATGAAAAAATTAACAGCCAAATAAAATAAAAACATGGCTATAGGATCATTAAAAAGACGAAGAACAAAAATTGAGTGAATTCTATAAGAACTAAGGCAAATTAGGCAAAGCACAAAAGGAGGAATCTAAAAATTAAAAAAAGAAAATCCTTTAAAAAAAGCTCCTTACCCTTTTACTTTTAAAATAAATTCGAAAAACAAGTAAAAGATTAAAAAGATATAAAAAAGCAAAAATATATTGGGCTCTTCTAATATTCTTTCCTTCATCAGTTAATGAGTAAAATAAACGGTAAATATAAAGATGGAAAGCTGGGTAACTTTAAAGAATAATTTTTTAAAATAAAAAAATAAAATATTAAAAACATACACAATTGGCCCAGTATCACCAACAAGTTTAGAATAATTCCGTTCTCCTTTTAAATAACATCCAACTTGTTGCATATATGTCTTCCAATCAATTTCTGTATCTAATTTTGAAATAATTCATTATTTCTTTAAAAATATTTTCCCTAATACATTTAATAGAAGAAATAGGTACTAAATTAGTGAAATGTCCGTTAAAGGCAAACAAAAACTGTTTAACTCCTTATTAAATTAAATATTTGCCTGAAAACAGTGAAAGAAAGATACAAAATATTACAAAATATACTTTTTAATTTAAAAAAACTAACAAGGAACTCTCTGTATAATTTGATAAAGCATTATTAATTCAACCAAAAACATAAAAATTGCCACAAGAAAAAAACCAATTTCATTAACTGTTAATAATGAACGGCATAATTGATATACAAAATGTTGGCTGTGAATCCATCTTTGATTTTTCTGACGAAAAGAGGAGGTAGGTTGAAAATAAGGCATTTAAACAATAAAAGAAAAAAAATAATTTTTTGAATTAATAAATAATTAAAAATAAAAAAATTAAATAATAAATAAATTTAAAAATAATAATAATAAATATTTTTAAATTTTATTAATAAGAAAAAATACAAATTTTAATTTTAAAAATAATTATCGTCTATATCTATATCTTTTAAAGAAAAACCAAAGTTGAAAAACTCCATTCTGAAATTGACATTTATATCCATGTTTATAACTAATCTCCCATTCTCTATTTACAATTTTAAAGCCAATATCTTCATATGGAGGACCAGCTTTGAAACGAAGAATTGCAAAATCAGAATCCTCACATTTTATTAATGCAAAACTGGGTGTTTGTGTCTGATCGAGTAAATCAGGATAAAAAATCTTTAAAAAATAATATTATTGTTAACCAATTCTGCGAATATTTTAATGGATCTTCCTACATTTTTCTCAGTTTTTGTCTTCTACTTACTTAATAAAATCACATTTTAACACCCAAAAGGCGAAATACAAGGCAAAAAAGAAACAATGAAAGGAAAAGTCCTTTAAAAGAGTCCCCAAAAGTACAATCTTGCAAGGGCGTATCCAGGGGGTCAGTTTCGGGGGGGGGGGGGGGCTAACACTGGGTGGGCGCAAAATTTTTGGCGTTTACCTTGGCGTTCCGGACGCAAATTTTTTGTACATAAATTTTCCTATGTTCTGCGCCGCAGGCGAAAATTTTTTGGAATTTGAAGGGCCGTAGGCCTAAAAAAGTTCACTTTTTTGCGCCGCAGGCGAAAATTTTTTAAAATTTGAGGGTTATAGGCGAAAAAATTACAATTTTTCGACCATCCTTCTCCTAATTTTTCCCCCTTCCCCCATTTCGGGGGAGGGGGGCTCTAGCCCCCCCCCTGGATACGCCCTTGCAATCTTGCATTATTGAATTACAAATCTCTTACATTAAATCTATATCCTTGAACAATTTTTGGTGGTGGATTGTCAATGTCATAATGAGTTTGATTATATTTATTCCAATCAAAGCCTGTATGTACCTAAATTTTTTTTAATTTTATTTAAAAATAAAAATTAATTTACTCGATTAAAATAACGAGGTTTTCTAGGTCTATATTTATCAGACCACAAAAAGTGCTGTTTTTCAAGTGCTTCTTCAACAGCAAAAACTGCTTCGTCTTCAGTCATTCCTTGTTTTGCAATATCCATCATACGTTTATCACTTGCCTAAAATTAAAGAATATTAAAATTATTCAAAAAAATATACAGATAAATCAGCTTCAATCCTTTCTCCTTTTTTTCTTTTTCTAGCTTCTTGTAATTTTTCTGCATCTTCAATTCCATCCAGAATTTCAATTCCAGGCATTATATGACTTTCACTTCCATAAGTAGGGCTATATCGTCCATATTCATAACATTTAAGGGAAAATTGTTTCATATGTCCTTTTGCATCAATTTGTCTAAAAATAAATTACAAAGAAATAATATTAAAAACAAACAGAAAATGATGTTCTTTAACTTCATCCTCCAGCTTTTGAAAATCTTCAAGAGAAAAGGGCAAAACAAATCTTGTCTCTTCCACTTCTCTTCTCAATTCTTCCATTGAAGTATTCGATTGCCAAACAGTTTCTGAATCTTTTGAGGAAAATTGATTTGAAGTTGACAGATTATTTTCTAAAATTCCTTCTTTTAAAGTGTCCATTTCATTCATTTGTTCTTCCCTTATTTTTTTAAGCCATAATTGCTGAATATGAGCATAATTCTCTCCTAAACGTTGTTTAGCCATATACGGGCCAAGTTGGTCAAGTAAAGCTTCCCAATAACTAACATCTGTTCCTTTGCTAGTATTTTTAATTTTAGCCTTTATTTGATTTTGTAAATGTTGCAAATCAGAATAAGATTTTCCTTTAAAAATTTTAAGAACTTCTTCCTGAACAGAAGAATGTACAGTTCCACTGTCAGATGAACGGCGTCGATTTTCAACAAGCTTTTTTGAAATACTTTTTGAAATTGTTTCAATATCATCCCAAAATTCAGAATTCTTTTTGCCATCAATCATACGGTAAACCTGAAGAATATGTAAAATTAAAACAAAAAAAAAATTAAAAATTTACATTAATATCAGCAATAAGATCCTCCAAATCGTCAATTGAATTTTTTGGTATATAACTCAAAGGATTATCTAATTGAAAATCGTCTTCAGTTGTTTCATCAAAATAAGAAATATAACGAGCTAATAAATCTATTGGCTTTGCCCTTCCCTCCTTAATTCGAATAGATGAACGTAACCTAGCTTGCTTCATATGAAATGCATCTTCTGTTCTGTTCCAGTCGCAAAGGCGCCTTTCCTGATCACGATTAATCATTTCCATGTCTTCTTTAGCTGCATCCCTAGCCTCCCGATTCTTTTTTAATTGTTCCATTTCAGCCAAATTTTTTGCAATTGTTTCACGATTTCTAAAAATTATTTTTAAATTTAAAACAAATAAATTTCTCACATTTTTTCAACTTTTTTCTTTGATACAGAACTCATCCCTTCCGTTTCCCATTTTTTCTTCCAAACAAATGTTTCAGAAAGGCTTGTATCATTAAATGGGTTGTTCAAGTCCGTGTAAGGAATTCCTTCAGGAAAAGCCTTCAAAGCTTCCGCTCTCCTTCTCTCCTCCTAAAAATTTATAAAAAATAATTTAAATCTTAAAAAATACTTTTTGTAATTTTTTTGCAATTCGTCTCGCCCTTTTTTCATCAGGTGTTTCAAGTTCTTTCATTCTAAGCTTTTCCTCTTTTTCTTTTTGAATCGTTTCCTTTCGTTTTTTGTTAAGCAATTTTTCGAATTCAGAACCATCACTTGACGATGTTGAAATAACAGATTTGTCTCTACTTCGTTTTCTTTCAATTTTTGGACTTTTTATTCGTTCTTCTCGGCGAGTAGATTTTCCTAAAAAATTAACAAGTTTATGTAAGAAGCAATTTTTATATTTTACGTGAAGAAATACTGCGATCATCATATTTTTCTCTGGAAGACCTTCGAGATGTTTTTGATTTTTTGTAATCGGACATATTTTACCTTAATTGCAAGTTCAATTAAAAATTGATTAAAAATGGATTTATGAAAACTGTAATCTTCTGTTAACCTAAAATGGGGCCTAAAGACTAGAGGGAAGGAAAAAGGTCAATTCTCACATTTGAGTGGAGTTATAGCAGTTTAAATGTATCTTTTAACCTAGAAACGGCCAGTCCCCTATCGACAAAATTATATATATATATAATAGTTTATTTGAAAATAATAAATAGACCTGTGACTGGAGTGTCCTTAATTTCGGACTTTTTCTTAAAAAGGATCAAAATGGTCAAAATAAAATTTTTCACAATTGCTAATTGTAATATTTTTTTTGAGAAATTCTAAAATATGTAAATGATCAACATTTTTCCCTTACACTTCATTTCATTAATTAATGTCGATATCAACAAAATATTTCCAATTAATTATTAATTCTAGGCAATTTAAATACTCTTTGGTAAAATTAATTTTTAATTTAAAAAAATATTTTTTTCAATTCAGAATTTCAATATATTTTCTTTCTCTGCATTTTCAACTGATTCAACATGTAAATTAATCGACCAAATACAAAAAGCTTCTTATGGAGGGCAAGTTTACTTAAAAAATGGATTGCCTTTTATTGATATTCCTTTGCCTTCACGTAAAGAAAATTGTAAAAATTTTAAAAAAGAATAATTTCTGAAATTATTTTATTTTTTAGGTCATTTTATTTTGAGGCCTTTTGGGGACACCGTTGGTTCATTATCGGAGTCATTATCGAATGAGGATAGCGGAATTGAAGTTATCGCTTTTTATACTTGTGAAGGACTAAGAATATCAAAATGTACACGTATTCATCATTTACTTACATTTCCAACATTATATCTTCGAATTAATGATTCTTTTTACAAATTTGATGTGGATACTTCTTTTTATATTTCTAGTTTAGATAAAGCTGAATCATTTAATGACATAAAATCAAAGGTTTTTTTCTGTTCGAATAAATTTATTTAAAATTTTTTAAAAAAAGATTTCTACTCTCTACACGGTATTTGATGTAGAAGAATATAAAATCAAAAAAGAAAGTATTCTTTTAAATAATTTAGAAAATGTTGAACGAAAATTGAGGCCACTTATAATTGTAAAATATTTTTAAAAAATTTTTGAAAAATATTTTTTAAGATAAGGAAGAATATCGAAAAAGAATGTGAAAAACATGCAAAACGAATTTTTTGGTCAGGCTTCTCTGCTATTTGTTTTCAAGTTGGGGTTTTTGCAAGGCTAACTTGGTGGGAATATAGTTGGGATATTATGGAGCCAATTACTTATTTTTCAACTTTTTCGAGTGTTGTAATTGCACTTGCCTATTATTTGGTTACAAAACAGGTTTAAATTGAAAAATTAAAAATAATTTTTCTGTTATTTTTTAAAGAATTTTGAATATTCTTCGGCTAATGTACGGATTTTCAATAAAGATTTTTATAGGCGAGCACGAAAATACAGGTAAAAATAAAATGAAGATTTTAAAGAAAGTTTTTAGTTTTGATGTGGCAGAATTTAATGATTTAATAAAAATAAAGGATGGATTGAATTGTGAATTACAAAGAATAAAAAATAATGAAATTATAAGAGATTTTTAAATTAAATAGGAAATTATCCAAAAAAAGGATTGCCTTTTTGGGGGGAATCTCACAAATAATTAGCGGCCCTTTATTTCTATTTTCCCTAGTTTTAGTTTCAAGTATGTCGATACCCAAATTATAAAATCTAAAATTTTATTGTGCACAATTTTACAAATCCAAAATATAATTGGAATAAACTGTCATATTTATTTTTCATTTTCACAAACTAAAAACTCTTTCAAATGACTTGGTTAAGCCAATATCAAACAAATTATAATGAAGCAGTCCAACGAGTAAAATTGTCGAAGTTATATAAACAAGCGCAGGAGAGATTTTTGCCAAACGTTCTCCAACGACTATTGGACGTGCATAATCCTAAAATTTTGTTTTCAATTTTATGGAATTTAAAGAAAAACCTGAACAACAGCCATAAGACCCCTGGAAAATTAAATTTAAAGTGATATTTAAAAGATTTATTACCAATGAGAGTGCATAACAATAGCAGCCGAAAGTACCAAATCCATTGTAGTCCCGTGAATGAAATATGCCGCGGGAAGTAAAGGAAACATTCCTGCAGCAAGATAACGTTCAATTTTAAATTGAAGAGCATGAGGTCCCATTGCGGCAGATTGAGTAGTTGTGCTGGTATTCATTTTTGAGGTAACAATATTGTTGATTGGAAAATAAAAAGGATGAACTGAGCCAATTTTGTTTAAACGTTGAGCGAGTGCTGGATTAACAGCACTTTTAAAGATTTTTGCATAAATCATCATTGAATTATTCTAAAAATAAATAAACAAATGGGGGCTTTTGAATATAAAAAAAGTTGTAATTAACTCAAAATTCTCTAAAAACTTTGATTTTGTAAATATTGTAAAGAATGTAAATGCTGTATAAAAATTTTCGAGAATTCCGTACAATTCTCTTACAATGCTCTCATTCCATCTCTTTTAAATGCATTTGAAAGTGCAATTGTCTCACTAATGTCACTGAAAGTATCAAATCCATTGTAGTCCAATGAATGGAAATGAAAATGATTTTTTGTGAAATGAAATTAATCATCCGCGGAATTTCGTTCAGTTAATTTTTCATATTGTCAATTTTGTTAAAATCTTTTAATTATTTTTTGTCACATGTTTTTGTTATACACGAGTAAATTTTACTATTATATTTTTAATATCTCTAATAATCTACATTTGTTCTTTTAACTTCTCTTTGTCTATACTCCATTAATTTTTAAATCTGTCAATTATAAAGCAATTTAATGAATAATCCATCTTTTGAAGCAATATTGACAGATGTTGAAGGAACAACTACTTCCATTGACTTTGTAAAGGTAAATAAAAATAGCGTTTGTATAATATTTAAAATTTTTAGAATGTTCTTTTTCCGTTTTCTTTTGAACATGCTGGGAATTTTATTCAAAAACTTGTAGTTGAAAAACGTGAAACAGAACATCAAAAAATACTTGATGATTTAATAAAAACATCAAATGAACATGCAGAGGAAAGCTCCGAAGTTTTATTAATTCAATCAAACGATAAATTTGAAATTCAAATTTCCAAATTAACTTCCAATGTTTTATTATGGATAAAACAAGATAAAAAGGTTGGTAATTGTGTTGTCTATAAAACTATTTTTAATTTATTAGTATACAGCTTTAAAAAATTTGCAAGGACTTATTTGGGAAGATGGCTACAAAAGTGGATTAATTAAAGCACAGTTTGTTTTAATTATTTAATCTGTTATAATTAAAATTAGTGTTTATCCTGATGTGCCTATTGCCTTTGAACGCCTGAATGGAGCTGGAATTAAAATACATATTTTCTCTTCTGGCTCAATTAAGGCCCAAAAATTACTTTATTCACACACCGAATTTGGAAATTTAGAAAAGGTTTTTTGCTTTTTATAAATATAAGCGTCTCTTTAAAGTTCATATCATCTCATTTTGACACAACTATTGGCCCTAAATTCGAGAAGGAAAGTTATCAGCGCATTGTAGAACAGATTGGAATTGCTCCAAACAAAATCCTTTTTCTTACTGACATTGAAAAAGGTTTTTAAAAAATATTAATTTTTAATTTTCCTAAACATTTAAAGAAGCTTTTGCGGCAAAAGATGCTGGTCTTCAAGTTCGTTTAGCTTTACGTCCAGGAAATGCTCCTCTTAGTGAAAGTGCACTTAAAGAATTTACAACATTTTCTAGTTTTGAAGAAATTATTTAACTAATCACTTAAAATTCTTTGGTAATTTTGAATTTTGTGACTCCCATTTTATTCTTTCGGCAAAAATAGCCTAATGGTCAGATTTTCATTTCACTCCATTACCATGCCTGGCAATCTCTTGAACATTTTATACAGAAAATTAATCCTTATCTTTGTGGTGTCATATTAAAAAAATTAAGAGAGATATGCGATTTTTAAAGAAGGGAAAAATTTCATAAAGTTCACAAAGTTCAAAATTACCAATTCCTTAGAATACTTTACTACTTACATATATTAGAATATATCTGAACTCAAAATAACATTTATCTAACATATCAAATAGATTAAAAATTTTAACTCAATTTTTTAAGATATTCTGGATAACTTATCAATCCATCCCCATCTAAATCAATTTCTTTAAAAGCTTCATCCACTAATTTTTCAATTTCATCCTCAGGTCTTACTTCCTCTAATTCATCTTTGTGATTGTGATGGACGGCCTAAACTTTTTGAGTTAATTATTTCCTTATTCCTTTTATTTTAAACCTTCCAAAGTTCAATTCCGTCAATGTGGCTATCCTACAAAAAAATCTGAAATTTTATAATAAAAACTAACTTTATTTAAATCGTGTATGTCAAAATAGTGAAACCGCTCGTCTTCCTCATTCATCTTTTTATTCTCACCAATTTCTTCTTCTACATGAAGTTTTAAATGACTTAAAAACAAACTCTTAATCTCACGAGAAGAATTATATTAATGAGAGGGCTTAATTTTATCATAATCTGATCAAAAATACCTCTCATCATAAACTTCTGATTTTTCGCCAAATTTGACCAATGCAGCTAAAGAATGATTTTCCATTTTAAAAGAGATTCAAAAAATATTTTATATTACCTTCAATAAAATGACAAAACAACAACAGAATTAATAGAGTATGTAACATTAATTTTAACATATTTAAAAACATACAAATAGGATACTAGTAAATAGAAAAAAGTTGACTGGTAAGCAAAAGCTTGGACGGTGGGTTTGGTTTTGGATATCCGGAAACTTCGGTTCGGTTATTGAATTAATAATTTATAAATTTTACTAGTGTCAATGAATCGACAGGTCCTATTAGCAACTGTTCAAACAAAGGCATAAAATAATAAAAGCAAAGTGGATATAGGAACTCAAAAATTGTATAATAAATTATCAAATATTAACACCGTATTTCCTCTAATCGAGTGTCCGGGCATTCTATTCTCCGTTTTATTAGGAGGGGCATTCAACTTAGGGGCTACTCTATTAGAGGAAATATTTTATATTATTCTTCCCTTTCTATTCCTTTTATATATTCTGAATAATCAATCACAGAATTACCATCTAAATCAAAAGATTTCAATACACCATCCACCTTTTCTTCAATTTCGTTATCACTTTGTGAAGCGAGATGTTCTCCATTTTCATGGTCGTGATGAATGGCCTTTAAAAAAATTTTTATTTTTAAAGTTATTAACAAAAAACCTTAAAAACTTCAACTCCATCAATGAAACCATCCTAAAAAGAATTTTTTATAAAAAAATTGAATAAATAAAAAACTCCGTTCGAATCTGCCATAGTAAAATAATGATATCGTTCTTGATCCTGCGTCATTTTCTTCTCACCTATTTCCATTTGGTCTTCTAAATGCATTTTCAAATGACTAAAAGTTAAAAATTAAAATAATTTATTTATAAAAAAACTTAACTCTTCATTATAAACATCATCTTTGCCAGCAAAATCCGAGGCTAAAAAATATTGTTTTTTAATTATATTCTTTAAAATATACCTTCAAATAATTCATAAATTCCTAACAAAATAAAGAAAAGTAAAAGCCTCATCCTAAATATTTTTAGACTGATTCTTTAACAAGAAAGGCAAAATTTGGGGCAATCGATCGGGCAGTTTTGCCAGTTGGCATATTGATTAGATAGGACTGCCGAGTGATTTAAACAACAAAAATGGAGAAAAGGACTTTAAAGCGCATAATGCGAAAAGTAATACTTCAAAAATAATTTAATTTTTAAATAAATTTAAACATTAAAAACAACAAATTAACAATATAATTATTAAGAATTAAGTAGTTAATTATTAAGTAGTTAATTGATGAAAAAAGAAAGAAAAATGTAAAAATATTTTTAATTACAAAATATGCCCAACAAAAATTTTAAAGGAATGATTAAGTAATTAAAATAATTATATAAAGAAATTCCCATTTTAGACAAAATCACAACAAATAAAATTAACAATAAGTATAATTAAACAATTTTAAGTATAAAATGAAAGTTAATAAGTAGCTTCCAAAATAAACACATTATCACATGGAAATATTTAAAAGAAAAAATAATACATTATTGTTGTTGTGGAGGATTGGCGGCTCTCGCTTGTTCTTCTCTCACTTTCTGGGCCCTCAAAAATTCACCATAATCAATATATCCATCCCCATCAAAATCATCATCTTTGATTATAGTGTCAATCATAGTCTCGAGCTGACTTTCATCAGGTACAGGAGGGGCATTTTGCTGGGCAGAATTTTCTAAAAACTTTTTTTTTAAATTTTATACTTAAAGCTTAACCTTCGTGATAATGAGAAATTGCTTTAATTAATTCAATTCCATCCAATTTTCCATTTTTATCCAGATCGTGCATATTGAAGTAATGAAATTGAAGTTGCTCGGGGGTCATGTGCGCCGTTGGATCAACTTTCCCTTCCAAATGTTCTTTGATATGTCTAAATTAATTATTTTTTGACTTTTCTCGTTAAATTGTTTTCCCCAACTCTTCATCTTTAACTTGCTCTCCACCAAATTTAGCCTGTTGTTGTTCAACATGTTGTTGTGGCAATTGATGAGCAAATAATAATGTTGTGAGAAAAGTAAAATGAAAAAAACTAAAAATAAATGGCCAATCTCTCCACATTATTTGCAAAATAATTATTAATTTCTACTTATTAAAAAATATGTATATACAATTCCTAAAAATACTTTAAAGAATTTTTAAAAATAAGAACCCGAAAACAGTTTAAAATTACTACAAAAAAAACAAAAGTAAAACGTCTAATTTCAACGTATAAATCTTTCGTCACGGAACGTGCTAATTAAACGCCACCGATCAACCAGCTTTTAATTGCTATAACTTTTTAAACTCTGATCCAATCTGAATAGATCTTATAGCACTCGAAAGCTCTTAATAAACGGAATTATTTTTAATTATTATCACAACAAGATGAAAGTGAGAAACTAAACAAAAACTTTAAAGAATCTTTCATTTTTGTGTAAAATATTTTTAAAGATTTTTCTTTTAAATTTTGGCATTTTGTAAATCTACGTGTTCAACTTTTTGTTTTTCTCTCATTCATTTAAAACTCTTCATTATTTTTAGCTAAAATCTTTTTCTTATTTTAATAAAAATTATTTTATAGTTTTGAATGAATGTCTGAATTGCCTGTTTATAACACAAATTCAGAGGCTCGAAGAAGACACCACAACAATTACGAAACTAAGACAAATACTCAAACAACAGAACAAAACAATCTTTCAGAAGGAAGTGGAGGAGACTTAAATTATTATTCTTTTCAACAATTCGGAAATTTTTCTTCATTAATTACTCCAGCTTCTAATATTTGGAACGCAGCTCAGGTTTATAATTTATTTTTAATTTTATTTGTCTTAGTCTTCCATTCAATCATTTGCTGGACAAATAACTAACGATTTCTCAACAGAGAAGCGAATATCTCCATTTAATAACACTTCTGAATACAAAGATTCTTCTGAGGTAAAACAAATTATTTTTTTTTATTTTTAAAAATTAAAACAGGATATTTCAAATTTGCCTATCGATATGCCATTCCATGATCGAACAGTTGAATTTAGAACTGTGGCAAAGTCTTGTCAGGTAATTTTAAAATCATGTGAAAATTCTTTCTGAGTTTTATTATTTTCAGTTTCGACATCAACCTAATGGGAATATTTTGGAAGCTAAAGGAGAACGCGAGAAAATGCTCCAATCTTCTATACATTTTAATCAATTGGCCAAGTAACTTTTTAAAATTTAAATTTATTTATAATTTATTTGTAGGAGGATTGGCAGGGATTTGAGCATGACTTGTGCAAAAATGGAGAAGTTATCTCAACTAGCCAAAAATAAATCACTTTTTGATGATCGGGCAAGTGAAATTGAAGAGCTTTCTCAGACTATAAAACAAGTTTATTTGTATTTTAATTTTTTCTAAATAATAAATAAATTTAAGGATATAACTGGTTTAAATAAACAAATTGCTAATTTACAACAAGTTGCACTTCAGAGATCTGGGGCTAAAAATAATTCATCAAAAAATGAACAGCAGGGCCAGAACCATTCGAAACTTGTTGTTGTTGGTTTACAATCAAAGCTTGCTTCTATTAGTAAAACTTTTAAAAATGTTTTGGAAATTAGAACAGAGGTTTATTTTCTGTAATAAAATTATAATTAAAATTTGTGGCTTTTCAGAATTTAAAATTAAAAAGAGCCAGACGCGAAAAATTCAGTCAATCGGCAGCAATTCCTTCAAATTTACCTCCATCTGCAAGCAATGGAAATAGTAACTAATATTTTATTTTTTTTTATTTTGATTTTTCAGTGGGCTCTCTTCTTCTTTACGATGATATGGCAGCTTCAAGTGGGAGTTCTTCTTTTACATTGGATATGGATCAATTGGAACAACATCGAATTCAAGACCAAGTTTTTTTCCGAAAAATATTTTTTAATCAATTGAAACCAAAGGTTGCACTTATTGATGAGACTGATACCTATCATCGTTCTCGTTATAGCGCAATGGAAGGTATAGAAAGTAGTATTGCTGAATTGGGCACTATATTTCGACAATTAGCTTCTCTCGTCTCTGAACAAGGCGAAATGATTACTCGGTTTTTTGATTAGAAATATTTTCTTAATTAAAATTCTTTTTTCTTAGAATTGACTCTAATGTTGAAGATACAGCTTTAAATGTTGAAGCTGCCCATTATGAATTGCTCAAATATTTCAATAATATTTCCCGTAACCGATGGCTTATTTTAAAAGTTTTCGGCGTTTTGATGGCATTTTTTATTTTCTTTGTGATTTTTATGACATAATACATTTAAGGGTTCAGTTTAATATTAAGTGAGTATTGACTCTTTGGGGGGTTTTCTCTCTATTATAAACACATCTTCGAAATTCTATTCTCTTTTGTCTGAATATAGAGCGAAACATTGTATAATAATTATTATATATCCTTTATTTTTCGAGTTTTTTAAATCTTTAACTAGGTGTCGACAGATTTTGACTATATTGCTTTCTTTTTCTTGCCCAAGTACCTCAAATCTTCTAAATTCCATTTCTAAAAACATTAGGTATCTGTCGTCACCTTTATATAGTATATATTACTTACACATGAGGGAATGGGAGAATCACTTATAAAGATTAATTTGACCCTTGGTGGGCATATTTCTAACCTCCCTGTGATATATATTCAAACACATCTTGATAAAATTGTCTAGCAGAAAATTATATTTCTCTTCATTAATTGTTGATCACAATTAAATTATCTTTTCATTTTTCGATTTAAATATTTTTTAGTTACTCAGAATCAATTTCAAAAATTTTTTAAAAGGTATGCTACATTAAAAATATTTCTGATTAAAAATATTTTATTTTTAAGATAAGAAGTGTTGGAATAGACTTAAAAATGGTCCGAGTTACGGCTTCGTTTGTGGTTCTTGGAAGTTTTATTTCGACAGTTTTGGCGGTTATGAATGCTTTTTTCCTCAAAAAACAATTTTATCCGTCAGTTGTTTATCTTACAAAAAGTTCAACTTCAATGACGGTTATTTATATTTTTAAAGTTTTTTTAAATTTCTTTTTAAGGTCCTTTACTTTCAAGCGGCCGTTTTTAGTTATTTAATTTTCTCTGTTGTTCGTTGGATTTTCTTTGGTCAGTTGAGGCCTGCTGAAGTAGAACGTGCTCAAGAGCGGGTTTGGCACGCAATTATGGAGACTTGTTTGGCTTTTAGTTAGTTTATATTTTTTTGTTAATTATATTTAAAAATTTAGCTGTTTTTCGTGATGACTTTTCGCCAAAGTTCGTTGTCCAGTTTGTTGTGTTATTCTTTGTTAAAGCTTTTCATTGGCTTTCCGAGGATCGTGTTGATTATATGGTTTGATTTTAAATTTAGAGGTAAATATCACTTAAACACATATAGGAAAGAAGTCCAATTATAACTCTTCTGTTTCACGCTCGTATTCTCGGAATAATTTCTCTTCTTGGCGCCATTGACTCTTACTTTATCTCTCACGCTTTCTTCACAACATTAATGCGAGGGGCTAGTGCACAAATTGTTTTTGGATTTGAATATGCTGTTTTGCTTACAATGGTTGCACATATAACTATCAATTATTTACTTCATTTACATGATTTGCGTTCGCCACATCCTTGGGAAATGAAGGCAGTTTATATGTTATATGTAGAATTATTTACAAGTTTGTTGAATAAATTAATTTTTTTTTAAATTGTTTTATAAATTTTAGGTTTCCTTCGTTGTGTCCTTTATTTGGCTTTTGCGGTTGTGATGATGAAGGTATTTTACTTTTTAAGTAATGCGTTTTTTTTCTCGAAATATTTAGATTCATACTTTTCCATTGTTTGCCATCCGTCCATTTTATTTGACAGTCAAATCATTCCGCAAAGCAGTTAATGACGTAATTCTCTCCCGACGTGCAATTAATGCAATGAATAATCTTTTCCCATTGGCTACAGCTCAAGATCTTGCTGAAAGTAAATTAGAAAATTCTTAATTAGTTTTTAAAATGATTAAAACTTTATTAAATTTATAGACGACAATACTTGTATAATTTGCCGTGAAGAGATGACTGTAGAAAGTGGAGTTAAAAAGTTACCTTGCAATCATATTTTCCATCCAAATTGTCTTCGTTCTTGGTTTCAGCGTCAACAGACTTGCCCAACTTGCAGAACTGATGTTTTAGGTAATCTAATAAATATTAATTTGAATTTTTTTCCTTTTAGCAGCTACTCGACGGTCTAATGGCCTTTTGCCTGGTCAACAACCTCAGCAACAGCCTGGAGTTATGAATGGAATGCCAGCGAATATGTTTCAGGCACCTTTTCATTTTCAGTTTGGGGGGCCGCAGCAGCAAAGACCACAGCAACATCCACCACCTTTCGTTCAACATCAGCAGATGCCACCATTTATGCCTTTTGGGTTTCCAATATTTCCTCCTCAAATGTTTCCTCCCATGCAGCAACAACAGGTAAAGATGAATCACATTTTATTCTCTTTAAAAATTTTTAGCACCAGCAACAACAACCAGTTCAACAGCAAGCGGAAACACAAGGAAATGGAGCTGCTGGTGGAAGGTCGGTTCCAGGAACTTCAAATGGACCTTCCTCGTCTACTGCTTCCGTTTCACAACAAAATGATGCCAACTCTCAACAATTACCTCATTCGTCTGGTACTTCTTCACAGCAAAATAATCAACAATCTCAACCAACTCCTCCTTTCTTCAATCCTTTTATGGTAAGGATTTATATTTATTCTTTAATCACTAAAAATATTTTTCTTCAGATGCCTCCTTTCCCATTTTTGCCACCTTTGCAGCCATTCCCGCAACCTCCGACTGTAAATTTATTATATATTTATTCTCATTTTATTTTTGTTAGCTTTCTGGTTTAAACGATGTTGAACTTGCTGCAATGGAGGGTACAGAGAGAAGAGCAGTTGAAGCTCGAATACAAACTTTAAGAAATATCCAAGTTCTTTTGGATGCAGCAATGTTGCAATTTCAACAATATTTAACCGCATTTTCCACTACTGGAGTTAATCCAATTCCTACAACTGACAATGGGACCTCAACAAATGGAGAAAGTAGTTCTAATGATACTGGTTGTGCTAATGAATGTCCTTCTTCCTCATTGGGCAAAGAGAAAATTGGGGAAACGAGTCAAACGAAAGAAGAGACAACAATTACGCCAGAGGCACTCAACCAAGAATTGTAAACAAAAGAAAAAAGATATTTTATTTATTTGGGTTTTCCTCATTAAAAGAAAATTTATTCTAAAAAATGCTTCTCTTAGCATTTCTCTCAGACTATCTTTAATTGATGTGTATATTATATAATTTTAAAGAATCATTTATTATTTGACTTTCTTTTCGGTTTGACTTTAATTAGAGACCGGACCGAGACGATACTCTAACAAAGATCGGTTATCGAGATTGACATTTTTTCTGAGACATTAATCCCTAGTCCGGTCTTTAGTTTTAATTTTATGTTTTCTTTAAATATTATTTTTGTCAATTAAATTCTTTTAGTGAAATTAAAATAGTTTGTTCTTGTTTTGATTAGAATTACTGCTTTTCTTAATGACAAGAGAGGGAATGTTTGATTTTTCCTCGACAAAAATGAATCTTTTAGGGATTAGTTTTATTTGACGGATTCTTTTACATATCTGTTTATTTTTAAATTTATTATTTTTAAAAAAGGTGTGTAAATCTTTTTAATGGAAAAGTAAAGATTAAAAAAATGTACTTATGGTATAATTGTGACAACATAAAGTATAAGTATTTTTAATAATATTTTTCTGTTTTTCTTATATAAATTATTTAAATGACATTTTAAAATGTCAACTAAAAGATTATTTTTAAATAAAATTTTAAAGGAAATATGCGCAAATCTTCTTATAAAGCATTCACCCCTAATATTATTTTAAACTTAAATAGCCTCGTTAAGTTTTTCTTCCATTTGTCTTTCATTTTATCTGAAAAATTCCTCTTCCTGTCAGTTGGATGTATTTAAAAAATAATTTTAGTTTTTATTTTTTTGACATTTTTTTGTATTTAAAATTATGAAAAAGTTTTTTTTCTTATTTTAGTTTCTTCCTTTTTTAGTCTGTTTGATTATAAAAGAAAAGAAATAATAAATTAATAGGTTTTTAAGGACCACTTCTTACATATATTTTTAGCTCAAAATAAAAAAGCCTAAACTTTTATGCTTATTCTATATTTTAACAAAAAAATATAACAAAATTAAAATTTATTTTTCCAAATAATTTCCTATCAATTAATTTAAAAATGAAAAAATTAAATGAGAAATTCCATAAAATTTAACAAAAATTTTTTCAGTAAATGTAATCTGTTATGCTTATAATCTGTTATGCTAACTGGCTAGTATATATATTTTGTAGTAAATTTTATGAGGTTTAAGGTGAAAACTTAAAAGAAAATTTTAATTGAAGTTTAAAAATTTAAAAAAAAATACTCAAATTTTACGTTTATTTTCGAAGTTTTTTTGGTGTTTTTACGTATTTAATTCTTGAATTTTTTGAATGTTTATATGTAAAATAGTCAAATCTGGATTATTTTTAAATAATAATTTTAGTCAAGAAGATCTCATTATTTTAAGAAAATAATTTGAAGAAAAAAATCTTTTAATTTAAAATTTTGTGTTTATCCATTTCCGGTCTAAAAAATAGACAAAAGTACAAAAAATAAATATTTATTTATTGTTAACACATTTTTTTGTCTTTTAAATTAACTATTATTTTTTTTAATAAAAAAAAAGAAAAAAAAAGTTTCGAATTTCTTTTATTTTTTAAAAATATCTTTTTACTAATAATTTAAAAAAAATTTGAAAAGAAAAGTTTAAACATTTTGCATTTTTTTGAAAAGAAAAATGTTAAAAAAAAGTGTCATTTGTTTTTACAAAAAAATAAATTTTTTTTAAATAATTGATTATTTAAATAAATATTTTTTTTTATTCTCCAAAAAAATAATTTTTAAAAATTTTATTTAATCAATTTCCACTCTCTTTTACTCTCATTCTCCATTATTTATTTTAGTTTAAAAAAATTTTCAAAAAAGGCTTCTTCTTTTTTTTTATTTCTCTCACGCTTCCCCTTTCCCTTCATTTTACAAATATATATTTTTTTATTTAATTTAAATGAATTTCTTCCACGTTTTTTTAATTAAAAAATCTTTTTTTTAATTAATTATAATTTCTAATTTCCGTTTTTTCTGCTAATTGGGATTTGTCGAGAATATTTTCTTTTGTTTAGAGCACATAATAAATAATTTTTTAATAAAAAAAGAAATGAGGAGAACTTTCCAATTAGAGAAAGATTAATACTTTCACCAACGATTAAACTACTTTTTTGAATAAATTTAATAATTTTTCACCATTTTACTTTTCTAATTAATATATTTTGTCCGTTGTTGGAAAAAAGAAAAAATACATATTAATAAATAAAAATTAATTTTAGCCTTAAATTGTAGAATATTTTAAACAAAATTTCCAAA